ATTTTATAGATGAGGAAACAGGTGTACAGAAGGGTTAAAAAAATGGCAGAATCACTTATACAACTGTACTAAAAAGATTTTGCAATATTTGTAGCATTCATTCATATTTTCAGTGGTCTTTCTTCCTAGTGCTTTACATACTGATTAAGTAGCATTCACCAGTCATCCTTTAAAGGTGCTATACTCTTAAGTGATGGCATCTCACTGAATTTACCATATTTTACCTCAGAGGTGTAGCAGTAATTTCAAAGAATATGGAAAAGCTATAGTTCTTTTTGAATATATTATGGTCATATTATCTGTGCTTAAAACCATTTGGAAATATTTGTCCTAAAAGGACTCACATTTAAGACTTTTTTTTCCTTAATCACTTCCTCACAAATTGAAACTGCTTATCTTTGGTTTATTTTCTTTTTTCTTTTGCTCATGCTGTTAGAGTTACCTATGATACTAGATTAAGGTTTGGTAAATGCATTGAAAGTAGTCAATACATTTAACTTGACTTTGCATATTTAGACATAACTTTGAATTAGAGTTCACCACTAAATATTTATGATCAGTATATAACTGAATTGCCATTTTTATGACTATCTTTAGTAACTAATTCTGTTAACCATTTATGGCTTATTAGGACCATACATACACACACACACACACACACACAGAGTTATAGGACACTCTCATTATCTCAGTAACAAAGAAAGTACAAGCTACCTGTCCAATATTTTTCATATAGATAGTATTACTGCAGTTTAATGTAGTGTATTTCTATTATATATTCACTGCTTTTCTATATGCAATTTAAATTTTGGTAAAAATCAGTCCATAGACTAATTCCCCTGCCATTATTCTGAGGACATTGTTCTAGTAGATTTTACTTTAAATAATGTAAACATTTATAAATCCCTATATTCAAGTAATAGTCAACCTTTCTTAAGAAATGACTTTGGTTGTGGTATTTATTATAACATTATGCATTATTTTTAAGCTTTTGACTTTAAACAATATTTTTAAACAATATTATTGGTTCAGTGATAGATTAAAACTATTTGTGGTATAGATAGAATAACTGCTGTGTATTTGAGAAACATACGCATTTTAGACTGAATTGCAATTTTCAGCCAAATTTTACATTTGGGAAAATATATGTTTTTGCCTTTTCTTTTTAAAGATTTATTTTTATTTATTTATGCATACAAGAACTGGGGTATAGGCCAGAAGTGTGGGAGTTGAGAGGATTCACCAGAGACAGAGTGGGGAGCAGAACAGGCAGATCTCCTGAAATACACTGCTAAGGGGAGCAGTGGGCGAGACTGGAGAGGTCTGCTACGCCATGTGGGTACCTCCCTGGCGAGGGATGGAACTCATGTAGCAGTGGCTGGTGATAGCTTGATAGTGCTGAGACTTTAACCCCTGAGCCACCAGGGAGGCCTGAGACTATATGGTTTTGAAGATTTACAAGTTTGAAGAATGGTTGGTGAAATAGAGAAAGAATTAAAAAAAAAGGAAATAACTGATAGTTCAGGGCAGGAATCATTGTTAGGAAGTTAAGAGAAGGAAAATGAAGTGAAAGAGTGCGTGTGGACTAGATTTTGAAGCACGTGGAGGCATGCCTGTGTGTGCACCTATATTTACCTTTGTGACCTAATACAGTAAGGGATGGTAGTCTTACTATACTTACTGGACTTAACTGCTTCTTGATTTCTGTTTTACTGCTTTGATATAGCCATCCAAGTGACTTCAACCCTGGCATTCTTAATGTCTGTCTCTACAATTTTGCCTTGTGTCACATGGTTGAACTCCATGTGGCTCCAACCCCACCCTTGCTCATTGGTACAGTGTACCTTTTTCTACATTATTGTTTTTCACTGACTCACCTCAGTTTCTGCCTCTGTCTTTCAATCCTGAAATACCTTCTTTTTCAAATGGTGAATCTATTCCCAGGATAGGAACTTTTATAGTAAACAGTTACTCTATTCTCATGGAAAGAAACATGCTAACAACATATTCACCCGTCTTCGGTGCCATCTTTCATCCACCTTTTTAAAACAAGTCAGATTTTAAGATATACTTTATTTTTAAATATAGTCAAGTAATAGAGTACATAATGAAGTTATACTTTGATCTAACCCGGAAGTCACAGTATATTTGGAATATGTGAATTTCATCAATGTTCCACTTACTATGTTTGGATAATATTTTTATTTATTGAAGATTTATTTATTTATGCATACAAGAACTGGGGTACAGGCCAGAGGTGCCGGAGGTGAGAGGACCCACTGGAAAAAGAGTGGGGAACAGAACAAGCAGATAGACTGAAGTACACTGCTGAGGGGAGCAGCGGGTGAGACAGGAGAGGTCTGCCGCGCCGTGTGTGTAGCTCCCTGGCCAGGATTGATCACATGCTGCAGTGGCTGAGGATAGCTTCATAGGTTGTGTCTTAACCCCTTGCGCCAGCAGGGAGGGCCTGTTTGGATAATATTTTTAAAAACAATATATTAGTGTTCAGAGGAAACATGCCAAATTACAGAGGTCCTGCATATTTTATTTTACATTTTGGATCAAGTATTGATCCAATAGGAACACTGAAAACATTTATACCTATGCAAAAATGAAACATTTTTGGTTATTACGTGCATGGGAGTGAAAAACATTCTAAGCAATAAGAAAAAGGCCTTGATGGCTCTTAATTTATCACCACCCTGGAGATGAGGTAATTGAGAAAATGGATTGGCAGAACCAATGGTTATTTTCTTAATCACAAATCTATTCTGGAAACATTCTTAGTTAAAAAATGATTTATCAGTAATATATGTGAAATACATCAGCTACTTGGATTATCAAACTAGTAAGGTATGTTTAGTTTTTAACTAGGGCTGCAAACTATACTACATTTCAGGATGAAATGTTAAATGTTAATTAGAAGACCAACTTGAGTCTTTTATGCCTTATCCTAATGACAGTGAATGGATGCTAAGGATTTGGTTATTTTTATTGGCTAGGGGGAGGAGGAGTATGTGACTTGCTTTGTTTTTGATTGGTTAAGAAATTAAGGTAAAATGCCTGAGTAATAGGAGTAAAAGCATGTAAATATCATTCTAGCCCAGAAGTTGTGATAAATTGTTAAATTTGTCTTACACAAGTGATCATTTCTTTCTTTTTTTTTTAAGATTTATTTATTTATGCATACAAGAGCTGGGGTACAGGCCAGAGGTGGGGGGGTGGAGGTGAGAGGATTCACCAGAGATAGAGTGGGGAGCAGAACAGGCAGATTGACTGAAATATACTGCTAAGCGGAGCAGCAGGCAAGTCAGGAGAGGTCAGCTGCACCCACCTCCCTGGCCAGGGATTGAACTCGTGCTGTGGTGGCTGAGGATACCTTCATAGTGCTGCGTCTTAACCCCTTGCGCCACTGGGGAGGCTCTACAAGTGATCATTTCTTAAGGGCATTCAGTAGTTGTCCTTGTATAGTTATGTGGACTTCCTCCTTCTCTGTATTTGCTTAACTTCAGGCAATTCTGTTTTCATTTACTCAGCAAATTTTCATCAGTTACTCACTATATGTTTTGCATTGTCTTATGCCTTTTAGGCTTTGAAAATTACAAAGATGGATAATACATAGTGGGTACCTACTTAAAATCCTTTGCTTGCTTTCCTTAACTGCCCTATACATTCCCAGAACTGGATTTTTGTCATGAGAGTATTTTTGTGTGAGTTTATATTAATGACAGAATTAAAATGCCACAAAGCCTAGATTTGAATTTGTGGGCTCCCCAGTTTTGTTTTTTAATCTGAATCCAGTGAATCTGGTATGTAAGTGTTCTATAAATATTTATTATTCATGGTATCACCTTTTTTAAATTTATTTTTTTAAAGATTTATGCATACAAGGCTAAAGGTGCGGGGTGTGGGAGAATTCATAAAAACAGTGGGGAGCAGATCTACCTAGATACACTGCTGAGGGGAGCAGTGGGCGAGACAGGAGAGGTCGGCTGTGCCATGTGGGTGAGCTCCCTAGCTGAGGATTGCTTGCAGTGGCTGTGGATAGCTTCATGGTACTGAGACTTAACCCCTTGCACCACCAGAGAGGCCCTAATAGTCACCTTTAACTATAATGTAACTTTTTCTTTAAAAAAAAAAAAATTTCATCCCAGAATGTATAACATTTAAAGGAGTCAAAATCTTTTGTAAATCAATCTTAGTGCTTGCTCATGACTATTTCTATTTTTTAAATATTCAAGTGTATTATTGTTAGAAGAGTGACATAAAAATAGGTAAGAAAGGCACAGAAATGAGAAAATGGCGTACATAAAGCAGTTCTTTGGGTACTTTTCTGATTTCAGTAGTTTTTGATAACCAATGTGTTTTACTTACATTTTCAATCCCAGTTAGCCTGGTAATGCTAATTTAGAATCCACACATGTATCAGTAAATGTAGAACAAAATTGATTTCTGAAAACTTGCAGTTATATAAGCCTACCATTCCAAACATCTCTCCTCTGGACATTTGCCTTAATAGAATGTAAAATAAAGGTATTCTCGGCAGGTGATTGTTGAGAAGAATTGGAGTAGTTTTTGAGGAAGGTCATTGAGACAGAACAGCTAGAGGTGGCTGCACAACCTGCCTAAGAATTGGATGGCTGGTACCTGGCTGGAAGATGGAGCTGATTGGTGGATCAAAATGTTAGAGGGAAACCTTCCATTTTTAGTTTAAATGTTTGTCAAAATTCTATTCTAATGAAGTACTATCGTTGTATATTGCTGTTTACTTATTTAAAAAGTGAAATGAATCACCAGTGGTTATCTTACCAGAGGATTGTTTCAAGTGATTTTTTTTTTTTGTATGTAAAAAATACATTTGGTTGAGTGATACTTAGTAAACCTCTCTATTAAATATGAACTTTTTAATTATATCTGATGTTAGAATACAACATTTTATAAATAAGTCATTTCTATTTTATATCTTTTTTTGCTAAAGCCTATCTATTGTATTTATTCAGGTTTATGTGAGATTAAGACCATTCTTCAGGGAATTCCTGGAACGAATGTCTCAGATGTATGAGGTAAACATGCTTCAGCTAATCCCATACATATTTTTATTTTATTCAATATAGTACCCATATTTAGTTCATGTATAATGATTACTTCTTTTCCCCTGAATTTGTAGATCATTCTTTTTACTGCTTCTAAGAAGGTGTATGCAGACAAGTTACTGAACATACTAGACCCTAAAAAGCAACTGGTCAGGTAAATTTAATTAAGAAATAGTGGAAATGTCTGTCACACTGCTCTATGAAATTACTATGATTCTCTTTAATTTTTATGGCCATTTCACTTGGCTTCACACGTAGAGATTTGTTGTATTGAGTGGTGAATATAAGTTAATTTTTAAGCCCTCAAAATCAAGAGTTCCTATTGCTGTAACTTCAGACAGACTTTCTTTAAAAGATACAAAAATCAAATGTATTTATTCACTGTAACATCTGTATCCTTATTTCTTTTGGGATTGGGGGAGACTTACGGGTGTTCGGAATTTTTCACTGTGTGCATGATGTTTTCACTTACTTTTGTTTCTGAGACAATGCATGTTATGTCAGCTTTTAATGGCTTAGAGAAATAAGTTAATTTTAGCAGAAAGGGTCATAATTAAACCTTTTTGCTTTTCTCAAGATTCTGATTGGAAATTAGTTGGTTTAGCAACTAAGGTTATCCTGTTCGAGACTCAGTTCCTTGTATGTTTCCTCAACCAGCAGATGCACTGTGTTCCTGGTTAGGTGGGAGTGCCTTGGGTAATTTTAAATTTGAAAATTAGTTCCATTATTTCTGTTAACTGAAGTGAGATACTAACACTACAGCAGTCCTGCTGCATCCTCTTAAGATGTAGGTGAGTTGGTCTTTGAATTTTTGACCAAGAGCTGAGAGATACCCCAGAAGGCTCATAAGAGCTCAAATGGCTGGGTATTCATTTTCTTGAATTCTTTTCTCCCATATTGTTTTAGAGGAAAATCCTAATCTTGAGTCCTGCTATTGATAGTATCTTTATTATTTACTGGTTTCAGCTGTGCTGAAAGGCTTTTCCTAATGTCCACTGTTAGGAAATTTTTTTCCCTTCTAAATAGAACTGTGATACATATTTTTAATAAAAGCAAATTATAATTCATCTCACTTTTCCTAATGTTATCAAAAGTATACAAATGATTTTGTTTTTATGACATCATGTATTTTGAAATTTTTCTATTCTGCACCTTTAATTTTCCAAAAACAGTGGTGAGCAACCCAAGTCCTTCCTTTTTGGAACTTTCATTTCTCTGGGACACAAGTCATAGTCATGTGATTATTTAATGTGTTTAAAATGAACACTTTTTAAAATTAGTTTTATAAAATCTACACAGTTGGAATTTTAAATTTGTTTTATCTAACATTTGGAAAACTTAGTGCAACAGGACTTTTTGAACAGTATAATTCATTAGAGTGCAGATTTGATTATTGGTAAAAGTAGTTTTTCTTCAAAACTACAAATACCTGCTATTCAACCTCAGACTAGTGGGTAACAGTGAAGAGTTTTAGTATAATTTAAAGTAGCCATCACTATCTGTATATGCATTCAGTTTTCTCCTGTCTAGGGTGTTTATTGTATTGGGAGAGAGGCATCAACTGTGACTTGTATATATACTGTATCTGCGTCTCCAGTTTCCTCATAACTGTTTTTATAAATAAAATGTGGAATCTTACTTAGGCTCAGTCAGGTCTCTTCCTATATTTTTTTCAAAGTAGGGCTGTCTTTAAACCTTTCAGATATAGATGATCATCTAATTAATTTTAACTAAGTATTCTTTATAATAAGGGGAAAGAACTGTATATACTATATTTTGTCTGTTTGAAAAACTTCCTCTGCCATTGATATTTTAACATTGAGTTCTGATGTTTTGCTGTTATTATCAGAGCTGTAACAAGTTGTGTTGATAGAAAATGCCCTTTCTTGAAATTGCATAATTTCAAAAATACAGGTATGAGTAGGCCCTATTCCTGAAAAATTGTTCAGTGGAATTAAGACACAAGGAAGCCAAACTACCAAATTACTAGTGTATGCAAATAGGGCATTTCAAGGTTTGGGGGAAAAAAATCATTATGTCTGTGGAGATTATATAATTGCTATGGTATATCAAGCCTTTAGTATAAAGCTTTCAAAAATGATACAGCTTTTTCAATTTAGTATCTGTGATTGGTGAAACATTAGTTTACATTTGTAATACTTGAATCTGAATTCATCATTTCATTCAGTCCTTGTTTTTTTCAAATGATCGTACACTCACACTGAATTAAAAGAAAGATGATTATTTAGGAAAAGTTAAAATGATGGAATGTTTTGGCCTCCACACCTTTTCTGAAACACTATAAGGGAAATTAAAAACATTTTTTAAATTGCCAACACAGAGACATTCCTTCTTATATTTTCTATTCTGGCATGTACAGGGATAGGGAGGCTGTGTGGTCTTCTGGTTAGAGCAAAGGACTGGGAGCCAGGAGGATCCTGGGTTCCAATGCGGGGCTAACTACTGACTTACTGTGTGACCTTGGGCAAGTCACTTGATCTTCTTGTGCCTCAGTCAACCATCTCGAAAATTGGTTAAAAAGCAGGACCTCGCTGACAACCAGATGCTGCATCTGAACTGAGCTTTCCTGGGTAAATAAATTATAAAAACAATTTATAGAGTTTTTAATCCCTCTTTATAATTTAATATAATATTTTGGGATAAGCCAAAGTTCTTTAAGGCATGGTAACATTTGGTTATAAGGTTTCAATAATTGCTAAGAATTTTTATAGTAGAACTGTAGCCCAAAGCTTAGGCTCACATTTGTATTAATTTTCCTTCATAAAAGAAGATAATAATAAGGCTTAGCCTGTATGGCCTATCATATATGTTTGTGCACATGTTTCTGTATATGTTGTAATTTTAGAGATTTAAGTTAATTTGCTTTAACTTTTACGTTTAGGCACCGGCTTTTCCGTGAACATTGTGTTTGTGTACAAGGAAACTATATAAAGGATTTAAATATCCTTGGAAGAGATCTTTCAAAAACTATAATAATTGACAACTCACCACAAGCCTTTGCATATCAGGTAGGAAGAGTGTTACTAAAAAACTCCATTGGGGGCTAACACATAATTGAGGACAAGTACTTCCAAACAATATAATGAGAGGACAGAATTTTCCACTGGTGGAATTTCCATTTAGTGTCATCTATTTTAGGATTAGAAAGCAAATTTTCTTTTATTTATTTATTTTTAAAAAGATTTATTTATATAAGCACTGGGTACAGTCAGAAGCGCAGAAGGGTGAGAGAATTCACCAGAGCCAGAGCAGGGCACAGAACAGACAGACTGACGAAATATACTGCTAAGGGGAGCAGCGGGCGCAGCAGGAGAGGTCTGTCACGCCATGTGGGACCCTCGCTGGTGGCCAGGGATTGAACCGGCACTGCAGAGGCTGCGGGCAGCTTCGCAGCCCAGCGCTCAACCGCTGCGCCACCAGGGGCGGCCCAGCAAATTTTCTTTTAAATGAAGTACAACATAAAGAAAAATGTGGGGGCTCCCTGGTGGTGCAGAGGGTTAAAAACGCAACTTATGAAGCTATCTGTAGCCACTGCAGCACGAGTTCGATCCCTGGCCAGGAAGCTACCCACATGGTGCAACAGACCTCTCCTGACTGGCCCGCTGCTCCCCTCAGCAATATATTTCAGTCAGTCTGCCTGTTCTGTTCTCCACTCTCTCTGGTGAATCCTCTCAACCCCCCCATCTCTGGCCTGTACCCCAGTTCTTGTATGTATAAATAAATATATCTTAAAAAAAAAAAGAAAAATGTGAGTTATAAATCTGAGTAAGGAGGGACTGTAACTCCTTTAATAGTTTTTCTTACCAGTTGTTAAATCACTAATTTAATAATAAACATGTTTTAGAATTCAGATAGCTTCATCAAGTTCTCCTGGTTTAATATGACATTCTGAGATATTTTCTAGAGTATTTTGTCAATATATTTGTACCTTTCTTAATTTGAACCTTTTCTCAAACTAGAGATGAGTCACCCTTCCTTGCATGATATATTTTGCCTTTTTTTTTTTTTTTAAAGATTTGTCCATTTATATAATAACTGGGGTACAGGCCAGAGGTGTGGGAGGGTGAGAGAATTCACCAGAGACAGAGTGGGGAGCAGAACAGGCAGATGGACTGAAAACACTGCTGAGGGGAGCAGCGGGGGAGACAGAAGAGGTCTGTCATGCCATGTGGGTATCTCCTGGCCAGCCAGGTATCAAACCCGTGTTGCGGAGGCTTTGGACAGCGTCACAGCGCCGCACTCAGCCTGCTGCACCAACGGGGAAACCCTGTTTTGCCTTTTTTATAAATATGTTCATGTGAAAAACATGCTTCACATTAATTCAGTGCAAGGTAGCTTTGGTGGAAAGTAGGTTGGGTGTAGATGAAATAAGACTTGCCCCATCTTCTATATTTCAGCCATAGTAAAAAGTAAAAAAGAAAAAGGGGAAAACTGCGTATGGTATTAAAATGTTCAACTATAAGTCACTATGTTTATTTGCTTCCATTTTGAAATGTGTGTTTTAAGAATTTCATCCGGGTTCCTAGATAAAATCCTTTGTTATTCTCTCACTGTTATGCATAAATGTTGAAATAAAGGGCTATAGATTATTTTCTATAAAAATATGGTTTTGCATTCTTGTTTATAGTATCTTCAGTGAAATACTATTGAATCAGCTTATGTTTGTACTATATTTTAGTTTATCCTGCTAGTTGCTGATAATAAAACAATGGACATGGTTTTGTAAAAGTATATGCTTCTCTTTAGTAACAGTGCTTAATTGTATTGACTAATAGTGACTATTTTTGAATGAATAAAGTCATGCTTTTAGTTATTTTACTGCAGAACTAGTTTTAGTATAGATCTTCTTGTTTAGTTTTACATAAACTAAGATGAAATTACACTGAAAAACAGGCTTCAACTTATTCCTCTACATGTCTACTCACCAATAATTTGCTAATGACTATGGCAAGTATGAACTCTGATGATACTGTTTCAAAGGAACTTATGTTTACTTAAACCTATTATAAAGTTGGCAAAATGTAAACAGGATTTATTTATTGTTTTAGCTATCTAATGGAATCCCTATAGAAAGCTGGTTTATGGATAAAAATGACAATGAACTCCTAAAATTGATTCCATTTCTGGAGAAGCTTGTAGAACTGGTAGGTATATCTTATCATTTACCTTTTCCTGTTTTGATTTGTTGCTTGACTATTTAATTGTTTTACTTTAGGCATACTGACTTTTTAAGACAATTTAGTAGAGAATAGGGCAAAGGTGAAAAGGATTATTAGCATTTTTGAACTTTTTATTTATTTTTAAAGATTTATTTATTTATTTATACAAGAACTGGGGTACAGGCCAGATGCTCGGGAGGGTGAGAGGATTCACCAGAGACAGAGCGGGGAACAGAACAGGCGGATTGATGAAATACACTGCTGAGGGGAGCAGTGGGCAAGACAGGAGAGGTCTACCGCGCTATGTGGGACCCTCGCCACCTGGCCAGGATTGAACCCACACTGCAGAGGCTGCGGACAGCTTCACCGCACTGTGCTCAACCGCCTGCGCCACCAGGGGAGGCCCTGAACTTTATGTTATTACATAATAATTTATATATTGTTTTTATTGTACTGGGCTCTCTTACAAGTCACTAACTAGGTATGTTACATTGATTTCATAGTTTAGGTCTAGAACTCATGATTGCGTTACTGAAAAGGTCTGGGATTTTTTTTTTTTTTTTTGCCCCCTAAATCCATGAATTAATTTTAAAACAGATATATAAAGTAGAATTTAGCACCATAATAGTTTTACCTGTCTTTTGGTTTGGCCTTGTATTGCATTATTTTTGTTACAAAATTAAACTTTTACTGACAGTTCCTTAAAAAATCTAAATTCTAAGTTAACTCTTCTGTGTAATACTATATTTTTGGCAAACAAAATAGTAATAGTTGTAAAATAGTGGCATGTGTTCTCTGCAAAGAAAGAATGGTCATATCTATGAAATTGTGACTTTTAAAATGTCCTTTTCTCTACGCAGAATGAAGATGTTCGACCTCACATCAGAGACCGATTTCGCTTGCATGACTTGCTGCCCCCAGATTAAGTACAAAGACTTGTTAAATCACTGAATGGGGAGAGAATGCAGGACCCTTTTGGACTAAGACAAAAACATTGCCATTACTGTTGAAATTTTGCATTTTTGTACCCCGTCTTGCTTTTCTTATCTTTGGTGCCCAATAATAATCAAGGGTTACAGAAAGAGACTTTATTTCAGATTGAATACATACAGTAGGTAGGCTAAAACAGAAGAGTCTTTAGAACTAGTGCAACTCCAGTGAAATTTTTTTATGTACAGGACATCTGCAGTTTATAAAGAATTCTGTTTCTGCCACCAGCAGTTTGACCTGTAGTCACACAGGATTTTATGATAATAACAGAGATGAAAATGGACTTTTATTTTCTCTCTGTTTGGTGCTCTAAGTGGGTTTGTAGCCACTTTTCTGTTACTTTAAGATTCTCATTTCAACAGGAATGGCCAGTAAAAGTTGTTTTATTTTTCCTGTTAAGGTTTATAACCTTTTTTACATTTTTGACCTGTATTAGATTAGAATCTCATTATGCATTCCTTTTAGTTGAGGCGCTTCATAGTTTTCTGGAAATAGTCAATTTTTAGTTTTATATTATACATTTGAATGGCCGTTTTCCTGCTTTGTCTGCCTGCATATTGTATATTTGTTTAAAAATATTCTCTACTTTTAGTCCATGTAAGTTTCATTTAGAAAGACATGCATTTATATTTTGTTTCTGTAATATTCTACTGTAGGTGAAATCTTCAGAAATCAAGAGACTGGGTAGATAAGAATATATGAATGACTAATATTCAAAAGATTTAAACCATTGTGATGGCATGTGTTTCCAGATGGTAATATCTTGCAATGGCACAGATTTAATGGATAAAAGGTATACCTCAGACTTCACTGTGCTCACCAATCTTTGAGGAGAATGAGTTTGATCACCTGTTGGGCTTGATTTGGTTACTGCTGCCTTTGGTTTTCTCCAGGAATGAAGTATTCAGCACAGTGACTCAGTATTTTTAGTTACTTTGCATGGGCTGGTCGTACCTCTGTTATGCTCTCGGTTACAATCAATTTAAAACTCTGTATAACAGTCTTGGTACCTTACAGTAGCTATGCATAATCCTGTGGCACAGTTAACTCCCAAGCCACCAATGCAGTTAATACGCTCTCATAGTGGTTTTCTATGCTATATGAAAATAGTCTTCAAGCCTTGGTTCTCTAATGCAGCTACCACAAGAGGTTGATATTTTTATAGTGGCGTGTAATCTCCTTTTCGGGAGGCTTTTTATGGAAGGTAGAATTTGTAAAAGTTAGTATGCTTTGCCTCTCGACTGCATTAACATGCCACAGGCTCAGACTGTTTTTGTGTAAAGGATGTCAAAGAACGGCACTTTTTCTAAAGAGAAGTTTGATATTTTGTATGCTTGTTAAGAAAGTACAGTATTGGAAATTAAAGGTGGACAACTGATAATTGAGGAGTATGTCACTTAATTTTTTATGTATATTACCTGTTTACTTGTACAACTTATTGTACAAATTACATGCAGCTTCATTTTCAAATGAATCCTTAAAATAAGGAAATCTTTTTAGGAAAACATTTAATTTTTGTATTTTTGATTTTAAAGGCATGAGTTATGTCAATTTTCAGTGTATTAATGAAGATTTTAACTTTTCATCAGGTTGAGTGTTTTCTTACTATATTATCTGTTGTGTATGTAGTTAGCATATTGTGTCACTGAACTGTTTAAAAATCTAGCATGTAGAGCAAGCCTGTTTTGTGGAAAATCCTTATTCATTAAAAAAATAATCATGGCAGATTTTCTGCAAAAAAAAAAAACAAAAGCATTTGCAATTCAGAATATTGGTTTTGTTTTAATTTAAAGAAAGGTATTTTGCTTGCAGGAAAAAATACTACAGATTCATTTTAATGAGTATCTTTGAAATGTATTTATCTTTAGGGCATCTGGGCATCTTTATGCTGTTTGTCTTCTGTCTTTCTTGAAATAAAATGTACATACGTTACCTTTACATATGCTCTTGCTCAAAATTGTGAACCTAGTCACATATCTCCTTGCTCCCTTTTTCTTAAATAGCAAAACCCAAAACATACAAGATCTAAACTTTCAGCTTGTGTTATAATTGCTGAAAGTTTTTCTGATAAGTAAGTATAGTCTCAAAGGGCTTTCCCATAACTTAAGGGAAATGTAAGCACCTATACCATTTGTGCCTGTAGGCACCTTAAAAATAAACACCAACTTTTAATCGTCTCTTAATGGTAAAGCTGTTTTCAAGTCCCATGCTGGGAGAGTTCCTTTAAGTTGACTGACAAATGAATCAAGTATAACAGGATTCTGTAAAGAAATTACCTAAGGGAAATTTTATGTGGCTTGAGGAAATTTGAGACCAATTTAATATATTTTCTCCACTACTTGATTTGAGTCATTTTAAACTTGATAAGAAATTTTTAAAATTTAGACAATTTATCCAGCTGCCTTGTACCTTAGTATGTTTTCTCTTCTCATTACCTTCTTTTCTTTATCTGTTGACAGATGTTACCTTAAACACTTCCATTTACGTGGACGTGTATGTATTATAAACTGAGATGTGTCCAGCCCCTTCAGTTCATGCAGGATATATGAACTCTTAAAAACTGACTGTAGTAAATGCAGGAGAGATGGATACCTGATAGACAGCAAAAGTGACCTGTATACACATTACATTTCTGAAGTACATATTATAATTGTGATATTTCCAGTGATAAATGTCTGACTGAAGGCATTCTTTTAAATATTTGTATTGTTAGGATGTTTTTAATCACTTGTGTTTTTTAGTTCCATGTAATATATGTAGCCCTAATCAGATTTATATCACATTTCTCCTTGGGTCTTAAAAGAGTTAATTCAAAACCATAAATTGTTTTATATTAGCTAGTTATGTATATTTATTTACCTGATGGCTTTATCTTGTTTCCCAAAATTTGGGGGGGGAGGTTTGTTGAAAGCATTGTAACTTCTATAAATGGATATTTTCTTGTAACTGTTAGTGAAAATGGATATGTACATTGTTCTTTTCTATTTCTCTGGGTGTTTTTTTTTTGTTTTTTGTTTTTTTAGAGATAAACTGGTTTTTGTTTTGTTTTGATTTTTGGTTTGTTTTTTTTTTTTTTTTTGTTATCTTGGCCAATGACTTTCATCTATATATTACTTTTATTCAGCCTTCTAAAGAAGTTCGTTTTTCATTGTTTTGTTCACTCAACTTGCCTGAAATACAGAGGGACTTACTCTCATCAATGAAGAAAACATTTCATTATTCCTACAAATCTTTCCAGCGAGCACAGAATTCTTCATAAGGACCAGATCTCTTCCACGTCTTGTGTCAATCACATAAAGCTGAAATGTAAAGGACACTGAAGCCTTCATTTAATTGTACTAAAAATGGTGTGAAATACTACATCATTAGCTAGTTAAGGTTTTCTGACCTGACTTCTCTTTGTCTTCCTAGGTATTTATTTGTTATCTCTTTTAATCTTGTATCTAAATTAACTTAGTTAATAGTTACCCACCGAATAACTATGCCAAGCAACTAGGAAAGAATGTTTATTTTATTTCCCCTTATAGGGGAAGTGTGGACTGGGAACAAAAATGTATGGGCCAAAAGGCCTTAGGTTGTCGTTTATTCACTTTCTTATTCCTCTCATGAGCTATATTTGAGTATATTTTTTCAGTGCTAATGTGCTTGATTATGTCATTACTTTCCATGTCTTCCCTGAGTTGAAAGCCTGCCAGAAACCTATGTATAAAATACATTTTAAAATTTCAATTAAATAAGAAACCACAAAATTCAGTATCTTATATTTAAATACTATTTAAATTATTATTGGAATCCAAGTCTCACTCACTAGGATACATTTTTATAAAATGTTTCTCTGTATCTTGAAATTACTTGCCCAGAGGCAAGAGTTCTGGGGATGTGTTTTCAGAACTTTTAAAATAGGGGGTGAGAGAATAAGTTTATACTTAGTTACTTTATGGTTTTGATAATAGTATTTTAAAATATATCAGTGATTCCCAAACCTGTTGATTAGAACTACTTTAAAGGCCTTTCGAAATACAGATTTCTGAGACCTAGCCACTGCAAAACTGCCTCACTGGGTTTAGAGTGGGGAGGGAGAATTCTGATTTTTTAAAAAGCTCTCCAAGTGATTCTTAATACCCAGGTTTGGGAAATATCATTGCTTTAAAATAATGTGACAGTGGTTTGAGAGTAGGCAACAAAATAAAGGTTTACCAGACATCAATTTGTGGTAGTTTTTTTTTTTTTTTTAAAACTGGGACCAGATTTCACAGAACTTATTCAAGATACACTGAGGAATCATAAAGATTGAGGCTACTGCTCATTTTTCTTGTCTTTCCTACTTTTTAAGAGTTTGCATTTCTAGCACTTGGAATAGTTGATCATATACATAGTTGAAGGACATATCCCTGAATGAGACCATTATATAAACTGTAAAAAAGTCACTATTTTTTTATTTTATAAATCTTTGTAGAAATAAGCAATGAAATACTTTCACCTTTTGAAATGGGATTTTTCAAGGCAGTGTCCTTTTAGCATTAGGTAGGGGGGAGTTAATATTCTCTCTGCCTATTTCCACGAGTTAATATAAATTCATGGACATTTAAAAATCTCATTTTGATTTCTACATATTTGCTATGCAGTATAGCCGTGAACAAGTAATGTAGATTTAGTTTGCTCATCTTCAAATGCCCTGATCACCCTACCTCACAGGGTTGTTGTGGGGATAAATAAAACTTTTATGGAAGCACTTTTCTTCGATGATATTTTATCAGCCATTAGAAATAAGCTTGTATAGGGCTTCCTTTTTTTACGAATGTAGATTTTCACATTTTCCCTTTTGGTGGTCTTTATGGATAGAACAGCGAAGAACAGAGTAGGTTACAGACAAGGGAAAAAAAACAAGGAAATAGGCTCAGAGAGGGCTCTTACTATACAGTTCTGAGACTTGAATTCAGGTATCACTACAACATTGGGAAACATTTCCTAAGGCCTTGGCATTCTTGTATGTTCATATTTACATAAACACAAAGCTTTCTAATGGATTAAGTTAACCTACAAAATGTTCTTAGGCATGTGATTTGGTGCAAAAGATTGTGGTACAAATTAGGTCCTAGTTAAACATCCAGTTTTTAAACGAGGAAATCCCAACTTATACATGTGTATCTTTATTTTACAAAAAAGCAAATGTGTTGAAGTAAGTGTCTTTCCCAAGATCAGATCTGGAATTAGAATCTAGGTCTCTATTGCCATTGTGTTAATGACTTTAGGAGGAATGACATTGTTAATTTCTATAACTACTATGTACAGAAATGAAAGTCCTGAATAAAGAAGGGGTTAGTTTTGAAAAGTAGAAATAAGATGGCAAGAACTAACCAGATTACAGTGAGATAAGTTCTCAGGAATTTAAACTTGATGTAATTGGTTAAAAACTTGAACCAGTCTGTCAAATAGCACTCTGGTCTGATTAAAACCTTTCGCCTCCAGCTTTACTGAGGATAATTGACGGGGTTGTATATTTAAGGTGTACAATGTGATTTGATACCCATAACTGCAAAATGTTTACCACAGTAAGGATCATTATTCCTTTACCTCTCATAATTACCATTTTGTTGATACGGCAAGAACATTAAAATCTCACTAGCACGTTTCAAGTATAGGATGCAGTATTAATGACTATAGTCGCTATGCTGTATGTGTATCAGAGTCCTGGAACACGTAACTTCCTCACTACTTGAGACTACCCTTGAACAGTCATTTTTCCCACCCCCAACCACCACTTGAGATGAGACTGAGGGTCTTTTTGTAAAAGCCTACTGGACTTAAAATGAATATTTAACTTGGGAGGTTCATGAAAAAAAGCACAAAGTTCAGGGCCTTCCTGGTGGCGCAAGGGGTTAATTAAGACTCAGCACTATGAAGCTGTCCGCAGCCACTGCAGCACTAGTTCGGTACCCAGCCAGGGAGCTACCCACACAGAGTATGTGTACTTTCTGCAGTTTGGTACCCAGCCAGGGAGCTACCCAACCAGAATATGTGTACTTTCTGCAGGCCACATTTGCTCCCTTAACGTAGTTGATTTGGGAAGTGGGGTACAGAATCATCTGAAAGCTCAACTAGGCAGGATGTCCAAGATGACTTTTTCACTTCTGTATTTGGTACCTCTTCTGGGATCTCTGGGATAGCCAGGGCTACCCATTTCTCCCTAAAGAGCCTCTCCCTATGATTAGCTTGAAACAGCATGGTGGTCTCAGGCTAGTAAGACTTGCTAAATGGCAGCTGGCTTCTACCAGAGTAAGCACTGCAAAAGGTGTGGGTGGAAGCGCAAAGGTTTGTTACGACCCAGACTTGTATGTCACTTCTGACAAGTTGTTCAGGTATTGTACCAGTCAAAAATGAATCACGGGGCTAGCTCAGATTTGAGACTAAGTACTACATGAATACGCTCATGGAGAGGTCATCTTTAAAGACTAGTACCGTATCTGATCTAGAGGCAAATCTAGATTTTATAGTGTATGAAGCATTTGCAATAATCTGGGCGGACAGAAGAGGCCCACAAAATAAGGGGGCCTGAAGCTAAAGCTTTCTAGCAGATTGATTAATTTGCTTCTGATCCCCTTCCCAAATCAACTATGTTAAGGGAGCAAATGTGGTCTGCAGAAAGTGCACATACTTTGTGTACTAAAACAATTTTCAGAAAAGGAGGAAGTCACTGAGCTTTCCCCACTTCACATTAAGTGTGCAGGTGAATATAACATTATTATTTGAACAAGAAGAACCCAGAGGACCTGATTTTCAAAAAAAGCCACACAAAACATGGTAGAATAGCAGGATTTGATTTTAAAAATTACTATCCTTTCTATACCGCCCTCTTAAACATTAATGCCATCCATCACCATAATCAGATGACTCCCAATCCTGTATCTGTATCCCAGACTTTGCTAGTTTCAAATATACTAGACATTTCTATTTGGATGTCCCACAGAAATATCCAGTTATGTGTGACCAAAACCTTATTTGTCCTTATTTCTCACTATGATCAGAAGTACCATTCATTGATTTCCAAAAACATTTATTGAACATTTACTACATGTCACACATTGGGAATAGAGTAGTAAAAACAAAGTCTCTGTGCTCCAGATATTAAGTAAACAAGATCATTAGAGACTGTGAAAAATGCTATAATAAAGCGGTGAGAGTAACTGAAGAATTACTAAAAAAAGTGATGAGAGTAATCTGAAGAATCCCCATGTAGGAGGAGATAGGGAAGAGGAAAAGGTAACATTTGAACTTTGACATGAAAGAAAAAGAAAAGCCAACTATGCACAGAGGTGTGGAAAGAGCACTGTAGGCACAAAGTGCAAAGTCCAGAAATAGGAAAAGACTTACGGTCTTCACTAGTAGCAATGAGGTTAATGAGAGAATGGCATTGGGGGGTAGCAGGAAGTAGGAATCAGATTACGGAAGGCCTGTTAGTCCATAGTAAGGAGTTGGATTTTATTCTAAGTCACTGAAGGGATTTCGACTGGGAGGAAGGGGTGTAGTGATCTGATTTACATTTTTAAATAAGCAAACTGATGTCTAGTGAATGGACTGTGGAGTGGTAAGGGTGAAAGAACAAAACCAGTTGGGAGGTTATACAACAATCCAGACAAAGCATGGATTAAGGTGGTAGCATGAGACATAGGGTAATTTAAGATTAACTGTGGAAATAAGTCACAGAACTTGGTGATGGACTGAAGTTAGGGCTGAGGAAGAATGTGAGGACAGCTTCCAGGTTGACTTGAGGATCTGCAGATGGGTATCATCATCACTCAATCACCAAAGGCCTCTACTTCTTCCTTTCCTTTTTCCTCTGTATCCAGTTACTGTATTAGTGAGAGTTATCCAGAAAAACAGAACCTGTACGATGTGTATATACAGAGAAGGATTTATTTTAAGGAATTGGCTCATAAGAATGGGAGCTGGGCCTCCCCATTGGCACAGCAGGTTGAGCGCAGTGCTGTCCGCAGCATCTGCAGTGTGGGTGCAATTCCCAGCCGGCCAGGGAGATACCCACATGGTGTGGCAGACCTCTCCTGTCTCGCCCGCTGCTCCCCTCAGTAGTCCTTTCAGTCATCTGCCTGTTCTGGTCCCTGCTCTGTCTCTGGTGAATTTTCTCATCCCCCTGCACCTCTGGCCTGTACCCCAGTTCTTGTATAAATAAATCTTAAAAAAAAAAAAAAAAAAAAGGAATGGGAGCTGGCAGTCAGAAATCTGTAGAGCAGACTAGCAGGCTGGAGACTCAGGGAAAAGCTGATGCAGCAGGTACAAAAGGAGTCTGGAGGTAGAATTTCTATTTCCCCAGGGTGTTTTCTTAGGCCTGTAACTGACTAGATGAGACCCATTTATATTAAGGAGGGTAATCTGCTTTATTCAAAGTCTACTGATTTAAATGTTATATATAATATATTCCCAGTAACAACTAGTATGACCAAAAAGTGGGTACTGTGCTCTAGCCAAGTTCACACATAAAATTAACCATCACAGTCACTAAGTTCTATTGATTTTGACCCTTAAAAATGTCTCACACTTTATAGTCATCTGAACATTAAAGGATCTTGCTAAAAAGTAGAGTGATTCTGATTCAATTAAATGTGGGATAGGGCAGGAAATCTTCATTTCTAACAAGCTCCCCAAGTTCTGCTTCTCAACAAACTTGAGTAACTGTGCTGTACAGTATCTCTTGAAATACCATTTTTATAAAACGTGTTTGTCGACACTCTTAAAAATGGGGAAGGATGGCTGCCACTAGAACAGAATGGCTGATCACGGTATCTACCTTTTTATAACTTGAATGTTGTTCCAAGTATGTGTACTACAATATTCGAAAAATAAGAAAACGAAAAGTAAAAATATCTTAAACTGCTGACCTTTAGCTTAAAAGCCTGCAGTGGAGCCCAGTGGCCGAAAAGGCAGAGTGCATTTTAGGCCATCTTAAGCCCCTAATCGATTTACCTGTTCAGTTGAACTCTCACTGAACCACCGTCAGGTCAGGGCCCGAGAGTGCTCAAAGATGCACTTGCGTAAATTTCCCTTGGTTTTTCAAACTCCAATTCCGCAGTTCCTTCCTCAGGAAGCCTTTCATGCATCCTCCCGCTCCCTGCTCCCCCACTCCACTCCTCCGGAAATGTTGCCTTTTCACATTTAACATCATAATGCTCCTTTTTGTTGCACCGTGTAGAAATTTGTTTACCTGCCTATCTTTGCTCCTCGATTGTGCACTTCTCCAAGACAGGCTACTTTACGCCCAGAGCGGACCGAGTTCCGAAAATTACTCTGCGAAAGGCTTAATCATGCACTGGCTTCAAGGGGCTCACAAGAAGGGAAAATCTTCGAGAACTGGGATTTTCTTCGATTCCTTAGTGACCGACTCGAGACAAACGGGCCGGGAGCTGACTCTGGGCACACGGGCTGGAAGGTTACCAGGAAAGCGGCCCTTTTCACAGGCTCCTTCCCGCGCCCCAGGGCGCACCGGCTTCCAGCGGGATCCCAGCCCACCGCCCGGGTGTGGCCGCGCGCTCGGGGCTCGGGTCTGCGGCTCCCACGGCGTCAGAGGCCTCTCCCGGGCGCGGCGCGCCGAGTTTGGAGCGCCTACAGAACCCGCCAGGGGCTCCGCGCGGGGGCGCGCCCGGGCCGGGGGCGGGACCGAGGGCGGCGGGGAGGGGCGGAGCGCCCCGCTGAAGGACAAGCGCCCCGCGAGGAACCGCCCTGTCCACCTCCCCGCACTTACACTTCCTCCTCCGGGCCCGGGCTGCGCGCGGCGGAATCCCGGCCGCTTCCTCTCCACCGCCCCACCCGCCCCCAGCACCTTCCGCGTCGCGGGACTCCCGACGCCCATCCTGGCGCGACTGCCCGCGCCGGGGCCGGGCTGGCCGCGTTTCACGGCCCCTCCCCGGCCGCGCGCGCGTCGCGCGTCATCGGCGCCGCCAGAAGGGGCGGAGCCCGGGCCCCACGTACGAGTCAGCCACGGTCCCAGCCTGCCCTGCGCGGGCCAACGAGAGCGCAGCCAGTGACTCACCTCCGCCGCGCTAACTCCTCGTTCGCTCGCGCCTCACACACGCTCACACCCGGCTCGAGATGGCGGCGGCCGCGGCCGCGGCGGGGGACTCCGACTCGTGGGGTGAGGAGAAGTTCCGGGGGCAGGGCCCGGGGGGACGCTGGCCTCCAGCGGAGACCGGCGCTGACGCGGTTCGCTCTCTTTTCAGACGCGGACACGTTCTCCGTGGAGGACCCGGTGCGGAAGGTCGGGGGCAGCGGCACCGCCGGCGGGGACCGCTGGGAAGGCGAGGACGAGGACGAGGACGTCAAGGTGGGCGCGGGCCGGGCGCCGCGCGGGCGGCCGGGCGGGCGGACTCGACCCGCGGGCGCTGCCCGGGCCTGCGGCCGGTGGGTCCGGGCACGAGCTTTAGGGCCGGGCGGTGCCCGCGTCTCCGCGCTCGCTCGGCGGCCGGATGGGCCGGAGACTCCCGGCGTGGCCTCTCGCGCTTCCCAGGCGATGGCGCCGGCGGCCGCGCTGCCAGCCCTGCCCGGAGCTCCGCGTTCCGGCCTGGGCCGCCCCGGCCAGCTGGCGAGGGGAGGTGACAGCGGCGGCTCGTCCGGCCCACGTGCAAACTTCGCGGTCCGGAGGCGCCCGCCGGGAGGAGACTGGGACGCCGGGGCTGGGGCCCCGCGCCTCGGCCCATATGGAAAGCCGGGCGGTCCACCTGCCTGGCCGAGCGCGGGTCTCCCGAGGGCGGGTAACCCAAGTGCGACCCTGAAGGCCCCCTCCTTAGTTTATTAGAGCCGTTCCGAGAGTGAAGTGTTGGGGTTTAATTTCAGTATTTTCTTTTCCACACAAGACGAACAGAAGCGGTAAAGTGAAATAACTTTTGGCCTCCCCTCCCCCACCGCATGGTGTGAGGATGAACTGAGTCCCGAGGACCGCCAGCAGTTTGTTAGTGGGCAGAGACTTGGGTAGTCCACGCTGCGATCTGAAAAATGCAGTATTGGTGGAGTGAGTTACTCATCGACACGAAAGACGCCTGAGGAAATGTTGAAGTTTTGGGGGTGGGCGTAGGAGACCAGTGTTTTCCCAGGCCTTATTGACCTGAATTTTGCCTACCTTATTTGCTGCCGAAAAGTTCTGGGGACCGCAGCCTTGAGTGGTTGTATCTTAAGTAACTTCAAAAGCCTCAAACTCAGAATGTTAAGACTTATTGTTAACAAAGCTGCTCGAAATCTTTTATATCTTTGCAGATAAAGTTTTGTATAAATTGAAAAGTGGTTTTTCGTGACTGATTTGTTCAGTGAATGTTTTATTCTCCTAATTTCTACCTTTCAGTACATACTGAGAACCCTACAAATCATTCTTCTGCTTGGGTTGAAAAAAATTTAAGCTAGAGCATCACTGTGAACTTAATATTGTGTTTGCTTCGATTGTTTTCTTTTTTTCTTGAGTCTGATGAAGCGAATGTCCCATTTGTTGACCAGCCTGAGGTTTAGGAATGATCTGAGCTTTCCCCATACTGGAGTTAAAGTGAGGAATACTATTGTGAAGATACTTAGATACTTTATTTACATGTGTAGACTTAGGAATGGATTGTTATTACAGATCTCATTGCAAGATAGTAGTTACAGCCCCACAGTGTAGTGGTTTTTGTGTTTCGGGCTTTACTTTTGTGTTATTAAGATTTATTTATTTATGCATACAAGAAGTGGGGTTCAGGCCAGAGGTGTGGGGAGGGGCAAGTGAGAGGATTCACCAGAGATAGAATGGGGAACAGAACAGGCGGATTGACTGAAACACTGCTGAGGGGAGCAGCGGGCAAGACAGAAGTCAGCTGCGCCTTGTGGGTCAGCAGCCAGGCTCAAGCTCCTGCTGCAGTGGCTGCTGATAGCTTCATAGTGCTACCACTCAACCCCTTGCACCACCAGGGAGTCCCCTTTATTTTTATTTTTTAAAGATTTATTTATGCTTACAAGAGCTGAGGTATAGGGAAGATATGTGGGGATGAGGACAGGGTGAGAGGGTTCACCAGAGACAGTGGGGAGCAGAACAGGTGGATCCACTGAAATACACTGCTGAGGGGAGCAGTGGGCGAGGCTGGAGAGGTCTACTGCGCCATGTGGGTTAGCTCCCTGGCCAGGAATCGAACTCGTGCTATGGTGGCTGCTGATAACTTCATAGTGCTGAGACTTAAACCCCTTGCACCACGTCGGAGGCTCTGCTTTTGGCCTTTAATTCAGATTTACTCTCCACTTTTTCTCTGCATGCCGGATGCAGCAATTAAGGCATTTAAGGAAATTGGGAATAAGTTGGTAAATGAGAAGAAAAGATTAATCAGGAAAGTACCAGAATATTACATTTTAATGGAGTATGCTGGACTGACAGCTTGTCTGAGATCATTGGCTGTACTTAGTGACAGTCCTGATAAATATAATTTTGATCATGTGGAACTAATTTGGGAGATTTACGAATTGTTAAGGACTATAAATGTCTTTTGCCTGGTCATTCAGTTCAGAATTTCTTTCTTTTATACAAATGATGTATTACTTTTAAAAACTTTGAGGTTGATCTGGGAGAAGAAAATGGAACTTGTCCATTTCATTTCTGAGTTGAAATGTTGATTTATTTCTATTGTGTTTCTCCAAGATTCCTAAGCTAACGTATCCATGGAGTTGTTAAGAGTCCAAGCTTTGGAATCAGCCAGACCTGGGCTGTTATTGTTGCTTGACATTTTCTGTGATCATAAACAAGTTTTTAATTTTTCTTTTTAGTTTACCAATCTGTAAATGGTTACTATAGGAGCTATTTTGCAGGGTTATTTTGCATTTTAAATGAGATAATACAGCAAGCATTTAGCAGCTACCTGGCACTTGATACACATTTAGTAGATAGTCTTTCACTTCATGTCTTAATTTTTCTGGTTTGTGGAAAAATGTGATTAAGCTTTCTATTTCATTTTTGCTGCAAAAGGAATACACATTTTTATTTATATTTGATTAGGTGGTTTAGATTTTGTATTTGGAGGTTGTGTCCCATTTGTGGTTGTGTAAGCTCAGAAAAAGTAAGTTCTCTCTACAGTGGTTATTTGCTGTGAAATTTGTGTTTTGAATGGAATGACCATAGGTTATTGAGCAAGTTTGTGCTTTGTCAGAAGTTACCAATTAGGAGCTGAATTTTGCTGCCTTGGATGGAGGTAATACCAAATTTCTGAATGTTTTAGTATTTAAACCTTTTGTAAGGAGATGTAAACAAGGCTTAGTTTCCATGAGATCAAATAATCATAGTCATTAAACAATGCAATATGTGAAGTAAAAGTGTTTTTAAAGAAATTTTCAAAGTAAGTTATGTAGAAACTGAGTTCTTCAGTTTGTGTCAGCATCAAGCTTTAAAAGTATAGGTTTAAGGCCTCCCTGGTGGCCTAAAGGTTAAGTCTCAGCACTATCACCGCTAATGGCCTGAGTTTGAGCCCAGGCCAGGGAGCTAACCCATGTATGGTGCAGCAGACTGCTCTTGTCTTGCTCTGCTTCCCTCAGCAGTGTATTTCAGTCTGTCCACCTGTTCTGTTCCCTGCTCTGTCTGGTGAATCCTCTCACCCCTGCACCTCTGGCCTACATCACAGTTCTTCCACACACATGCATGCACGCATGCATGCATAGGCTTAAAGTCATTTGTAATATCCTGAAAAACAATATGAAAACTGAGATTTGTTATAGAATGTTCTCCAATGGTTTACTATCCTTTAATAGACAATGTAGCATTTTGCTGTTCTTGACTTTACAAATAGCAGTAGCAGAAGTGCATTTAGCCAAAATTGTAACATTATGTTAATGTTCATTGTGGGGAAACACCTATACCTCTTACCAGTTTAAAAGGGGGGCGGGCATACTTCTCTGTCAACGTTTTATTTGTACCTTATTATCCTGATGTTGTACAGAGACAATGGGAGGAATTGTTCCATGCATGTGTCACTGGACTTCTTTCCACATTGATAGAATGTATAGGCTGTGTTGATTAAGAAAGCGATGCAGGGCCAATGCAACTTTTATACTACTAGTCTCTCATCATTTCAGTAGAATGGATTAGAAGTTAGATTTATTCAAGGGTATAGTTTGTTTTGAGAAAATAGCTCAGAAAATATCTGGCTCAAACATCTCAGACATTTGCTTCTATAACTTTTTTTTTAATGGAGTTTCTTTAAATCATTCTAGAGAACTTAGTTGAAAACTGTCATTCTACGCATTCTTATCTTAGGATTCTAATCCAGTTAATAGTTTAAATCTGCCAGAATAAGGGCATTGTTTTAATCATTGAAAATATCACTTCTTAAGAAGCCCATCTCTTTTTCAGAAAAATGAAAGATAATTGGGAATACTTAAACAGTGGATATTTTACCAGGAAATAGGTATCTTGGAGTGTGTGTTTAATTACTTAGAGAATTTTCAGATCTCTACAGAAGTGGAACTAGTTAGTACCCCCATGAACAACCTTATTTCTTCTATATATCCTTACTGCTCTCCTCTCCAACCAGATTATTTTGCAGAAAATCCCAGTCATACTTCATTACCCTGACAGTTTTTATAAACTAGTAAGTTTTTAGTTTGCAACCATGTGGGGACTGTGCTTGTTAATGAAAAATGTTTATCTATACCTAATGCTTTTGAAACGTTGGACCATTGAAAATAAATAAAGCCACTTGTTTAGTGTTCAGTATCTTGATTTTGCTTAGCAGGAATTTAAAGTATAATTGATTGATAATAGTTTCAAATGAGAAAGTTTGGCATTTGAGGTGAAATTCAACTAAATGCTGTGCCATATATAATAGGATGTTAAAGACTTGGTGAATTGAATTAAATGAAGTAGAATTTACTGAGGCACATCACGTACCCTGGCTTTCAGTGACTAGCATACTTCTTAGATGATGGAAGAACATTTGGGATTTTTAAAAAAAACTGAACTTTGCTTGGAAGTCTAGCCTTGCTAGGAGTTCATTACAGAATTCTGAGGCCTCTCAGAGTAGGTGCATGCAGCTTAAAGAACACTTGAAAAAGTTTTTCTTGCAAGAAGGTACGTTTTATCTAAACCAGGCTGCTTAAAGGTATGGAATATATGCTGGTTAATGGGTTATTGCTATGGAGCAGAAGAATTTTACTGCTTTTTTGAAGCTATTTCTGTTTGATCTATAAATATATCTTGCTTAAGTTGGAAAGCATTTTCAACCTGAAATGTGTTCTCTCATTGCATGTGACATCCTCTAGTTGTACTTTACAAAAATGACTGACCATCCAACTATTGGCTACATGATTAGAAATGAAAGGAAAGTGGGATTGTAAATTTTTGTTTGGTTTTCATTTGTTAGTTGTGTACAACTGAGAAGTAGGTTTTAAACTTTGGAAGTAGCTATCTCTTTCTGAGAAATGTCTCAAATGATACTGGGTGTGGATCTGTGGGGCAGGCGTATAGATAAGTAGTTTATAAACAGCTTCTGTTCTAAGAAAACTAGTCAGTTTATGTGAGCAGAGTCTGTGTGATTCTTTGGAGATGATTCTGATATTATAGGTGGAAGATTTATTGGCTACCCAAAATAACTGGGTGAGGAATTTAATTGGTTATTGATAAGTAGTCTCTTGACGCAGATGACCAATTCAGAGCTTATTAACCTATATACTTACTATTTTAAATGTCAGTTTTAGGTGTTTGTCTAGGAACCCACTTTGCATTTTGTCAAGTTTATTGTATTTACAGAGCCCTAGTGTTTATAGAAAATTGGATAGATTTAGCCATTCTACCTTACATTTACTTCTGGGATACCCGCACATTTTTTATATATATATAAAAGTAAGGAAACAAAAACTATTGACATTCCTGAGGAAAGCTACCTGACTTGGCTTTAGAGTGACCAATTTCTCTTTGCTGATATCCCTGTAATCCATCCTTTAGGAACTTCTCCCCAGTATGACAGTCATTTCAGGATGACCTTGTTTCAGGTGCTCAGGGGTGAGGGTGACAGGCAAGATTCACCTTTTATGATCCTTTTATGGCTGCTCCCAGGACTTGTTGATAGAAATCACTGTTTTTGCTACTGAAATCCATCCTGTGGTGGAATTCTAGGTAGCCTGTTATGTCTGTGCTGTGATGGGGTTTAACTCTAGTGTCTGGGGATAAGGTTTATGCTGTGATGGAGAACTCAGGAATAGAGGTGGGACAGAATTGTGAATGAAATACTGAGGGAGCAGTGATGTGGTGGGATGGGGGAACATTTTTGTTCAAAATGTTCTTTTCTTGTATCTTTTTTTCTGTGTTGAAGTTATTGGAATGGAACTGCTTATTTTCAGCCTCTCCCATCTTTGTACCAGAGGCTGCTAGACTAGTTTCTTAAAATTAAGTAAACAACCATCACAGGTAATTTGAGGTTTTAAGGTGGGTGACTGGTATCATTGTCTCTGGGCGTATGTTCTTGGTATGTACCATACATAACCCTTCTCTTTGATGAGATTTCCTGTGATTCCATGTAGCTCATTCTAGAACTAATTGAAAGAACAAATTTTGGTGGGGACAGACTTAATTCTTAGGTAATTATTTTATAAGTTAAGAAGTCATGTTTACATGACTTTTTCAAAGAACTTTGGTCCATTCAAAAAAAGGTTCCTTCATTATGTTTCACTGAGATTATACTGTGATGGAGAACATTTAAATGGGGTAACACCACCTTGCTTACAAGACTGAGGACTGTTAACTACATGTAAAGCCCTTTTCACAATGCCTGATGTAAAGTAAGCACTCACTGAGTGCTATTTGTTATCGTCATCACTATTATTAGTAGAGAGTTGTAAATATGCATCCCCGGGAAATAAGCAGATGGTCCTCCTATCTGAAGCACTGCCTAAGTAGCATATCACTCACAAACCCAGCTTTCATCTGTTCTGTGAAGATTAAAGCAACAAAAAATGTCTGTAGCTGACTTTTATTTTTAGTTCTCTGGTTCCTTTTGTACTATGGTGTATTGAATTAAGACTTGGTTAGTTTATATGCCTAAGTGATTCAGGTTTATGATGTGTCTTGTTATAAAACCAGAAACTTGGTGTCTCAGTTATAGCACATTAATCAGCCTCTGCCTCTTCCAGCAGCATTGAGCCTCCTTTGTATCTGCTATTTTGTGTTGTGGCTCGGCTTCAGATGCCGAGTTACAGAGGCCAAGCAGCCTATAAATTAAAGTCCTATTTAAATACAAGACTACGTCTATCTCGTATTAAACCTTTTTTTTTTCTTTAAGATTTATTTTTTTGTTTATTTATGCATACGAGAATTGGGGTGTAGGCCAGAGGTGGGGGGGGGGCGTGAGCAGAGTCACCAGAGATAGAGTGGGGGGCAGAACAGGCAGATTGACTGAAATACACCTCTGAGGGGAGCAGCTGGTGAGACAGGTCTGCTGCGCCATATGGGTCAGCTTCCTGGGTGGGGATCAAACTTACGCTGTGATGGCTGGGGATAGCTTAATAGCTCTGAGACTTAACACTTGCACCTCCAGGAAGGACCTATCTCATTTAAACAGTCTGTGGAGCCTTTAGAAAACTGTGATAATTGGTTTATATTTAGTTCAGTTAGGCAGTGAGCTTTGTTGGTCATACAAAAGACAGGGTATAGATTCACCTCAGAAGGCCCTGCCCAAGGTAAGGCGTGGGCCCATGAAGCTTTTTGATCAATTCTTGCTTGGCTCTTTTTTAATACTGGATTTAGATATTATAGACTTAATTCATTAATGAGAATTGTGTTGTGTGGAACATCACTTGAAATAATTGAGCCAGTGGCTAGACTGGGGGCTGCTTTTATATTTGGAGGATAGTAAGTATCCTCTCAATTCTTTTATTTAAAACACTTGTGTAGTACTTTAACGAGGCAGTCTGTTCTGACTCATTTGTCTTGTGTTTTGTTAATTGAGAAACTTTTTTAGGGAGTTAGAGAAGAAGACATAAAAATTCATATGGAAAAGCAAACATGGCCAGTTAAACCCAATAAAAACCTTGATAACGAGGCCTCCCTGGTGGCGCAAGGGGTTAAGCACAGCACTGTGAAGCTATCCACAGCCTCTGCAGCTAGAGTTCAATCCCTAGCTGGCCAGGGAGCTACCCACATGACATAGCAGACCTCCTGTCTCGCCCACTGTTCCCCTCAGCAGTGTATTTCAGTCAGTCTGCCTGTTCTGTTCCACACTCTGTCTCTGGTGAATCCTCTTACCCCTACCTCTGGCCTGTACCCCAGTTCTTATATGCATAAATAAATAAATCTAAAATAAAAAAAACTCGATAATCTACAAGGGGAGACTAACACTGGACTACATAAAAACATACTTTAAAGCCTCTGTAGTTAAAATAGTATGGTACTAGTTGATGAAGAGACAGTATACTGGTGGGATAGACTAGAAAATAGACTAAATACTTATGAAAATTTAGCCTGTGGTAAATCACAGGGCAAAGACAGACTTTTTAATAAACAATGCTGTGAAAACTAGGGAAGTGTTTTGAAAAATTAGATCCACACTTCATACTACAAAAGGGAAAACTCCAAATGGGTCAGGGATCTAAATGAAAAAATAACAGAAATATGCACTTCTAGAAGAAAATTTCTTGTTGTAAGAAGACTTTATAACTGACTTGAAATCCAAAGGCAATATAAATTTTAGTGAATGTGGTGAATATAGCATTATATGGGGAAATGCTAGGACCATTTCCATTCAGAGAAAAGGCAATGATGCCTATTTCTCCCATTACTCAACTTTATACTAGGGTTTTTTGGGGGTGTTTTTTTTTTTTTTTAAAGATTTATTTATTTATACATACAAGAGCTAGGGTACAGGCCAGAGATGCTGGGGGTGAGAGGATTCACCAGAGACAGAGTGGGGAACAGAACAGGCAGACTGACTGAAATACATTGCTGAGGGCCTCCCTGGTGGCGCAGCAGGTTGAGAGCAGCGCTGTGAAGCTGTCCGCAGCCTCTGCAGCGCAGGTTCAATTCCCAGCCGGCCAGAGAGAATCCCACATGGCGTGGCAGACCTCTTCTGCCTTGCCTGCTGCTCTCCTCAGCAGTGTCTTTAGTCTTGTCTGCCTGTTCTGCTCCCCACTCTCTCTGGTGAATTCTCTCACCTTCCCGCACCTCTGACCTGTACCCCAGTTCTTGTATAAATAAATAAATCTTTAAAAAAAAATACATTGCTGAGGGGAGCTGTGGGCGAAACAGGAGAGGTCTGCTGTGCCATGTGGGTTGCTCCCTGGCCGGCTGGCGATTGAACTCGTGCTGCAGAGGCTGCGGATTGCTTCATAGTGCGGTGCTTAACCCCTTGCACCACCAGGGAGGCCTATACTAGGGGTTTGTTTTGTTTAGTTTTTTATACTAGGGTTTTAACCAGAACAATTGGATAAAAGTCATTTGTGGAAGTATAAGACTTGGTGAAGAAGTCCAGCTGTTTTTATATTTGGAAAGCCCTAAAGAATCAATGATAGAACTGAAGTTCACATGGAAAAGTAAACATGCAAGAATTATTAATGGAGTCCTTTTCTTTAGGATAACTGGGATGATGATGATGAAGAAAAAAAAGAGGAAGCAGAAGTAAAACCAGGTGAGCCACTGGGGCTCTTTCAATTTTGGTTTTATGTCTTGGTGAGCATCTGGTGTTTACATTAAGAGAAATGACAAAATGCTCCCCAAATTAAAGATTTTGGTTTTTAGAAACCAGACATTCTTCCATTCCCACTTTATTCTCTTCTCCCTGCATCTCTTTTCTAAACCCTCACCTCCATTAGGTACTCTTAAAGAGTTGGTTTGGCATCAGAGTTGAATGACCTGAGCCCTACTAAAAGTTTGTGAGGAAAACATGAAGGGAGATTCTTGGGTTGGGTTTTAAGGGTCAGATTAAGGAGAAAGGAAGCGTTCCGGGACATTCCCATTCTTATTTGCCAGGAAATCACTATATGATGTAGCTGGGAGAGTGAGGTTTGGTTTCTTGAAGTATCATGTCTCTCATCCATAAACTGAAAAGTATTCAGGATAATGGATTAGAACATTTCTTTACTTTCAGAAGTAAAAATTTCAGAAAAGAAAAAAATAGCAGAGAAGATAAAAGAGAAAGAACGGCAACAGAAGAAAAGGCAAGAAGAAATTAAAAAGAGGGTAAGTGCTATTCATTTCTAAAACAGAATTTTCATCAGTAGTGCCTTAACAGAAAGCAGATATCTAGCAATTTGAAGGACTTTAAATAAAGACTGCAAACCACCAAATAAGTAAATCCCAAAACTGACTGAGTTTGTGGCTTTTGCAAAAAACTGAACCCAGCAGCTTTATGTGTTAGAATGCCTTTTTAGTTTTCACCAAAATTTGGAAACAGTCAATGATTATGTAGTGATCAGAGTCGATGACTTTTTTTGTCAGTGCCTTTCTTTCTAGTTGTGATTAGTCTTTATTTTCAGTGTTATGTATATTGAGTGAACTATACAGTGTTAGTTTCTCTGCCACGTACTGTAATAAGTGTTTTTGTTCTTGATTGTTTGCAGCAAGATCCATGAATATTGTTTGTTGAATAGAAAACAAATTTACATAATTCAAAAATCAAAACAATATTAAGAAGCACTCTCAACCCCTTCACTCATTTCTTATTTTGCATTCTCTACCCTAGAAGTAAATACTGGTTTCTTATGTCTCCAAGGTGTCTTTATGTGTATTTGAATGTAACTAGTATATTCTTATTCCTCCCTTTTTTTAGTTTTCGCCTTGCTTTATTTAATTTGCCATAAGACCTTTGTGCATCATATCACAGAGAGCTACCTTATTTTTTCCTTGACTTTCATTAAGAAAAACTTCAGGGCCTCCCCGGTGGCGCAGCAGTTGAGCGCTGGCTTGCAAAGCTGCCCGCAGCCTCTGCAGCCTCTGCAGCGCCGGTTCAATCCCCGGTTGCTCCCCGGCCACCAGAGGAGGGTCCCACATGGTGCGCAGACCTCTCCTGCCGCCCGCTGCTCCCCTCTGCAGTGTACTTCGGTCCTTCTGCCTGCTCTGCTCCCTGCTCTGGCTCTGGTGAATTCTCTCACCCTCCCGCGCTTCTGACTGTACCCAGTGCTTGTATAAATAAATAAATCTTAAAAAAAAAAAAAAAAGAAATAAAGAAAAACTTCAAACATAAAAGTAGAGAAGAAAAAATAAATAAAAGTAGAGAAGATAGCATAATGAATAATCATTCACTTCACCTAAATTTATTAATATTTTGCCATATTTATTTCATTCTTTCTTTGCTAAAACATAATCAGGTAAATGGCAAGCCTTCATTTTATCTTTCAATACTTTAGTATGGGGCCTCACCGGTGGCGCAGCGATTGAGCGCCGGGTTGTGAAGCTGCCTGCAGCCTCTGTAGCGCCAGTTCGATCCCCGGCTGCTCCCCGGCCACTGGAGGAGGGTCCCACATGGTGCGCAGACCTCTCCTGCCGCCCGCTGCTTCCCTCAGCAGTGTACTTCGGTCCTTCTGCCTGCTCTGCTCCCTGCTCTGGCTCTGGTGAATTCTCTCACCCTCCCGCGCTTCTGACTGTACCCAGTGCTTGTGTAATAAATAAATAAAAGCAAATCTTTTTCAAAATAAATAAATACTTTAGTATGATCTCTAAAAATGTAAGCAACTTATGATTCCATAGATAATACAAACTATTGTTCAGTAGTTTTTTTAATATTAACTAATACTATTCAGTTTATATAGACAGTTTTCCTAATTGCGCCAGAATGTCTTTTATGTAAGAATGGTTTAAACAGAGACCTTGCATTGCACTTGTTAACATGTCCAGTGTGTCCTTATGTCTTTAAAATACTTGTTGAAGAGAGCTGACCAGTTATCTTGCACAAAACCCCGCCTTCTAGATTTATTTGATTGCATCCTTGTGGTTGTAATTTCCTGTAACTTGGCAATTAAGTCTAAAAGTTTTGGTTGGACTACTTTAGAGGTGATGCTGTGTGCTTCATATTGCATCACCTCACATTAGGAGTCATGCATTTTCTGTCCTGTTGTAGTGATGCTAAAATTGATCACTTAGGTAAGGTGGTGGCAGCCGGAGAGTTTTGTAAAATTAGTTATTTCTTCTTGCAAGTAATCCATTTTCATATCAACATCAAAGCCAATAGTTTTAGTGTTACAGACCATTTTTATGGTGATCACACAATGGTGATTTTTCTCATTCTATTTCATTTTCTAAGGCTGGCTTTTTTCTTTTGCTATTTGGTTACTTTAAATATGGTTTATACTGGGCAGAGTAAAACCTTAATTCTTTTCCTTTAGTAATCAATTTTCAGTGTAAGGAGAATGTAATAACTTCGGTGGTGAAAAATGGGGGACTTTGTGGGGACTTTTATTTTTTTTTTTAAGCTTTATTTATTTAGAAGATTTATTTAAATATTTATTTTATGCATATAAGAGCTGGGGTGTAGGCCAGAGGTGTGGGGGTAGGGAGGGTGGAGGTGAGAGGATTCACCGGAGACAGAATTGGGAGCAGAACAGGCAGACTGACTGAAATAAACTGCTGAGGGGAAGAGCTGGTGAGACAGGTCTTCTGTACCATGTGGGTCAGCTTCTTGACCGGGGATCGAACTAGTGCTGCAGTGGCTGCAGATAGCTTCATAGTGCTGAAACTCAACCCCTTGCGCCACCAGAGGGGTCTTTTTAAAAAAAAAAAAAAGATTTATTTTTATTTATTTATGCATACAAGAGCTGGGGTATAGGCCAGAGGTACAGGGGTGTGAGGGGACTCACCAGAGACAGAGTGGGAAGCAAAACAGGCAAGTCTACTAAAATACATTGTTGAGGGGAGTAGCTGATGAGACAGGAGAGGTCTGTCTGCTGTGCATGTGGATTTTTTCCCTGGGCAGGGATCAAACTGCAGAGACATGGGTAACCATGCATGGCTCAAATTTCTCTTGCCTTTTTCCCCAGTATTACTATTGAAGGTTTTCCCTTATAATAAAAGTAATCCAGCAGCTCTTCTGTTTTCCTGTGATTATGCAGCTTTTCTTTTCCACCAACCTTTTCCTTTAGCAAAGCATCAGAGGGAAGCTCTTCTCCCATCCCTGCCTGCTTGTGTCTGTACAAATATTCTTTACTTTCCTTCTTTTTTTAATAATAAGCCTGCCCTTTGGATATTAAAAAAAATCCATATTCATTGTAGAAAATTTAAAAAATTGTCTCAGGAGTAGGATTGAGAAATGTGACAACATCTACTTTTATACCCGTTAAATTCTACAGTTTTAAGTTTGTTAATTACTTTTATAATATAAAAATTAAGTTGGAAATGTTTATTGGGTTCTTTGCAAAAAGCTTGCTTTTTATATTTGCATAGTATTGTCATGAATATGCCATATTCTGTTGAACATTTTGTTTGTAAATTTTTTTGAAATTGTAAGTAATGCTCCACTGAATATCCTTTTGGTTAAATGTTTGTGCTTATTTGTTTTTTTTAACTGAATATCCTTTTGGTTAAATGTTTGTGCTTATTTGTTTTTTTTTTAATCAAGAAGTATTTTTAATTAGCTGAAAACATTGGTTTAATGTAACCCAAATACTGCTCCCCCTCCACCTTAGCTGTGTAGCGCTTCCACATTGACGGGCTCATGATGAGCCCCCATGTTTTCAGTTCTATTCAACTAACAGTGATGTTTCCAACACATTTCTTGGAGCCCAGTCTCATGGGGTGAGGGGGGGGGGAAGATGGACGAGGGGCTGGGGAGACGGGGGTGGGAGACAGACGGGGGAAGACAGACACAGGAAGGAGAGTCAACATAGTGAATTGACACTATTTAGTGTGAGCAGTGGGCAAGAGAGGAGAGGCCCACTGCACCTTGCGTGGAGTTGGCTCCCTGGGCCGGGTATCGAACTCAGGACTAGCAGCAGCGGCAGCACTGAGCCTTAACCCACTAGGCCACTGGGGAAGCCCTTCTTACTACCTGTCTTTAAGGCTACTAGTACTTCTCTGGAGGGAGCATCTGCTTTGGCAATGGTGTGGTGATGTAGACGCCTCATAAACTCGGCATCTGCAGGTGTAGCCCATGTCCTGAGAGGGCAGTGAGGGGTAAACAACGCAGTCTGGTATCTGCTCATTGGGAGCCAGCACTCAAGTGGGCCTCAAGTTTACAGTCAGTGTGGCCCGTAACTGCTGCCTGCAGATGCTAATATACACTGCGGCTCCCGTCTGGGGGTGCTGACTAGCGTGCATAGCCAGGAACAGCCGTACAGTCTTCTTTCTGTGGCAGGGCCTGGAGACGAGCATGGACACCTTGGCCAAGAATTCCAAAGACATTCACTCAGGTTCATGCCATCCTGACGCAGCTGGGAAGGGCCCTTCAGGGAATCCTCATGCAAGTCCTTCCAGACTATGGAGGAAAGATTTAAAGATACAATGTGATATTTCTCTTTTTTCCCAAAAACACTTTTTGGTTGGTTTAGGTCCTTCAGCTTTGCGCCCGCGCCATGGCGCACACGTAGGTGTTCCAGGGTCCACAGCGCACGGCCTGCACCTGGAGGTGTTTGTCCACAAAGTAGTCCACGCGGCAGGGTCAGTCCCAGCTGGCCGTATTTGCCCTAGCCCCAGGTATACAGCTCCCCGGTCCCTGGCGCCCGCCCCGACGGCCTCGCGTGGACAGCGGGTGGGGCCTCCAGGGCGCGGGCTGGGCCAGATGGCCCTATGGCCGTGGGGCCCGCAAGAAGGCCCCCACGGACCACTGCAAGGAGAACCTGAGGGGCGGCCGGGGCGCCCCGCACAGGCCTCTGCTCCCCCTTAATTTGGTTTCTTAAGATAAATACCTAGAAGTGGTATTAGAGCATCTACAAATATTTTAAGATGATACATAATTATGAAATTGCCCTAGAAAGGTTGTTGGAATAGTAGTTTTAGCAGTGTGTGAGAGTGCCGTTTTCGCCTTCCAGTTTTTTTTTTTTAAGGCTATAGAAATAATCCCAGTCTTTCCAGGTTCAAATTGGTTTCATGTCTCATCACTATCATAATACTAGCTATGTTGACAATCTGCTACCATAGCAGGCTGCTTTACCTCGTAGTGCCTTTTTTTTCCCTGTGAAGTTGGGATAAAAATATATAAGGGTTTAAAAGAATGCTTGAAATATATTAATCACTTTCTAAGTGTTTGTTATTTATATGTGCTTACTGCAAAGAAAGTCATACTATACAGATATCTAAAGAGTCTGTCATAATCCTACCACTTTTAAAACTTCATTTCTATTTCATTAGTTAGAAGAACCTGAAGAATCTAAAGAACTAACAGCAGAAGAACAGTTAGCAGATAAACTACGGCTAAAGAAATTACAGGAAGAGTCAGATCTTGAATTAGCAAAAGAAACTTTCGGTAAGTGGGGGTGTGATTGCAGTGTAATAATGAAGCTCCATGTGACTGTCTCAGTAGTTATGAAAGTTCAGAAAACATCTTTTTTTGAAGAAACATGATAGTGGGCTAATTTTAGACATTAGAAAGCAGTTTTTACTTTTTTTTTTTTTTTAAGATTTATTCATTTATACAAGAACCTGGGTACAGGCCAGATGTGTGGGAGGGTGAGAGCATTCACCAGAGACAGAGCAGGGGGCAGAACAGGTGGATCCACTGAAATACACTGCTGAGGGGAGCAGTGGGCGAGGCAGGAGAGGTCTGCCGCACCATGTGGATAGCTCCCCAGCTGGCCAGAATTGAACCTGCACTGCAGAGGCTGTGGACAGCTTCACAGTGTGGCGCTCAACCTCCTGCACCACCAGGGAGGCCCCAGTTTTCACTCTTGAGATTTCATTACTTATAAGAAGGTTAATATGATGTTCAGATTTTTTAATGTTTTAAGTATCAGAAAGTTACTCAGATTAAAAAGTCACAGGACGCAGATAAGTACACTCAAAGCAGTATACTTTATCAGCTGGATAAAATTTGGACAAAACATGAAGTCTGTAGTTTTGAGACTTAAATACCGAACTTATTGGAAAACTGGCCAGTTGTCTTAAGTCTGGATAAGAATTAGACAATGCCATACAGGTCTTGGTGGGTCATTCAACTTAGGCTCTTGCCCTCTTGTGCTCAAGGTCTTTTCATTCTTTCATCCTCCTCTGCCCTCCCCATGACCTGTCCTCAGATAGCTTCCATTTCTGTTATGCCTACGGCTGTGGTTAGTGCATGAGATATAAGGATGAATATTCAGGTTCCTTTAAGTAAGTTTACAATGTACTAGGAGAGTTATGTAGCACAGATGGATAAAGTAAGAGATCTGGATGGGTAAAGAACAGTTAAAAACTCATATAACCACATTTTTGGTCATTACTTACCGAGTACTTTTTAGAGTAGAAGATCATGTTTAGACTGCTCAATAAATTTGCAGTCTAGCTCCAAGAAGGACCTGGTTACCTTGATTTTTCCCGTAATCTTTTCTCTTTAAAATGGACCAAGAAGGCTATTTTTTTTTTTAAGACTATTTCTCAGTGCGTCTCTAGCAATCTCAAGAGTTACTGTGAATAATCCTGTACTTACAACTGGTATGCTTGGCATGCCTCAATTACCCTTGTCTTATTACAGAGGGCACACTGCTATTATCCTGTGTCTTCATAATGGTAAAAGCAAACAACGTGTTTGTTAAAGGTTTTTATAGGCTACTCATAAAGCCTGATATATGGGACACACTTACAGATTAAAAGTCTTTATTTAATAGGAATTTTAATGTTGTATTTCTCGTACTAAAGTAATGAATCAGTGATGTTAGCTAATTTGATATTGAGGCGGATACAGAAATGTAGTTGTCTTTTAGTCTAGAATCCTTTTAGGCCATATTAATTGTTGTATTGAATTTAATACAGTTTAACCCTGCTTAGCTTTTTGAATTAGTTAGCTCGCTGGATGCTTTGACAGGAGCCTGTTTTGTTTTGTTTTGTTTTGTTTTTCCTCCATTGTGTACTATCCTTGAGCAGGCTCTTTAAGGACATCCTTTTTGTGCCAGGGATTCCTTTAGCATTCTGGTGAAGCCTGTGGGCCCTTTTTAGTATTTTTCTAAACATATGAAAGACATAGGATTTTACTTACACAGGAAATCTGTTATACTGAAATAGAGGTATCAAAATCTTAAAATAATTAGTGATACAGTAATTTTGTGCTTTATGGCATCAGCTAAGATCTAGTGGCAGGTCTAATCCGTAATGTAATTTGAAAGATGACTGAACAATTTTTCAAGTTATTTTCAATAACAGTAATGTGATAGGAAAGTATCTTGATCTCTTGATTACAGTCAGGTTTGGCTGGTGCCACCATGGTTATTTCCTGTAATCAAAATGTTAGGAAGTACTAGAGGTTAATAAAAATTGTGATTTGTGATTCTCCCCGCCCCATACAAACTCACAGATCCCTTGAATTCTGTCCAGAGACTTCAGTGGCCCGGGTTAAGAATCTCTGCTTTTGGGCCTCCCTGGTGGCGCAGCGGTTGAGCGCTGGGTTGCGAAGCTGACCGCAGCCTCTGCAGCGCCGGTTCGATCCCCAGCTGCTCCCTGGCCACCAGAGGAGGGTCCCGCATGGCGCGCAGACCTCTCCTGCCGCCCGCTACTCCCCTCAGCAGTGTACTTCGGTCCTTCTGCCTGCTCTGCTCCCCGCTCTGGCTCTGGTGAATTCTCTCACCCTCCCGCGCTTCTGGCTCTGGTGAATTCTCTCACCCTCCCGCGCTTCTGACTGTACCCAGTGCTTGTATAAATAAATAAATCTTTAAAAAAAAAGAAGAATCTCTGCTTTAGAAGGAAAAAACAGGATTATTTAGATAGCTTGGTTTATGAAACTATTAAAAATCTCTGATGTTTTCAGTGCTCCCTTTCTCCTACAGGTGTTAATAATACAGTTTATGGAATAGATGCTATGAACCCATCTTCAAGAGATGACTTCACAGAGTTTGGAAAGTTACTAAAAGATAAAATTACACAATATGAGAAGTCACTATATTACGCCAGTTTTTTGGAAGCCTTAGTTCGAGATGTGTGTATTTCATGTAAGTAATTCTGATCTCTAGTCCCTATGGGTGGATTTGATAAGGGCACATCATAGGAGGATAGAGGTTGACTTTTCAGATGCTATAATCCAGATTTGGGATTTTGCTTTTTAGTAGTTAACATTGGGAATGTTGTTCTACAAATATACGATGAGTTGGAGTGGTTTTGTTTTTGAGAGTGCCTTAATGTTATTTTGGCCTCTAAAAAAGAGAGATCTGGGCTCATTAGTGCAGCAGCTAAGAAAACATTAGCTTATTCTTTAATTATATGAGAGGCTGGGAAGGATCTTTCTGGAAATGTTCTCTGGGCATACAGGATTTTGGAGGCAGGTGAGATGATTACATATGTCCATTTTACAAACGAGGAAGCTCTGACTGGGTCCAAGTTGCTCAACAAGAGCTGGCATCTATTCTCTGGCTCCATGGGTGTGGTGCCATGTCCTGAGAGGAGTCATACATTACAGGGGCAGGGTGTGGGGGGTGAAAACTAGGGGTGGTGTGGCACTCTGTGGAAGGGACTGGTTTTGCTAGTATTTTCTGTTTTTAGGTTTGGGAAAAAAGTACTCTGCACAATGAATTTTAAATTGGTTTTCATTGAGAAGTTGCTGGGCTGGAGATGGTGAATTCACGTTTCTGTTCATACACTAAACTTGTATACTGAATACACTATTTGTCCTGTTTTTGAAGGTACTCTGAATACTTCAAAACTGAGTACTTTTTTTGTAACTTAAAACTGGTATTTGTTTCCAGCTTTATATTTTTATGAGGATGTAATGTCCACAGGGTTGTCTCCTTCCTGGTAGGATGCTAAGATTTCTGAGATACGTATTTTCATTCTGGTTTCTGTGCTAGAAAATAGAGACTCGAAGAGGTGAGGAATTGTCATCTGTAGTTTTTAGAATTGCTGTTCTGTGTTCCTTCAAGCTGTTCCTCACTGAGCTAGATACCGAGGATGGGTTATGGAAGGCAGTGGTATCCTGTATGTAGCTTGAGTGAGGAAGGATTGTAGGCAGCATGTGAGCTGTAAAGACACCTCCAGGTTCTTTTTGGTGATTACAGGCATTTATAAAATAGATGTTTTAGTTGTTGAGTTGCCATTTTACTTGAAATAGTTTTGATTTGTGAGCCTAGCTGTAGACTCAATGATTTCTTTACTACGTTATGTTAAAAAGGAGCAATTTATCTCTTTTTAATGTTACCAAACTTAATGGGGAGGCTAGATTTCTCATGGCACTTGTGGAAAAATGTATTTTCCTTTGACTTACTCCCCAAAACGCTTAAAAATTAGTGGTACGCTTTTTTTTTTTTTTTAGTGGAAATCGATGACTTGAAAAAGATAACCAATTCATTGACTGTACTTTGCAGTGAAAAACAGAAGCAGGAAAAGGTAAGAAGAGCAGGTTGGGGGTACAACAATGTATTACCTAAGTATTGGAGGGGGGCGAGGATGGAGGGGATGGGCATAATATTATCAACAGACAAAGGAATTTGACCTAAGCAGTTCACCATTTAAAATGGAATTGAAAAGGACTGTGAATGCCATTACTTTTTGTTTTTTTAGGATTGATTTATTTATGCATACAAGAGCTGGGGTGTAGGCCAGAGGTGCAGGGAGTGAGAAGATTTACCAGAGAGAGTGGGGAGCAGAACAGCTAGATCTACTGAAATATACGGCTGTGGGGAGGCAGGAGAGGTCTGCTTCACCATGTGGGTTGCTCCCTGGCTGGCCAGGGGATCAAACTTCATGCTACAGTGGCTGCAGACAGCTTGATAGTGCTATCTTTAACCCCTGTGCCACCAGGGAGCCCCTCCCCCCCCCCATTACGTTCTTTTATTACAGACATAGTCACGATTTTCTTTGCTGAATTAATAGAACATTTGTGGGTAAGGTCTGGGCACTTTTTCATAGGACAAAAGTTTTTCTGGGAACAGAGGCTTTGGTGTGTCCATAGGGGTTGCTATACCTGATAAAATGCCCATAACGTAAAGTCTCATGACTGACTCTCTTTCATCTTCAGCAAAGCAAAGCCAAAAAGAAGAAGAAAGGTGTGGTTCCTGGAGGGGGATTAAAGGCCACCATGAAAGACGATCTGGCAGATTATGGTGGTTATGATGGAGGATATGTACAAGACTATGAAGACTTCATGTGACATTTTACCTTTTCTGGTGTCTTCTTTCTGTTGCCCACAATCCCTTCAACATGTAGCACAACTTCCTTTCCTTTCAGTTCTGCCAAATGCTACAATCAGAAGTGCAGTATCTTTTGTGCTGGTTATTTAACCCCTTGACACTTAGGTGCTAATGTGCAAATGAGGGAACTTGGATCTTGCTGCCAAGGGGTTAAAATTGGGAACCTCAGTTGCTACTAAATCATAGTTTTAAAATCAATCCTAATAATGTTGTCATTGTTGCTATCTGATAGCAGCAGTTACTAAATTGGAAACAAAGGTTGCAACATGACAAAAATTGTGTAGTATTTACCAGCACCATTCAGTAATACAGCCTTAACCATACCTCCTTGAACTACTTCATAACTTGTCAAGAAAAGCAGTTTGCAGCAAGGGCATGTGGTGTGCACCTAGTATTAAAATTGCTTTGTCTTAAAATTGAGCGTGAGGATATTAAAAATGCATTGTGAAGAAGACTTTTATCTCAGAGTGAAGATACGACGACTACAGAGCACTAGTTTGAAACTTAAAAATTAAATGACCAAAATCCTCCAACTTTGAAGCTGATGAAGGTAAACCTCTCCATTACTGCATTATAAGTTGTGGAAACTCTTGACTGCATAAACTGTCTAGTTCTTTATATTTATCAGATTATTCTACTGATGGAGTGCTTCGTATGGGGGAGGGAAGCCCTTTACCTGTTTTATTTGCCTGATTTTAAGTGTCTGAGAAACAAATCTCCTTTGTTCTCCTAGGCTGCAGTGAACAACTTTAACAGGGTTTTGGCATTTCCTTTCCTTTATAAAACATGCTCAGCAAACTGCACCAGTTAACTACAGTTTGGTAAATTGTTATGTTAACAATTATGACATCTGCAATGTTTTATAAAGCAACTAATTTAATAAAATCACTATTGTGAGGACTTAAATTTTGTGTTACCTCCCAAGAGATATTTTTGGAGAATATAGAACACAGCTCTTGGGACTACAGTTCTCTAATACTTGTAATGCTTAGTAAATGCTTGGCAGGTAGTTACAGCTTTACAACAAAAATGATTTGCTGGGTCCTTAATAGTGTTACCCTTGAGCAACAATGGTATATAGAACTGCCTTTTTCTTATTTATTTGGGGAAATGATTTGTTTAGGTACTAAGGCCTAACTAAAAGAACTATTTATTTGGAGTAATTGAGCTTATAACTCAGGTTATGGCTGTAAAAAGACTGGGTGATGATCTTTATATTATATATTGTCTTTCAAGTGATTTAACCAAATTTGTGGTTGGAGTTTTATTTTTTTAACTGTCACAATCAAAATAGGAACCTATAGGACTTAAAGTGTTTTTAATTTCTCTTACATAGGAAATAGGAGCCAAAAAGCTCTGTAGACCACTAAGTGGAAGACAGGACCATCTAAATGATTAACAAAGCAGTGGCTACGCAGCAATAATTATAACAAAAATTATTTTAAGGCAGACAAGGGCTAAGATTTCCTTAGCAGTAATAATGACATAAATGAATTTAAAATCTATTTTATTATAGAGATCAGTTTCTAACAAATGGAAATGTATCATCTGTTCCTTAACTGTGTAAATAATATTAAATTCCTTTGAAACTGGAATATGCAGGCACAGGTATTCTTTGCTTAATATTTTATCTCAAAGGAGAAGCCATCCTGAGGAACATGGAGCTTTGGCTCTCAATACCAAAATCTACATAAAGTGGTAAAAGTGAAACACTTAAATAGGAATTTCCTTATGAAAATTCTGTCATCCTTTACCCACTATTCACAAAGAACCGGTATGTTCAAAGGTCACTAGTATATTCTATTCTGATCATAAACATCTGTCAGTACCTCCTTTCCGTTAAACAGGCACCCAAGAAATCTTGGCAGTGACCACACTCATATTACCTGAATCCAGCTAAGCTGCTAGCATGTCCTTTAGACAGCAACCTGTTTGAGGGTCCTTCAGCAGCACATTTACAATGTCATAAAATTTGTGTTCGTATGCCAGCTTGTAATACAAGTAGATGTCTTCACAATAGGTGAGTAATTTCTTCAGGTTTTTCACAACCGTTTCCGTAGGCTGATGTTGTTTGTATCTGGACAAAAATATAATGTACAGGTTGAGATTCTGTGTGTTGAGTGAGGACTGTTAGCTGACACTATCACTACCTACAGAGAGGGTGCTGGGAAAATGACATTGTAGTAGTAGTAATGGTGGTGGTGGTGCCTGTAAACGCTGAAGTTACTTCATTATAACTGTCTTAATGCTCACCTTAATTAGCAAGAATTCAGTACTCCACAGAGGACCTCTGATGTTTATCGTTTTTGGCACCAAGGCATGGTGAGTTGCTATTCTCCCATTTTAAGTATAAAGTACCATAAGCAAGCTGTCCTCATTCATCTGTTTGCATAAATTTGTGAAAAGATTTTTTTCCTTGCAGGAATCCTTAAAACCTCAGCCATCTCAAGCAGAGGTAGCACCCAAGCATGTTAGACTTAACCATAAAATTCCTACCGTCTTATCTCAAAGCAGAGGCATTTTGATACTTACTTCTTTGAAATTTCTTCAAATATATTGGATCTTAATAACCTTTGCTGCTTAAATTCTTCCAAATAATTAAAGTCTCCTTTAATAATCACTTGTTGGTATAGAATTTCAGCCCAATCAGGAGCAAAGTCATAGGCCTCAGCCACAATAGAAGCCTTAAAAAGATGGAGGATGACACTGTTAGAACCAATTTGGTATAAAACTGAAGGCAAATTATTCTACAAAACTTTATACTGTACACAGTACTGCAGTGAATGTGATCATTACCAATTATGTTAAAAAGGTCTATGAATCAAGGTTGGTGAGAAGTGGTGTTGTTTCCTCACAATAGTTTAATAAAACTGCTGAGAAAGAATACTTTTCTCACTAACTCAATTATACAGGGCACAGTGAAAGGGCTGAAACAGCCTTCCAGAAGCCCTGATTCCCTAGGCTAACCCCAGTACACCATTCTAGAAACACCAGGTCTATCTAAGAGACGTTCAAAGGACCAGGAGCAGGGATGTTTCTCTGAACCTCAACTGTCTAAGGGGCAAAGGTGTGTCTGCTGCTCTGCTGAGCTAACCTTGTAGGGAATGAGACAGTGCCAGCTTAACACTCTCCAACCTCTGCCCCAACAATGTGTTACTAAAAAATACCACCATGAAAAGGTAATCAGCCAGCCAGGTGAGAACTGGCGTGTCCTGGTTCTGTCGCTGATCTGAGTCACAAGAGGGACAGCAAGAAGGCGCAAGCTGGCAACGCTGGTTAGATTTTTCTTCCTTGCTCACCTGGTAGAATCGAGGTAGGGCCATGATACAGTCCATCAGCCTGTGGCGGCTCAAGTTGATAAGCATTGTGTTCTGGCCATTGTTCAGGAAGTGGATCTGCAGTGTTATCAGCTTAGTCAGCCGGTGACAGTGCAAGGCCTGTCGCACACAAGAGTCCTTGAGGGACAAAGGTGGAGGGAGGCATAAGTGGGGAAATACTTTTTGCCATCATTTCCATGGACTTACCCAGCAACTGACCTTGCCACTGGTTGGCCCGTGAACGCCCACTCCCTCCCCCCCATCACCCTTACTTGGAAAAGCCCCTGGACAAGTCAGGTGATTCCTACTGCAGACACTGTTTCAGGGCCAGTCTGAAATAAGACGCCGTGGTTACCTTGGCATAACTCTCTGCTGCATCCAGCATCAGAGTCAGGGCTTTCAGCAGCAGCTGCTTCAGTTGGTACCCATCCTTGAGGCTGTCCTCTGCAAGGGAGTCAGAAAGTCAAGACGCTGGGTGTGTCCTGACTCCTAGTGAGGCCACTCACTGTTGCTATGCAGGACTGGAAACATCCTAGCTCATTTTCAGAGAAGCAGGTATGTCTCAAATAAAGGCTACTGGGTCACGAGTGCATATACCCTAACTTCACTCTGGAGTAGGACTCTGCCCTGTCTGAAACATTAAGGCAGTGCGCACAGCACCAGCGTGTTTGTTCCTGATAGGTGCTTGGATGCGCAGGCTACAAAGGACAAATGCCTTCTAGGTAGCCCTCTCTCCACCTTCATCTGTCTGCCCAGCTTAGGCCCTGCTGAGGAGCTGTTGGGTATCAGTCAATTTCACCAGCTCTTAGACATACGAACCTTCCCTGCCTGGCAGCACTGCCTGGGGGTGCTGCTTGATCTCTACTCACCCCAGGGTTGAGACTCAATCAGTTTCAGTTGGATGCAGGCAGCTGCCTCGTGGTTCTCCCCAATTTCCCGACACATGCTGAAGCACAGGGCGATCATGTTGTGCTTTTCACTGTCCCCAGGGCGGCAACGTTTGATGTAATCCAGCAGGGCTGTCTTCAGGGTACCACTCTGCCCCAGGAAAAAAAAGGAATAACAAGGTCCTAACCAGGGATTACAGGAAGAAAGGATGGGTTGAGTGGTTCTGAAAGTTACAAAAAAAAAAAAAACAAGGAAAAGTTGAGCAAAAAGTTCATGCTATCCTGTGGATAAGGAGACAGGCACCGCATCCTCTGCTGGTGAGAGAAGGGAGGGTACCACCTGTCAGAAGGAGGAAGACTTAAATGCACGTGTTACTCTAGCAATTTACTTCCAGGGATATATCCCCAAAGAAAAAAGTGCTAAGATGAATGTAACAAGGATGTTTAGTAATAAAAATTAGAAATATTTTGGACATTCAGATTGGTTCATAAGTGCTGAGAATACCATGAACCCATTAAAACCGGTGTTGACTTGGGAAATGCTGGTGCTGGCCTTACTAAGTGAGAAGGGCAGCTATCTCATTCCTGTGCAGCGTAGGGTACATGTGCAGCGTGGGGGGTGGGGCTCATGTGCACAGTAAGGGCTACCTCCAGGTAGTACATGGACACAGGGCTTTTTCCTGCATTGTTTTCGAAGTGTCTTTACACTGAGTATTACTTTTGTAATCAAGAAAGAAAGTTATTAAAAGAACATTTAAATGCAGAAATAAAACTGCCTCAATTTAAAAAACCCTCTCGGGGACCCTAGAGGTATGCCTGTGTTTAAGGCTTGTCCTCTCCTGACCAGTAAACTGGTCTGTCCTGAAACTAGCCCAACACTGAACAGTTTTTCTGACTTTGTCTCTTAATCCTGCTGGGCTGGGCCTATCTTCTTGAGGCCAAAAGTATATATTTAAAATCTTAACTCACAGGTGAAATTTTCTAAACAACACAGCCAAATTACTTTGAAACAGGTTCTGTGCGTGACGTGCCTGGTCACATAGCAGCCTGAGGACAGACACACACCCAGAGCCCCAAGGTGTTTGCTTCCACACCGCCGCCTCCCTCGCACGCCACAGCTTTCCAGGTGCAGCCTTGCCATTCACTCCCTAACCTCAGCAACACACTTTTCCATGGCACCTGAAAACTCTCCAGGAATCCTTAGCCACAACCTCCCGAGCTGGTGAAATGCATTTCCATGGGGCCTTTGCCCTGCCAGAACGAGCATTCAGAGAAGAGGGAGGTGACTGACAAGCTGGGCGGAGGTGGGCAAACTCATTTTCTTCATTACTTCTGTCAGCACGACTGCTGCCTGGTCTGTACTCTAACCGGAAGCCACTGGCTACACCCTACGTCCTTAATTCCCTCCCTCCCTCGCATCCCAGCAGGCCCCTGACTGGGATGATTCCTGAGAAAATTTGAGGTGCCTGAATGTCAGTAGTACTTGTTACCCTAGAAGTCAAAATACTGTACACCTACCGGATCCAACTTCTTCCTCATTAGCACTTCGAAGTAGTGCTTTTTATGCAGCAAGTCAAATATGTATGTCATCTCATTGTACCTCCCAATGCCAGTGAGGAGACGCACCTGGAAAGGGAGAGACGGCGGCTTAACTGGCATCATTGGAATTCTCTGAGCAAGACCATTACCTTCATCAGTTTGGTTGCTTTCAGATGCCAAGCTCCAGGGGCCAGGCCACCACGCTCACCTCCTTCATACCCATATATTTAACACAGGGCTCCTCTGGGGGATTTAGAAATGCTAATCGTTGGCACACCACTGGCTGTTCTCTCTTTTTGGTGTATTTAAGTGTGACTATCAGTGCTGAAGTGCCGCCCTCCTGGGGAGGCACCAGAGACTTTGAGTTGTCAGCTCATTTATATTCAAAGATAAGAGGTAGGTCTCTACCTTGTCTTGATGGGATACAGTCTTACCTCTCTAGAAAAGGTAACTGCCCTGGCAAGGGCAGCCCCAGATCATGGCAGGAACCCAACCCCTCAATCCGATGCTAACAAATGATAACTTAGAGCAGAGGGTTGAACTGCTCAGGCTATCTGCCTGTTTGCCCTCTGAAAAGGATTCCTCTGGATGGAGGGTGGTGGTTGAGGGGAGTTACTTACCACTAGTCCGTATTCCTCGTTAGGGGCTAAGTGGTTGTCAGTGAGCAGCCGGGCAGCCTGCAGGACTCGGATGATGCCCTCCATGTGGCACGTCAGTGTGAAGCAGTGATGGGCCAGGATCAGCAGCTCTGTGGCTAGATAAGTGGGACACTGGTAAGACAGGACAGTGAACCAGGCACCCACGGTCTCATTCAGTGCTGGCAGGAGGGTGAAGGGACCCAGTACAGGCAGCCTGTCAAGAGAAGGCTCTCCCACCATCCCCTGAAGCCCCTGGCCTCACTAGCTGGAGCTCTGCAACAGCCCCCTGGCCACATCTAAATTTTGTCAATAAGAAGAGCACAGGGATTAACGCTCCTCAAAGACAGTCATGTAGTAACTGCATTTCCAACAGGCTCAACAACCACAAGGAAGCCTTGCTTTTTAGAAATGGAGAAACAGCCTGCAGGCAAACTGATGGAGGACCTGCCAGCAGGCGTCCAAGGATCTTTGTGTCTCTGGCCTAATATTTAACCTCTTAAGACCCTATCTCTTAGCATCTAGTCAAGTATAATTTGATGTTTTGCTGGCTTTCTAGATGAATGCAAGATTGGATTACATGCAAATTTACAACTATTACAGCCACTGTAAACAAAACTAAAAAGCAAACTAGGAGAAATTTGCAATGTTGACGAGAGAAAGGTGTTCCCATCCTTAACACGTGCCCTCAGAGTCCACCGGCTCTACAGCCTTCCCCCATTTGCCAAGTACTGAGCAACCTTGACTACGAATCCTTCAGGACTTGGTTTGGACATTTCCTCACGAAACCTATTGCTCCCTATACTATACATCACCCCTAGAGCCTGCGCTTCCAGGGTGGCTGTTCACCTTGTTCACCACCTCCCTGATTTTGAGAGTACCTGGCACAAGGCTTGTACTCAGTAAATCGCGTAGAACAGTACGGGAGAGATACAGAAGACATTTTAAATTTTGTATAACTATAAAAGTTCATTGAGCAAAAAACATAAATACACTGTTTGAAAGTAAACAGCTATTGGGGTTGGAAGAGTTGTGGGACCAGATTCTTCAGAATCCAATTTAAGGCCAGCGAGGATTGTAGAATTTTTATCTTAGCTTTTCTGTCACAGAATTTTAGTCATGAAGACATTACCACTGGGCAGCATCCCAGAAAAGAAAACACAAACCCCTGAGCTAGAAAAGAATGCTCATGGTCTCCATAAATCAATGTAGTGGAAACAGTCTTCCCTTATATTTGGAAGACCTGGCTTAAACGTTATTAAGTATTCCAACTACAAATGTCATAATATGCTCTGTTTGCCCTTTTTTTATTCCCCAAAGGATCCCAAAATGCACCCCTGAGCTGTGACCAGGGACTCCAAGTCCCTTCAACCTTGATGCGGGGCCAGAGAAGCTTATAGAAACTATTATGCAAAGATAAAACATGTTTTAAAGTTCATAAAACACTGCATTTTCCTACTGTCTTTGATAAATATTTTTTAAGTTTGAATTGTCTAAATTTTCATTCTCCAACTGGCAATAGGAACTGTCATAGAAATAAGTGACAGTTAGCAAGTCACGTCACTTCTCAATTCATATTTCTCCAGTAACAAATCTGCCTGCAAATACGTTTATCAGTTCTGGTCAATATCTTATCAAATTTTGATTGAAGAGAGGCAAAGAACTTGTAGTTGCCATTAATATTACCCAAGTGCTCATGGGATGGCTCAGAAGGCTCTTTTAAAAATAAAACTGCTCAACTTTTTAAAATCTCCCATTTAGTTGTTCACTAAACATCAGTAACGTGCCTTTTTTTGGATCTAATGTGCAAAGTAAGGGCATCCCTGGTGGCGTAGGGGTTAAGTCTTGGCTCTATCACCACTATGGCCTGAGTTTGATCCCCTGTCAGGGAGCTGACCCACATATGGCACATCAGACCTCTCCTGTCTCACCCGCTGCTCCCCACAGCAGTGTATTTCAGTAGATCCGCCTGTTCTGTTCCCCTCTCTTTCTTGGAACAGACATTCCCTTTACCCCCCAGCACCTTTGACCTATACCCCAGTTCTTCTACACAAAACAAACAAACAGAAAAAACCTGTTACTCTATAAAAAAGAAATAACAACTGGGCAAAGTAGAATGGATCCCAGGAAATTACACTTTCACATATTGTAAGGGCGAGTGAGAAGTTAATTTTTGCCCCTGGAGTAAAATTTGGCTATTATATATAAATATGGGCATACTCTTGAATCATGAATTTATCTTAATCATGGTCATGTGCATAGATGTGCCTCTAGGGATGCTTGTCAGTGTATAAAGTGGCAGAAAATGAAGCAATCTAAAGGTCCCATATAGGATATAAAATTTTTAATTGCATAGAAGAAAAATACTGTGCAATCATTAAAAATATTACCCAGTGTCATGGAAAGATGTTAATGACACCATACTCATAAAGTAGGTGTAAACAGTATGTAGAGGATAATGCCAGTTTTGAAAAATGAAAACCAAGACACTTGCCTAGAAAGAGACCCGAGGGACACGGCCTGCAGTGGCCCAGACATCACAGAAAGTGAGCAGGCTTGGATGAAATCACAAAGACTAGGTTCAAGTACCAGTTCTGCCACCTAATAATTATAAGTCAATCAACTTCTCTAAGCTTTGTTTCCTCTCTTTCAACATGGAAAAGATACAATATCCACTATGCAGGGGAATGTGTAAAAATAAGTATGTCGAATGTTAAAAGGTAACCTTTTGTGTGATTTTACATTTGGAGCTGCTTTTCCATATAAATTTTCTGCAATGAACCTATGGCTTTCTACCAAGAATCTATACATCATGATGGAAGGGAAGGGATCCAGGACAGAGACAGGTTGAAATTGAGTTTTGGAAAGACTAATTCAGGAAGACTTATTGGAGACCTATTTGGAATTAAAAAAAAAAATGTGAGAAAATAGCCAAGAACTTACTGCAAGCCAGTTCCCCATGAGGAACAGAGGAAATCTTTTCCAACAACTTCATGCCTACTAATGTGCGGTCTTGACACAAAGCAGTCAGCTGAAGAAATGTTTGGCTTTCCTCTGCTTGAGTGAACATCTGTCTGTGTCCTGTACAGGAGAAAGGTGCTGCTTTTTACCTTGAGAGTTGACAGATCAGAGCCTCACGCCAGAGGCCTACTCTGCTCAGGCCTGGGCACCAGGGGAAATGCTGGTGCAGGTCTCTACGCAGCCCTCTTGCAGAGCACAGATACCTTTGCCTAGTGCTCATCTTATAGGACAGAAGTTCCTTAGCTCAAAGGAAGGCACAGATGCTCTAAGCATAATCACAAAACAACAAACAAAAAGCAACAACAAAGATGTAATTTACTCTCCTAAGTGAAATCTGGCAACTAGCAAGAGCAGCATTCAGGATGTATGTGAGTAAAGCTTCCAAATTCTTAAAGCTCAGAACTTCAGAATGTGACTGGGCGGGTCTGGAGGGCAGGGCACCTGTTCCCTCTGATGAGGTCAGCAGCTCCCGTGTCACCTCTTCGGCCACAAGGTCAGCCACCGTGTCTGGCTCGAGGCCCTGGGCGCTGATGAAGGCTTGGGCTCTCTTGCATCGGTCCGGCCTCTGGGAGGCTAAGATCGTCCGGAGCATGGCCTCCCCATCCTGGATGGCGACATCTGTGTAGGAACAGCCCAACTCCTGAGAGGAAGACAAAACCAACGATATGAAATAGGAAAAAGCTAGCAAAAGACAACCCTTCTAAAATGTGATGTGGACTGACTATCATTTGGAGTTTAAAGATCCATCGCACTGAGGAGGACCCTCAGTAGTATACACTGTTTTCTAACCCTTTCTACTGCTTCACTGATGCGCCAGGTCCAAGCAAGAAAAAGGTTTTGTCTTTAGAAAGCATCAGGTTAACTTAACCTCTCGTTGAAAGCTAAGCTTTTCAAATGCTATGCTATGAAATATAAGCTGAATAAAAGGCAAGAAAGACCCCCTTCCTCACTGTTCCCATGGGGCTTCAGAGCGCAGCTTTATTTCTCTCATGCTCTTCCCACTTCACTTAGTCTGCTGTTTTTCTCCCTCAATCAGCGCAAACCCACAATCAATCCCCTGTCTGCATCTTCCATTTTATTTTATTTGCAAACTTATTTTGGGCTCTCCCACACATGGAAAGCACCAAGCACTCCTAAAGCAAAATCTACAATTTCAAAATTACAAGTCATCGCTTACAGGTCAAGAACCTGGAGCCGAGAGAAGTGAAATGTCTTGCTCTTGCTTCTGGCTGACTGAGCTGCAGCCAGGATTCAAATCACCATAGATCTTGGCCTGGAGTCTTCCATACCATTCCCTGGGATGGACTGAAAGTGCTAAAGTCCTGATAAGAGCTCTACTCCCGGGTCACAACTATTATCTGAAGGGCCTGACTTGGCAGCCTCCAAAATTCCCCCTCCAACTTCCCATTTCAGTCTCAGAAGGAGCTTCCTGTGAGCCCCCTCCCCCCCCTTGACACATACCTTGGCAAGTTCATACAGGCAGAGGACCTGCCGGCAGTAGCTCTTCCCGTGGAGGCATTTGCTTGTCAGAGTTTCCAGATGAGTCACCACTTCATCACTGGGGGGCAGCATCACAAAGGACTGACTATCCAAACTTGAAGCTGGAAGCAAATACAAGTCTGAGGACTTAAAGCTGGCAAGTTAAGGCCTCTCCCCAGACCACTAGACTCCACAGCTCTGCTCAGTCTCCTGTGCTGTACCCCCATGACTTCTTCTGGGTCTGGGATCACTTAAACTTCTTTCACTGACTTCTTCCAGGAAATTCCAGCTCAGAATATTTCAAAGGCCTCATGTGCTACAAAAGACTCAAACTTACCTAGTAAATTTCATCAAAAAAGATGCTGCCTAGACTTAACTCACACATACCTCATCACAATTTCTCTTGTTATTAAATAAGTCATCAGGTTTAGCTATCTCTAAGACATCTCTCCCATCACTGCTTTAGTTCAAGTCTCCCTCATCACCCTGCATCTAAAAGACTTACTGGGCCTCCCTGGTGGCACCAGGGGTTGAGCACGGCGCTGTGAAGCTGTCTGCAGCCTCTGCAGTGCGAGTTCGATCCCCCGGCTGACCCAGGGAGCTACCCACATGGCGCAGCAGACCTCTCCTGCCTCGTCCGCTGCTCCCCTCAGCAGTATATTTCAGTCAGTCTGCCTGTTCTGCTCCCCACTCTGTCTCTGGTAAATCCTCTCACCTCCCCCACCTCTGGCCTGTGCCCCTGTTCTCGTATGCATAAATGGGCAAATCCTTAAAAATAATAATAATAATAATAATAAAAATAAACAAAAGAGTGTTACTGTCTCCTGCTACCAGCTTCCCCTTTGCCCAAATCAATCTAACACACACTGAGCAGGATTTTTCTAAAATGCAATCATAAAAATCCAGCATCATCTGGATAGATACCTTAAAGAAACAGAAAATTAAAATCCATTCCTGACTTAAAGGAAAAAAACTGTTAACCTGAAACAGAAGAAAATTTTCTTAATTTGATAATGGGTTTCTAGGAAATCCTTTTTTTCTAGGGGAAAATAAGTATCAAAAAATATATAACATTTTTATTAACAAAATTTAAAAATTGAAATGTATATTAATAAAGTATTGTTAAATAAATCATAGTAGAATAATCTGCAGTCATTAAAAATATGAAGACAGGGCCTCCCCAGTGGCGCAATGGGTTGAGCGCAGCACTGTGAAGCTGTCCACAGCCTCTGCAGCGCCGGTTCGATTCTGGATGGCCAGGGAGCTACCCACATGGCGTGGCAGACCTCTCCTGTCTCGCCTGCTGCTCCCCTCAGCAGTGTTTTCGGTTTGTCTCTCTGTTCTGCTCCCTGCTCTGTCTCTGGTGAATCCTCTCACCCTTCCGTGGCCCAGTTCTTGTATAAAAATAAGTAAATCATTAAAAAAAAAAGTATGAATTCCTTTAAAAAAAATATGAAGACAATCTGTATGTACTGATGGGGAAAAAGGTTGTAGAACAATTATTATTTCATTTTTGTACAAAATAAATTGTGTGTGAGAGCACAGGCATGCCAATCAATAAAAGATGTTACTCTGGGGAATGTGGTTGTGTTGAGTGGGTAAATGACTCACTTGTTACGCATATCTGTATTGTGTGATTTGTTTCACTAAGCATATAGGTATTATGCATTAAAAAAATAGCCTTTAAAGACAAAAAAGTAAAAAGCAACTCAGAACATAATTATCCTCCTGCTTACAATCCTTCATTGTGGGTTCCAGTTCTAGGAAAGAGTAAGCTCACTCACCCTTTTCTCCCACTGAATTTAACAAAAAACCCAGACACTCTGAAAAAAACCCCAGTACTCTGAAACCACGAACTGAGGAGAGCAAGAGGGGAGAGAGGGACAAGAGAAAGGAGAGGAGGGGAAAGAAAGAAATTTTAGAAAGAGAAAAAAAAATAACTAAAATTTACAAATCACAGAAATAAAAAAAAAACAGCAGAGTGGAGATACCAGACAGGTCACTGAAACTGAAGTTAAACAAATTATCAATCTGAACAACACAGAGGAAAAAGACTGAAAAATGCTTGGACAAAGTCTCAGCTTGTGAGAGAATAAAAGTTCTAAGAGTCACGTCACTGGAGTCCCAGAAGGACAGGAGTATAGAGCTGGAAAAACATCTGAAAAAAATGCTGTCTGGTGAAACATACGGATCTGTATGTTTAAGAAGCTCAGTGACCTCCAAAAACGATAAATCCAAAGAAACATATCCCCAATGACACTATGATCAAACTGCTGAAAACAAAGGCAGAAAAATATCTTTAACCAGAGAAAACTGCATTATGTACAGTGGAACAGTGACTCAAATGACTGAAGATTACTCACCAGATACAATGGATTTCAAAAGAAGTGGTGCAATATTTTTAAAAAGTGCTGAGTGAAAATAACTATATCCAGCAAAAATCATCCTTCAGGAATGAAGGTGAAATAGATACTCAGATAAAGAAAAACTGAGAATCTGTTGTTAGAATGAATTGCTGGAGGAAGTCCTTCAGTTCAGACAGATTTTAAAAAGAAATCAGAAGTAAACTTGGAAATATCAAGAACAAAAGAGTACAAAATCGTACAGGGTTTTAAAAAATCTTTTGAAAAAATGCAGCTCTCCTGTCTGCCTGTGACTATGCAGGTGCCTCTCTCTCTCTCTTTTTTCTCCTTTTCCTAATAAACCTGTTCTTTTAAAATGTTAAAAAAAAAAAAAAAAAAAAAAGAACTCTTTGGTTGAAAGGCAAAAAAGACAGCAGCGTTTAATAGGCTTTTCAATGTAGATAGATGTAAAATAACAAGACGACTAAGACAAAAACAGAAGAGACCTACAATATGAGTAAGGTTTATACATTACAGCTGAGTGGTGAAACACTGACTTTAAGTAGACTGAGAGTAAAGAATGTACATTGTAACCCTAAAGCAACCAACTTAAAAAAAAAACTATTTAAAAATATATAGTCAAGGGGCCTCCCCTGGTGGTGCAGCGGTTGAGCGCTCCCGCAGCCTCTGCAGCGCCAGTTCGTTCCCCGGCCGGCAGCAAGGGTCCCACAAAAAACAAACAAACATATATATATATATATATACACACACACACACACACACACGCACACACGCACATATATATATAGTCAAAATCACAGGAAGGCTATAGTCGTTCTAATAATACAAAAAGCAGAAAAAAAAGGTTTACTCAAAAACCATAACTACCAAAACTCACCCAAGATGAAAAATAAACTGAATAATTATGTAATTATGCAAGAAATTAAATTCATAGTTAAAAAATCTTCCAAAACATGGGCCTCCCCTGGTGGCACAGGTGGTTGAGCGCAGCACTGTGAAGCTGTCCACAGTGTCTGCAGCGTAGGTTCGATCCCGGCCGGCCAGCAAGACTCCCACATGGCGCAGCAGACCTCTCCTGTCTCACCCACTGCTCCTCAGCAGTGTACTTCAGTCAGTCTGCCTGTTCTGTTCCCTGCTCTCTCTGGTGAGTCCTCTCACCCTCCCACGCATCTGGCCTGTACCCCGATTCCTGTATGCATGAATAAATAAATCTTAAAAAAAAAAAAAAAAAACTTCCAAAACAGAAACCTACAGGTTCACAAATATTAGTGGTAAATACTACTGAAAATTTAAAATAACACCAATTCTGGCGCCTCCCTGGTGGCACAAGGGGTTAAGTCTCAGCACAATGAAGCTATCAGCAGCCACTGCAGCACGAGTGTGATCCCAGGCCAGGGAGGTGACCCACATGGCGCAGCAGACCTCTTCCTGTCTCGCCCGCTGCTCCCCTCAGCAGTGTTTTTCAGTTGATCTGCCTGTTCCGCTCCCCACTCTGTCTCTGGTGAATCCTCTCACACCCTCAAACTCCCACACCTCTGCCTTGCACCCCAGCTCTTATATGCATAAATAATTAAAATAAATCTATAAAAATCAAAAATAACACCAATTCCATACAATTTTTTCCCAAAAATTCTTGAATGTATTTTCTAACTCATGACACTATATTACCTAAATACAAAAAACAGATAAGGATAGTAACACAACAACAAAAACACTACAGATCAATATTCCTCATGAATATAAATGCAAAAATCTTCAAGATATGCAGATTGACTCTTGTATCAAAAATAAAACAAAACAAAACAAAAAAACACCATGGCCAAAGGGGGGATTATCCTGGAAATGCGAAGCTGGCTCAATATTTTTCAAAAAATTAATCGCTGTAATCCATCATATTAATAATCTAAAGGGAAAAAAAAAACCCACAATTATATCAATGGATGCCAAAAAATATAACAAAATCCTACACTGATACATGATTTAAAAAGCTGTCAACAAACCTTGAGTTAGGTGGGAACTTCCTCAACATGACAAAGCTTATCTTTAAAAACCTGCAAGTAATAAGATGTATGCACAGCTAAAGGATGAAAGACTGAATGCTTTTTCTCTAAGATCTGCTAGGCATGAATATCTTCTTTTGCCTCTGCTATCCAACATTGTACTGGAAGTCAATATTGTTTACTGCCAATGCAAGAGAACAAGAAAAAGAGATAAGAAAGTAAGAAGAAAAATGAAAAAGAAATAAAACTGTCTCTTTTTACAATTTCCTCTATAGAAAATTCCAAGGGCCTCTCTGGTGGTGACCTAGGGGTTAGTCTCAACACTGTTACTGCAACAGCTTGCATTCGATCCCCGGCCAGGGATGGCGCAGCAGACTCTCCTGTCTCACCTGCTGCTTCCCTCAGTAGTGTTATTTCACTAGATCCACCTGTTCTGCTTCCCAACTGTCTCTGGTGAATCCTCTCACCCCCTGCACCTCTGGCCTACACCCCAGTTCTTCTATGCAAAATAAAATAAATATCTGACAATAAAGGAATAATTCTTTAAAAAAAAAGAAAACTCCAAGGCATCCAGAATAAATGAGTTTAGCAAAGCCACAGGATGCAAGGGTAACATAAAAATCAATCATATTTTTATATACTACCAACGTACAACTGGAAACACAATTGTGTAGAATAAATTTCAATGAACCAATTACCTGTCAAATGAATTCCCCTAACTTCAGTACAACGCTGGTTAAAAGATGTAGGTGTTTCTACTTCAATGACTAGTTATTTATCTCAGTTTGTGGATTACCTGGAATACAATTGCTATCTCCTAACTTAGAATAACTATTATGCCAAAAGTGACCCTTCCTTCTCAGAAAGAGTGCCAACGGCATCATTTAGGATTCAGGGCAATCTGATCTCCTTTACTTACTGCTTTGGACTTTCCGTAGAGGAACATTAGGTTCTTCTTCTGTCTCAAGGTGTTCAGCAGTTTTTAGGAGAGCACGGATCTCTGGGTGCACGTCATTAACATTAGCGTCTCCTGAAGCCAGTGCTCTGCAGTGCAATACCAATGCAACATCCTCGTTATAGAAATGAAAATACCGGCACACTCTACTTGCTTCATGCACGCAGCTGTCATCCAGTAGACGCCCAATCAAAAAGCTTAGTGACTCTTGCTCCTTCCAATTTAGTTTGTTCTCAAGAGTCTCTCTGGATGGAAAACCATTAAGTTCTAAGTATTTTGATGTGTTCAGAGCAGCCAACTTGGAGAATGAAAGTTCACTCGCTAAGCTATCAAAGGAAATTTCACCGCTTGTTGAGATCTGTCGAGAAAATGTGGACTCTGTTTCCTCCTGTTTTTCTCTCCGTGAGTGTTGGGCGATGCGGCAGAGCCAGATCTGCTTCTCCAGCTCCTCCAGCTCCTCCACAGGCACCGGGTCCTCCCGGGCAAGCCAGTGTCCTGCCAGGGTGAGAAGCAAATGGCGCTCCTCCCTGCTGCTCCGTTCCTCTCCAGGTGGGTGCTCACCTGCCACAGGGGCCTGGGCTGAGAAAAAGGAAGAAGCTGCTTTGCTTGAAATGGAATTTTTCTTGAAATTCTCGTGGCATTTTTTCCAGAAATCAATTCTTGCTTGTTTCAGGGACCACTGGTCAATGTGTTTTAAGGTCTGCATTTCCTGTGTTATCTGTGAAATTGAATAAAGTGAAACTTAGCTTTTCCTGGGTAATTTCTTAAATGCAAAATCTCCTTAAGTTACCATATCAAGTCAGAGAACATGGGATTTGTGAAGATTTTATCTGAAAAATTATGGTATGAAAACCAATTCTAAATTTATCCAATTGAATGGGGTTTAAGAAGAATAAAAGGAAAATAGTTGTACATATCCTGTAAGTTAACCTTACATTTAAAGCATACTTTCTTTCAGGAATGGGTATCCATTCCTTTCAGGCTCATCATTTCTGAAAATAAGGTGTGTATCAAAAACAAAAGCCTCATCTCCCATTAAATATGTATCTCGGGCCTCTCTGGTGGCGCAAGGGGTTAAGCACAGGACTATGAAGCAATCCGCAGCCTCTGCAGCACGAGTTCGATCCCCAGCCAGCCAGGAAGCAACTCACATGGCACAGCAGACCTCTCCTGCCTTGCCCGCTGCTCCCCTCAGCAGTGTGTTGCAGTCAGTCTGCCTGTTCTGCTCTCCACTCTGTCTCTGGTGAATCCTCTCGCCTCCCACCCATCTCTGGCCTGTACCCCAGATCTTGTATGCATAAATAAATAAATAAATCTTTTTTTTAAAAAAAAATATATATGTATCATTTGATTCTTTGTTTAATGCTCGTTCAAAAAGCTAAGATTTAAAGTAATTTAGAGGGCCTCCCCGGTGGCGCAGCGGTTGAGCGCTGGGTTGCGAAGCTGCCCGCGGCCTCTGCGGCGCAGGTTCGATCCCCGGCTGCTCCCCGGCCACCGGAGGAGGGTCCCACATGGCGCGCAGACCTCTCCTGCCGCCCGCTGCTCCCCTCAGCAGTGTACTTCAGTCCTTCTGCCTGCTCTGCTCCCCGCTCTGGCTCTGGTGAATTCTCTCACCCTCCCGCGCTTCTGACTGTACCCAGTGCATGTATAAACAAACAAAACAAACAAATAAATAAATAAATAAAACATGCCTCTATTTAAAAAAATAAATAAATAAAATAAAGTAATTTAGAAAACTAATGATACCTCTTCAATAACCAAGTTGTCCACAGGTAAATCAGCTAATTCTGCTACCCTCCTGGCCAAAGCAAACTGCCCATCTGTCTCCAGCTTTTCCAAAATAGATCTACATTCATGCTGAAAGTTCTCAAGGCTGTAGCTGGTAATAATGACAACATTAATGGCTATGGCTGTATCCTTCAAAATTTGGCTAAGGGCACACAGCTTCTTCACATCTGGACCTGTACCAAAGAGAAAAGGACATAAACATTTATTTATTTATTTTTAAGATTAATTTTACTTATGCACACAAAAACTGGGGTGTAGGCCAGAGATAAAAGGGGTGAGAGGATTCACAAGAGACAGAGCAGGGAACAGAACAGGTGGATATACTAAAGTATATTGCTGAGGGGAGCAGCAGGCAAAGACAGAAGAGGTCTGCTGTGCCATATGGGTATCTCCCCAGCCAGCCGGGATCGAACCTGCACTGCAGAGGCTGCAGACAGCTTCACAGAGCTGCACTCAACTGCCTGCGCCACCAGGGAGGCCCTCTTCATAATTTTTTAAGACTAGAGTAACTCTGGCAAGAAAAAAGGAAATTTATCTCTGAAAAAAAATTACTAAAGATCAATAAAAACACTGTTAAAAAGACCTATAATTTGTGTACTTAGTAACTGACAAGATCCATCTTATAGGCACTACATTGAGCCCTCTCTTCCTTTGTCATCAGACCCACAGTTCACAACACTGTCACTGAGCCCAGCATTCTTTCAGTGATTTGTGCAAATATGAGCTGTCCACTTCAACATCTATGAATTTAAATGTGATAAATAACCTCAGAGTCTAGTATAAATTAATAACATCATTCAATAAGAACTTAAAGAAAGAGGGTCAGACAATATTGGTTTCATTCAATCAGCAACAAGCTTAGAAACTGCAAAAAAATAAAAGTAATTTGCCTCTGAAATCTTCAAAATAAATCAGACATTCCTGAAAACACTGGGGCCCTGAGTAATGATGACATATTAAGGTTACTTGTCAGAGAAAAAAATAATTGTGTTGTGACAGGTTAATGTAAAGGCTAGCTGGGAACCAGGGAGCACAGAACAGACTATTTGACAACTGCTTAGAATGCATAGATAGCTACTATTTATTTTTATATCCTGTTGAACTATGCTTTGAATGCTGTAACCATGACTGAAATTTCCTGTAACTGTTTATTTATAGCCCATTATGTAGTATACTATTAATATTATAGATAAAAATTTAAAGTTGTTGAATTGGGCCTCCCTGGTGGCACAAGGGCTATCAAGTTATTGCCTGCCGCTGCGACATGAGTTCAATCCCCCGCAAGGAAGCTGATCCACATGGTGCAGCAGACCTCTCCTGTCTCACCCACTGCTCCCCTCAGCAGTGTATTTCAGTAGATCCACCTGTTCTGCTCCCCACACTGTCCCTGGTGAATCTTCTCACACACCTCCCCCCATACCTCTGGCCTACCCCCCAGTTCTGTTATGCCTAAATAAATAATGTAAAGTTCCTGAATCTCCATCTAAAATATTTTCAATGGGCCTCCCCTGGTGGCGCAGGCATTTAAGTGCAGCACTGTGGAGCTGTCCGCAGCCTCTGCAGCACATCCCAGCCAGCCGGTGAGATACCCACATGGCACAGCAGACCTCTCCTGCCTCACCCGCTGCTCCCCTCAGCAGTATATTTCAGCCTGCCTGCCTGTTCTGTTCCCTACTCTGTCTCTGGTGAATCCTCTCACCCTCCCACACATCTGGCTTGTACCCCGGTTCTTGTATGCATGAATAAATAAATTTTTAAAAATAAAAAAATAAAATAAAATATTTTCAAGATTAAGAAAACTAATCTGTTAATAACAACATAACTGTAAGGATTGCCTTACCATCAAAGAAAAGATGTTCTATTCCAACAAACAGCTGCAAGAGCTTTCCCAGCTCATACTGGGTCCTGCACTGCTGCAGCATAAGCTTCAAAAGAAAACACACCTGGGTCTTCAGCCATGGGGTAGGGATAATAGTGTCAACCCTCGTGTCTGATGTTTCAAGCTGATAAAAAAAAAAAAGAGAGAGGGTCAAAAAGTGGTTTTACAGGAACAAATCAAAATTTCCAAATCTGGGAACATTTAAGAAAGTCAAAATACCATCAAAGATACCATCTCCCCATAAAGAGATGACTTATCCAGGTCCTTTCCAAATGACAGGAATTGACAGTGGAGCTTAGAGGAATAGCAAAAATAAACCCTCCTCGCCAGCTTTATAGTCTCTCTCTTTGTGGGATGTCCTAGTGTAGAGATTTGTGTGCATATCAAAGCCAAAGATAGGACAGAGAAGTAAAGACCGAAAGCTCACTAGGCATACAAACACCCCCATGGAGTGACTGCCACCATAATCATCCTGTGAACTGCTGTCACAAAATAATTGTGACAGGTTAATGTAAAGGCTAGCTGGAGACTAGGGAGCACAGAACAGACTATTTGACAACTGCTTAGAATGCATAGATAGCTGCATTATTTATGTTATATCCTGTTGTACTATGTTTTGAATGCTTTAACCATGACTGAATACTTTTCACTTAGAAGCACTTTAGAGAGGGGTGTAGGCCTGACTTTGAGTCCAGAATATTAAAAAAACTTGTACATGTTTAACAAATGCCAAGCTGATTGTACCAGTTTCCTTATAATTTATATACTTATTAGAGGAGGATCTGATTTAAGACTAAAAATGTTAACAATCAAATGCTAAATATATATATATTTAAACATTTATTTTTGTTTACTTATGCATACAAGAACTGGGGTGTAGGCCAGAGGTACAGGGGTGAGATGATTCACCAGAGACAGAGTGGGGAGCAGAACAGGTGGATCTACTGAAATACACTGCTGAGGGGAGCAGTAGGCAAGACAGGAGAGGTCTGCTGCACCATGTGGGTTAGCTCCCTGGCCGGGGATCAAATTCATGCCACGGTGGCTGGTGATAGGTTGATAGTGCTGAGACTTAACCCCTTTGTGCCACCCGGGAGGCCCAAATGCTAAATATATTAATAGGAAGATCACCCTAAGTAGCATGTTTCATTTTACAATTAGTTGTGGCAAAGATATCTGCAATACTGCAGGAAAAGGAAGATTTTAGTGTCTGAAAAGAGTGATTCTTTCCCCCACGATGCTTCTGTAACTTTATTCCTGAATTTTATTTGACCCCTTATTTCATGTCACTTTTGCAAGATTTATATTTAGTGCTTAGTCATTGTAGTTCACTCTAGACCTCATGCAACACAATCACAAAAAATAATGGGCCTTTTGATATAACAGAAACTTACCAGGTTTAAAGAAATAAATATATTTCATGCTGACAGGCACCGAAAACTTGTTAAGTCTGTGCCTAGCATTGGGGTAGGTGCAAGTCTTGGCTCCACATTCCTGAATACTTCTGACAATATTATAAAAAGTATTGTCAATGTGAAGCTGGTATGCAAAGAGACTTTATAGTTGGGATATAGTTAGAAGTGCAATAGCTCAACGGAATGCCTACAGCCTTCAAGAGCTTAAAAGAGTCAAAAGTTATAGAGTATTTTATTCTTTATCCAATTGAGTATCCTTATTAAAAATAATCTGAGTTAGAACATTCTTTATTTGTTTATTATTCTTTAACTACTTCTGTGGCTCTATAAAGAGGGGCACAATTGAACTGGTTGAAGGAAAGTGTACGGAAGTAAAAGGCTGAGGCAAGGGTGAAGTAGTACACTATTCCTCTTTGAGGTGAGAGCAGAGGCAAGAAAATGAATATACTTTGGAGGACCTAGACATAAAACTATAAAACTGTTAGCAAATAAAATAGGAGAAAACTTAAGATGACCTTGGGTATGGTGATGCCTTTTTAGAAACAACACCAAAGACACTGTATGAAAGAAAACTGATGAACTGAAATTCATTAAAATTTTTAAAAATATTCTCTGCAAAAGACATGTCAAGAGATTAGAAGTCAAACCAAAGACTAGAAGACATTGTTAAAAGACTTATCTGATAAGGGGCTATTATTCAAAATATACAAAACTCTTAAAACTAAACAGCAGGAATACAAACTACCCTATTAAAAAATAGGTCAAAGATCTTAATAGATACCTTCATATGTATTAATACTGTAATGATCCTGACTGATGGAAAATTAGGGGCAAGTGAGGTAAGAGTTACAAAGTGACTTAAGTAACTAATAAAAAGTAACCACTTATTTATGAAGATGCTGATAAACAGATATGCAAAAGGCAACGACAGATAAAAACCTGTTTAAATTAATAGCTGGTTCTGATAAAATTCCCCTAGAAAGTGTTATAAATGTATATATTCGGGGCAATCTGAGATGCCTATAGACTCTGTGCCCAGTCTTGAACTCTTCTTTGGGTTTTAGTTGGAAAGCTGCCAGGAATTCAGAGGACTGCCAGGAACTTTCCTGGTTGGGCTCTGCCCATTCTGCATTGTCAGTATCCCAAGTCTTGCAAAGAGATTTGTAACCTTCCCTCCTTTTTCTGTCAAATCAATTGTATGCTTATATTATTCTTATATGTATTTGGCTTATGTCATAAATGAAACCTATGCATTCTGAAGATACTGAATTTAATAGAATACTAAATCACCAAAAAGATATATATAGATGGTAAATAAGCATATAAAAAGCAGCTCCACAATATATCACTAGGGAGATGCAAGTAAAACAACAGTGATATATCACAACATACCAAACTCAAACACTGACAACACCAAATGCTGGCAAGGACATGAAGCTACAGAACTCTCATACATGCTGGTGGGAATACAAAACCTTATATAGCTACTTTGGAAGATAGTTTGGGATTGGCAGAATGGATTAAAAACACATGGTTCAACTATATGCTGTCTACAAGACACTCACATGAGTTCCAAAGACAGAAAAGGTTGAAAGTGAAAAAGGTACTCCATGCAAATAGCAACCAAAAGACAGCAGGGGTGGCTATGCTAACATCAGGCAAAATAGGCTTTAAATCAAAAAAGGTTACAAGAGATAAACATATATTAATAAAAGGTTCAAAACAGCTAGAAAATATAACAATTTAAAATATTTACATACCTAATGACACATCAAAATATATGAAGCAAAAACTGACATAATTTAAGAAAGAAAGAACAGTTCTACAGTAGTTGCTGACTTCAATAGCACTCACCTCACGGTAAGGGCACAATAATCAGACACAAGGAAAAGGAAGACAAAACATAATAAACCCACTAGATCTAAAAGATGGATACAGAACACTCTGCCCAACAACTATAGAAAACACATTCTTCTCAAGTACACATGGCCTATTTTCCAGGGCAGACCAGATACAGGACATAAAAAAAGTCTCAACAGATTTTGAAAGGTTGATATCAAACTAAGTACCTTCTCTGACCACAATGGGATAAATTTATAAATCAACACAAAAGTAAAACTGGAAAATTCAAAAAATTGGGATTTAAATAACCAAAGCATAAAAGAAGAAACCAAAAGGAAATTAAAAAATACTTAACAAAAACAAGGCCTCCCTGGTGGCGCAGTGGGTTGAGCACAGCGCTGTGAAGCTGTCCGCAGCCTGTGCAGCCCACGTTCAATTCCCGGCCTGCCAGGAAGATTCCCACATGGCGCAGCAGACCTCTCCTGTCTCACCCGATGCTCCCCTCAGCAGTGCTTTTGGTCTGTCTGCCTGTTCTGCTCCCCATTCTGTCTCTGGTGAATGCTCTCACCCTCCCACGCCTCTGGCCTGTACCCCAGCTATTGTATAAATAAAAAATAAATCTTTTTTTTAAAAAAGAACAAAAACAACATACCAAAATGTATGGGATGTAGTGAAGCAGTGCTAAGAGGGAAATTTAAATTTATGGCTATACATGTTTATATTCAAAAGGAAAAGATCTCAAATCAACAATCTAACTTTACAAATTAAGAAGATAGGAAAAGAAAAATGCAGAGCTTGCAAAAGGAAAGGAATGATAAAAATTAAAGCAGAGATAACCAAAATAGAGAACAGAAAAATAGCAGAGAAAAATCAATAAAATCAAAAGATTATTTTAAAAAATAACAAAATTGAAGAGTACTATAACTATGTTAAAAAATCAGATAACCTAAATGAAATGTACAAATTCCCAAAGACACAAAACCTAACACAAGACTAAATCACAAAGGAGATAAAATTTTTTTTTTTAAAGATTTATTTTATTTATGCATCCAAGAGCTGGGATTTAGGCCAGAGGTATGTGGGCCGGTGGGGAGTAGGGGTGAGAGGATTCACCAGAGAGAGTGGGGAGCAGAACAGGCAGACTGACTGAAACACACTGCTGAGGGGAGCAGCGGGGGAGACAGGAGAGGTCTGCTGCACCATGTGGGTAGCTCCCTGGCTGGGGATTTAACTCATGCTGCAGTGGCTGCAGATAGCTTCATTGTGCTTAGACTTAACCCCTTGCGCCACCAGGGAGGCCCAAGAAGGAGATAATCTGAATCATCCTGTAACTAGTAAGGAGAGTGAACCTGTAATCAAAAATTTTCCAAGAAGTAAAAGCCATGGACCTAATGCTTAAGTGATGAATTCTACCAAACACTTTAAGAACTAATACCAGGCGGCCCCGCCTCCCCCACGTGGGCCGGAGTCGCAGCGGGCGGTCACCCGGGGCGTCCGAGGCGCCCGCGCCGGCCGCGCCCGGGGCCGCGCGCTGACCCCCGCCCCCGCCCGCAGGTGTCCCTTCTGGTGCCTGAGTGCGGGGCGCTGGCGGGGGGGGGGGGGGGGGGGGCTCCACGGCCTGGTCGCACGGCTCGGGCCCTACTACTCGGTGGAGGACCTGCCCCTGCACGAGCTCGTCACCCCGGAGTTCATCAGCGCCTTCGTCCAGGAAGGTCAGCGCGGGCAGCGGGGAGGCCGCTGGGCCCTGCCCCCCGCCCTTGGGGCTCCCGGGGTTCCTCACGTGCTGACTCGGGCCGTCGAAGTGCGGGGGCTCCGCGTCCTGAGGCACCTGCTGCGCGCTCAGCCTCAACACCCGCGTGGACGAGGACAGCACCGTCGCCCTGCTGCCCAGCGGGAAGCTGATTTTGTCGCTGGATAAAGACACCACGAGGAGTGCGGGCTGCAGGGCCGCCCGTCTCAGCATTCAGGCCGCAGCACCCCGAAGTACGTTGTTTCCATTGACTTGATGGAGCTGGCCCTCCACCCGGACTCGAAGACGTCCCAGAGGGTGGCCTGGTCCTTCAAGGAGAAGAAGCCTCTGAAGTTTGATTTTCTCTTGGCCTGGCACCAGACGGGTGCCGAGGGGTCCGCGCTGCTGTCGCACTTTTCCAGCTACCTGATCCGGGAGCACCAGCCCAGAGTGGCCTTGAGCACCGTGAGGGACCTGCCAAGCCCCGTACTGCGGAGCAGGGCCCTGGGGGGGCAGCCCGGGGTGTCCTGCAGCGCCCCCGAGCGCCTGCAGTGGCTGGGGGCCGTCTTCTGCGGCGCAGGCCTAGACCATGAGCCCAGCGACTTCGTCGCCAGCTACTGCTGTCCCCAGCCCAGCTCGGTGGCCGCCCAGGCCTGCCTCTGCACTGTCACTGGCTTCTTGCTGCCGACCAAGATCCACCTCCTGCTGGATCAGCTCTGCCGCTACTTCAACGAGCCCAAGCTGGCCCCGTGGGCCACGCTGTCTGTGCAGGGCTTCGCAGACAGCCCGGTGTCCTGGCGGGAGCTCGAGCACGGCTTTGGGAGTGGTGGAGACCATCTGTACAACTTCATCATTTTCAGCAACCAGGACTACTGGCTGCAGATGGCCGTGGGGGCCCACGACGCATGTCCGCCATAAAGCAGGTTCCAAGTCACCCTCGTGTCTGCGATGCTTGCGGCTCAGCAGCGTGAGGGGCTCATCTGGGCAGCCCTGACACTGCTGGGCCTGCGGCTGGGATAGCGCCCAGGGGCTCCTGCTGCATCACAGCAAGGGCTAAAGACTGTTCCTCTGCCCAGAGATTGAGAAGATGGCCGCCTAACTCCGCCCTCAGGTCCGCACCCTCCCCTTGGGGACCCTGGGATTTGTAGTCCCCAGGGTCTGGCTGGAGTGGGGTGGCTGCCCGAAGCCTGCCGGTTTGCTTAGGACATCCTCTCCCCTAACATCCTCTCACCACCTGCCCCCCAGCTCTTGAGTGCATTAATAAATAAATCTTTAAAAAACAAAACAAAACAAAAAAAAGAACTAATACCAGTCCTTCTCAAACTTTTCCGAAAAACTGAAGATGCAGGGAACGCTTCCTATCTCATATTATGAAACCAGGATTATTCTGATACCAAAGACAGATAGATGCTTCAAGAAAAATAAAAAATAAAAAAAAAAGACTAATCTCCCTTATGAATATCAATACAAAAGTACTCAACAAAATACTAGCAAATTGATTTCAACAATACAAGGGAAAGATTATATAACATTACCAAAGGGACTTTTTCCTGCATACAAGTCTGGTTCAACATATAAAAAGCAATCAATGTATACATCACATCAACAGAATGAAGCAGGGGATGGGGGGAAGACTGTTTCACTTGATGCAGAAAGAAATATTTGACAAAATTCAGTACACTGGAGTGATTAAAAACACTCAGCAAACTAGGAATAGAAGGAAACTACCTCCATATAATAAAGCCATTTGTGAAAAACCCACAATGAAAATCATAATTAATGGTGAAAAGACTGAAAGCATTCTTTTTTTTTATGTTGACATGTTTTATTTATTTATTTTTTAAAGATGTATTTATCCATACAAGAGCTGGGGCACAGGCCAGAGGCATGGGAGAGTAAGAGAATTCACCAAAGACAGAGCAGGGAGCAGAACAGGCAGACAGACCGAAAGCACTGCTGAGGGGAGCAGCTGCGAGACAGGAGAGGTCTGCTGTGCCATGTGAGTTGCTCCCTGACCAGCCTGGAATCGAACCAGCACTGCAGAGGCTGCAGACAGCTTCACAGCGCTGTGCTCAACCTGCTGCACCACCGGGGAGGCCCCTGAAAGCATTTCTTTAACAAATGTTTTTTCTAAGGAAAAAGACAAGGATGTCCATTCTAATCATTTCTATTCATCATAGAACAGGGAGTTCTAGGGCCTCCCTGGTGGCACAGCGGTTGCGCGCTGGGTTGCAAAGCTGCCCACAGCCTCTGCAGCGCCAGTTCAATCCCCGGCTGCCAGGCGAGGGTCCCACATGGTGCGCAGACCTCTCCTGCCACCCACTGCTCCCCTCAGCAGTGTACTTCGTCAGTCTGCCTGTTCTACTCTCCGCTCTGGTGAATTCTGTAACCTTCCCATGCTTCTGACTGTACCCAGTGCTTGTATAAATAAATAAATAAATCTTTAAAAAAAAAAAAAAAAACAGGGAGTTCTAGCCAGAAAGAGGCATGAAAAAGAAATAAACACATGCCAATTGGAAAGAAAGAAGTAACATTGTCTGTTCACAGATGATATGATTGTAGATGTAGAAAACCCTAAAGAGTCCATCAAAAATAAACTTAGAATTAATTCAGCAATGTAGCAATATACAACATCAATGCACAAAAATCAGCTGCATTTCTATGCATAAACAATAAACAGTCTGTAAAGGAAATCACAAAAACAATTCCATCTTGAATAGCATCCAACAGAATAAAATACTTAAGAATTAACCAAAGAGTGAAAGACTTGCACAATGAAAATTATAAAACACAGCTGAAAGAAATTGGGCCTCCCCAGTGGTGCAGCGGTTGAGCGCTGGGCTGCAAAGCTGCCCGCAACCTCTGCAGCACCGTTTAGATCCCTGGTGGCTCCCCGGCCACCGGAGGAGGGTCCCACATGGCGCACAGACCTCTCCTGCCGCTCACTGCTCCCCTCAGCAGTGTACTTTGGTCCTTCTGCCTGCTCTGCTCCCCGCTCTGGCTCTGGTGAATTCTCTCACCCTCCGGCGCTTCTGACTGTACCTAGTGCTTGTATAAATAAGAAAATAAATCTTTAAAAAAAAATAGGTAGGGCCTCCCCGGTGGCGCGGCGGTTGAGCGCTGGGTTGCGAAGCTGCCTGCGGACTTTGCGGCGCCGGTTCGATCCCCGGCTGCTCCCCGGCCACTGGAGGAGGGTCCCACATGGCGCGCAGACCTCTCCTGCCACCCGCTGCTCCCCTCAGCAGTGTGCTTCGATCCTTCTGCCTGCTCTGCTCCCCGCTCTGGCTCTGGTGAATTCTCTCACCCTCCCGCGCTTCTGACTGTACCCAATGCATGTACAAAACAAACAAATGAATACATAAATAAATAAATAAAAATACATGCCTCTCTTGGGAAAAGAAAAGGAAGGAAAAGGAGAAAAAAAAAATAAATAAATAAAAAAAAATAGGTAATTAAAAAATATAGAAATTAGTGACGACAAATCAATGAAAATTCAACCTACATTTATAGACTGGAAATAGTAATACTATTAATATGTCAATAATATCCAGAGTGAGCGACAGATTAATGTAATGACTATCAAAATCCCAATGACATTTATTTTTGCAAAAATAGAAAAATCCACCCTACAAAGCACATGGAATTCCAAGGGTCTCTGAACAGCCAAAACAATCTTGAAAAGGAAACAAAAACTGAAGGACTCAAGCTTCTTGATTTCAAAACAATACAAAGTTACAGCAATCAAAACTGTGATATTAGCATAAAGACAAACAGAACAATGGAGCAGAATAGAAAGTACAATAATCCCTTGCAAATATGGTCAATGAATGTTGCAAAGGGTGCCAAGACCATTCAATGAGCAAAGGCTGAAAGCAAAAAAAAATTTCAACCTTTGGTACTGGAAAAACTAGATATCCTTATGCTAAAGAATGAAGCTGAACCCTTTTGTATAACAATATATACAAAAACTAACTAAAAATGGAGCAACCACTCAAATATAAGACCTCAAATAACAAAACTCTTAGAAGGTAGAGCAAAAGTGTCACAAAACTGGATTTCACAGCTTTCTTAGCTATGACACCAAAGCACAATAAAAGAAAAATTGGACTGGACTTGATGAAGCTTTTTAAACTTTAGTCATCAAAAGGCACTATCGGGGGGCCTCCCTGATGGCGCAGGGGTTAAAAACAGCGCTTTTTTAACAGGGGTTAAAAACAAGCTTTTGCCAGCCACTGTAGCATGAGTTCAATCCCAGGCCGGCCAGGGAGCAACCCACATGGCGCAGCAGACCTCTCCTGTTTTGCCCGCTGCTCCCCTCAGCAGTGTACTTCAGTAGATCTGCCTGTTCTGCTCCACATTCTTTCTGGTGAACCCTCTACCCCCCCCGTTCCCCGCAATTCTGGCTTACACCCCAGTTCTTGTATGCATAAATAAATAAATAAATAATCTTTAAAAACAAACAAAAAACAAAACAGGCAACTCACAGGACAAATTATTTGCAAATTTTATCTCTGATAGGGGATTAATATCCAGAATATATAGAGAATTCCTAAAACTTCACAAGAAAAAAAAACAGGCAAAGGACTTGAATGGACATATTCTAAAGAAGATTTATAAATGATCAAAAAACGACATGAAAAGATGTTCAATATCACTAATCACTAGGGAAATGCAAATCAAAACTACATTGACACCTCACACCCTACTTGATGACTACTATCAAAAAACCAAGAAGGAGGGAAAAAGAAGGCAAGAATGGGAAGAATGGGGCCTCCCCGGTGGCGCAGCGGTTGAGCGCTGGGTTGCGAAGCTGCCCGCGACCTCGGAGGCGCCGGTTCGATCCCCAGCTGCTCCCCGGCCACCGGAGGAGGGTCCCACATGGCGCACAGACCTCTCCTGCCGCCCGCTGCTCCCCTCAGCAGTGTACTTCGGTCCTTCTGCCTGCTCTGCTCCCCGCTCTGGCTCTGGTGAATTCTCTCACCCTCCCGTGCTTCTGACTGTACCCAGTGCATGTATAAACAAAAACAAACAAATAAATAAATAAAACATGCCTCTATTTAAAAAAAAAAAGAATGGGAAGAATGGGAATGTAAAACAGTATTGCCACAGTGCAAAACAACAAGACGGTTCCTCAAATATTCAAAATAGAATTACCATATCACCCAACAGTTCCACTTCTGGGTAAATGCCCAAAAGAACCCAAGGCAGGGTTTCAAAGAGCTATTAGGCATGTTCATAACAGCTTAATTCACCATTGTGGATTGAAAGCATACACAAAAGTCCATTGATGGATGAATGAAAAAGCAATATAGGATAAATACATATACAGCTAGTGGGTTACATCAGCATTAAAGACGCAGAAAAGTCCGCAATATGCAACGACATGGATGAACCTTCAGGACATTAAGTTAGTTAGAATAAGCCCACTGCAAAAAGACAAATACAGAATGACTCCATTTGTATGAGGTATTTAGAATAGTCAAAATAATAAAGACAGAAAGTAGAATGGAGGTTGCCAAGGGGTAGGGAGAGGGGAGATTGGGGTTATTGCTTAACAGCTGTAGTGTTTCAGTTTTGTAAGATGAAAAAAGTCATCGGGATAGATGGTAGTGATGGTGGTACAGCAATGTGAATATGCTTAATGCCACCGAACTGTAAACTTAAAAATGATCAAGATGGTAAATATGTGTATATTTTACCACACAAAAAAAGAATAATAGTACTAATAACAGGAGGAGATACCTTGTAGGACCCAAGCCATGGAATGATAAACCAAGGAAATTAATGTTCCTATTTTCTGTAATTCCAGAACCTCACAGATATTTGAGTAATTTGATTCAATATTTTCAAATAACATAACTTTTAAATCATCATTACAGTTAAGAACAATATGACTGAGAGCAAAAGCCTGCACTGAGATTCCTCTGTGATATAACTGTTGGGTACGATCAGTATGTAGTTTTGTCTCATTTATTACAGTGCTCTTTTGGGGTAGAAAAGGCAAAAGTGCTGAAAGCTCAAATAGGACTAAGGGATAGTCTTTTTTCTGTTCTTGTAACTTCTTTTCCCCCACCCCATAGTTTTAATTAGTTTCATATGATTAATAGGCCTGAAACAAGGACCTGAATAGGTAAAGCCTAAAACTGATCACAAGATACTGCCTCAGTTGGACAGAGATCATGAGGGTTGTCAGTGCTGCTGGAGCTGTCTTGGAGAGACCGAATGAGGCCCGTGTACCACCACATTCCTCTCTAGCATCCACAGCAGATATCATTAACGCCCTCCCCTTTGAGTCTGGCTGAAGCATCAGGATACTGATCAGACTTAGCCCACTAGGAGAAAACCACTCTGGCATTCGTAGCATCTACTGTGCTGTGGGCAAGGCCACTGCAATCCCTATGCTGCCCCCTATCCCCAGAACAGTACAAATGATTAAATTTGAATTATGTCACATAACATGCTGTCCTATCCTGACTACTAACAGACAACAGGCCACTCTAACCAATTTCAGATCAGGGAGAAGATAATCCCAACTTACAGTTTCAAGGCTCTTCTGGAACTCCAGAAGTTTAGCTTCAGCTTCCTTATAGTTCTTGAAGAACATACAGAGTTCACACATCTCTAGCATCAACAGTAACGGGGAATCCTTGGAGGAAGAGTTTGAATCAAGTTACAAAATCTTAATATTATTTTCTCAAAAAGTAATGTCAATATAAGAGACGGTTAAAGTAAAAAATAAATATTACTGGTAATAGCTTCACAGTAGAATTAAATCATGTATGCTAAAAAGAAGTTAAATTTATATTTCCTTTAAGAAAAAAAATACTCAAGCTGTGCACACCTACTGGAGTCTATTTGTCTATTCTGTACTTGGCACAGGAGCAGGAGATACTCCACTAGATGGCGTTAGGACATCTCTGCAAACACTCCTGGACAGTGGGCTCCACTGAACTGCCAACCTCTCTCTGTCTATGGCTTCAAAATGACCACGTGTGGACATTTCTAGCACTTCAGCAGGATTGTTACCATCAGAGGAGAGGAGCTCTGTAATTAGAAAGTATGGAACTTAACTATACAATGTACCACTAGCTAAAGTACTTTGAGAGCCTGCGCATGTTATTTAAGCCTGTGGGCCTTAGTTTATTCTATGAAATGAGGATAATATTGCTTTATAATATTTTCATATATTATCTTTGCATAGGACTACTGAGAGAACACAGTAAGAAGTATATATTATTTAGCACTTTTTAAGAAAATATTTATTTTTATTTATACAAGAACTGGGGTACAGACCAGATGCACGGGAGGGTGAGAGGATTCACCAGAGACAAAGTGGGAAACAGAACAGGCAGACTGACAAAATACACTGTTGAGGGGAGCAGCGGGCGAGACAGGAGAGGTCTGCCGTGCCATGTGGGACCCTCGCCAGCCGGCCGGGATCAAACTGGTGCTGCAGAGGCTGCGGACAGCTTCACAGCGCGGCGCTCAACCACCTGCACCACCAGGGGCAGGGGAGACCCTTATTTAGCACTTTTTAAAAGAAGCGGTACTTCAATTATTAGCTGGTTTTGGCTTAAAAAAAGAAAAAATCCAGGGCCTCCCTGGTGGTGAAGCGGTTGAGTGCTGGGCTACGAAGCTGCCCGCAGCCTCTGCAGCGCTGGTTTGGTCCCCGGCCACCGGGCGAGGGTCCCACATGGCGCGCAGACCTCTCCTGCCGCCCGCTGCTCCCCTCAGCAGTGTGCTCCGTCGGTCTGCCTGTTCTCCTCCCCGCTCTGGTGAATCCTCTCACCCTCCTGCACTTCTGACTGTACCCAGTGCTTGTATAAATAAATAAACAAATCTTAAAAAAAAAAAAATCCAGGGATAGGAAATTGAAAAAGCTAATGGAATATTCTAAAGTAACCCTTTTAAACTCAGGAAAGAATAACTATTGGCAACTCTCCTGCCTGCCTCTGACTATGCAGGTGACTCTCTATTTCTCCTTTTCCTAATAAACCAGTCCTTTCAAAATGTGAAGGGGGGGGGGAAAGAAACTATCATTACCTTACAGAAAAGTTGGAAACCTCTGAGGAGAGTTTTGCTCTTCTGCCTTGTTAATAATGTTCTCCAGATGATTGCAAGGTCTTCCAGGTCCCAGGGGTGTCCCTCCACTGAACCCTGAATGTGTCCCATTGCTTCAGCTGCAACACTATCCTCCACAGAAGTGATGATCCAAACACAGAGACAAGGAATGGCACTGGCATCCTGTCATTGGATAAGAATTCTTCAAAAATAAAAAATGGCTAGGTGTGGATTTCTTAACAGAATGTTTCTAGCAATACTACAACTACAGATGAACATTTCCTGTTTTTGAACAAGACACCTCACTAAAGTGATCAAGATAGCTTGAAATGCCTTCAAACACCAAACAAACTAATGAACCACCAAGGGAGTAGTATGAACTATGCCACAGAGTGTGGTAGGTCAAAAGGCCAAAGGACAGGGGGAATATATGGAAATCAGAGACACAGTAAGTATAAGGAAACAAGAATGTCCTCCACAGGACTGGTGGTCAATGGACTGCCAGGAGCATCCCTCTTCCCTGCTCAAGAGGCAGTGGTGTTAAGTCCACCAAAGCATCTGCCTATATATTCAAAAGGCTCTGAACACAGAAGTTACTAACTTCAAGGTACAGAGAAGGACACTAAGTGGCCTGGAGTCTAAGCTAGGAGAAGCACAAAAAACTGCAGTGACTTTGGAATCACATGCTACAACTTCACTGTCATCATCACCTCACTTTATCTTTTCCTATCCCTCCTGACTCTTTCTATTGCTTACTGGGTCCTTAATTTAGGTTTCTCATCATCCCCACCTGAAGACAGGAGGCCAGGACACTAAGGATAGGGGCCCGTTGTTTCACTGCTTCAGTCAGTAGCCAGCACCAGGAGTTTGGCTCCTCTGAGCACCGGAGCAGAATTTCAAAGAAATCAGTGATCTCTTTGTTTCTCTGGAGTTCCTGGGGAGACCTGTTGCAGACTTGCTCAAAGTCCATTTTGGAATTGGACACTGAGGATAATGTCTCAAAAGCTAGTGTCAAGTGGTCTTGAAGGACAGGGCTGAAATACTGGAGCAGAGATTTCACCTAGAAAACATATTAGATGATTAAAACAGAAAACCAACTTTCAATTTCAGCTGGTGCTGAAAAATGTTAGTGAAAAGCCCTGCTGAAATTTTTATTTCTCACCCTGAATTCTTTCTCTTTTGTCAGAGGTGAACACATAATTTTACAAAACCGTTTTTTGCTTTTTGTGTGAATTTCAATACTTGATCTGGAGTCACAAAAACTCTACCTTTTACTCTTTTTAGTATTAATGACCAGTCCTTTGAAGTCAACCCACAGTAAAAATAATGGTATTGCATCAAACAAAGGCCTATGCGCACACAACAGAAAAACACTGTCTTCTAAGAAGTGCTTCAACTTCCTCTTCTTGAATAACGGCAACAGCCGCTGGCTTACCTCCTCTGGGTGGTAATTGTGGAGTTGGCAATGAATAATGAACTGTAACCAATCATTTGCTTTAGCACATTCTCTAAGGTATGATGTGCTCAGTTTTATATTGTGGATCCTGCAAAACTGTACCACTAATGCCCATTGATTGCTAGATTCACTGGATAACCTGTAATTGGGGGTAGAGGTAGTAGAGAAAAAAATATTGTTAAATTGTCAGTTTACATTTAAATTGGAAAATTAATTAGTAAAAATTAAATTGCAGTACAGGATATTCTCTAAAAATCCTTTCAAAAAATACCAAATATTTATTAAAGTGTTTGCAAAGAAAAAGAGGATTCTTTAAATCATAATATACAATAGTTTTCTTAGCACACTGACAGAATTTGTCTCTTTATCAACTAAGTAGCTATCAAACTAGTTGTGTACCAGCTTTAGGAGAATTAAGAAAACAATCACTCAAGAAAGTTTGAGTGTTGAGTTCTGTTGCATGATCCACTACAGAGTATTAGAGCCCTGTCAGGTGCCTAGAACTCCTCACTAAGGCATAGGTACCTATTCCTATGTGAAGCAAGAGACTGTTGAGAACAGAGTGCGTGATAGGACATAGAGAAAAACGGTACATTCCTAGGGTCAGAAGTAGCTGAGTCAGCCCCAGTGGGATATAGAGGTGAGACAGCATGAATGCATAAGGCCATTATCAACTAAAATAGATGAGCAAAAAAAAATTAAGGTCATCAGTTAGAGTCAAATTTTGTGAAATCCATTCCACATCTTCCAAAAAGATTTCAATATGTAACACTTACAGGGACCACTTACAGAGCAGTGGAAGAGACAAAGATCCTTTCCACCTCGTGGAAACTCCATTTCTTTCTTTTTTTTTTTTTCCTTTTTTTTTTTAAAGATTTATTTATTCATGCATACATGAACTGGGGTACAGGCCAGATGCGTGGGAGGGTAAGAGGATTCACCAGAGATAGAGTGGGGAACAGAACAGGAAGACTGAAATACACTGCTGAGGGGAGCAGCGGACGAGACAGGAGAGGTCTGCTGCACCATGTGGGATTCTCGTGGGCAGGCCGGGATTGAGCCAGCACTGCAGAGGCTGTGGACAGCTTCACAGTGCTGCCCTCAACCACCTGCGCCACCAGGGGAGGCCTGGAAACTCTATTTCTAAAGAGGGAATCATCATCTTTACCCAGCTTTTACTGACAAGATATAATTAAAATTCATTGTCTGTTTGCTGAGTATCTAATAGCAGATGAGTAAGAAAAGGCAGGTCTAGAGGGGTTGGTAAATGTACCCAAGGTGTTGCAAAGAACATAGACTGGCACAGTAAGTCTGGCTGGAAATGAGGTGGGAATTGTGACCCACAAACCTTTTTATTTTCTGTTGCTGAATGCTGTTCCATATACCTTCTTCTAAGAGAAGAAGTAGTTCTCCTATGGTTGCCTTTTCACCTGCAGCCAGTTTAGACAATTTTTCAGCTATAAGAATCATAAACAAGGAAATACGATTAAGAGGAAAGGTCATTTCTATCCACAAAATAGTGAGTTAGAGACCAAAGACTGCAGGAAAAGGATGAAATAGGAAGGTGACTGGTTTTGCTCCCCAATTACTCATAATTCAATGTCTTAGATCCATTCATCCCTTCCCCTCTAAATAAACCACATAAAGAAAAGGCAGTGTACCTAGAGACTCTCTGATAAAGCTGTACTGAGCATCTTCATTTTGACACCTGTAGCTCAAAATAATATTTGCCACTTTCATATCAACTCTGAGCTTGAGGCTGTCAAGGCCAAGCAATTCTAAGAAACAAACACAGGCAGCTGCTATTGAAGATATGTGGAAGGAGGAGAGTCCTAAAACATAGGCTTCATTGCCTACTTGCTGGATCCTGAAAAAGAATCAAAAATCACATCTTCACATCAGAAGTGTTTCTCACCAGTAAAAGCAGATGGAAATACATCAGTGATAGATGGAATGTCAGACACATGTTATTACTGGCTCCCTTGCATATCCATTTAGGTTTCGGGAAGCATTTAGTTGTCTTCTGGATTCCTAGTCCTCCATTCCCTCATATTTTACCATTTCCTAATTACTCATAGTCAAAATTATTCTTGCTTGCTACTTCATCCAGGGAATGTGGAACAGAACTTCTAAAAACTTCCAACTTGTGACCTTATTGATTATGAGGATGTACACAAACTACCAAGAAAATTAATGACATTTAAAGCACATACATTTTTAAATATTCTCCTATCTATACATAGAAAAATTTCCAGGAACAACGCACACAAAATTAATTATGTTCATTTACAATGTAGAAGGAGGATAGGAGACTGAAGGACTTCTATATTTCATTTTTCATCCTTCTGAACTACTTCACTTTTACCATAAAAATACATTACTTTGTTAATTACAAAACAAACAATAAATAAATCTATGTTAAGCTGCTCATTTTATCAAACACATCTTGTAATTGTGTGCTTTATGAAAGTAAATTATAAAAAAGGACAAAGATCTTAAATTCAAAATTCATATCCTATTACAGAATTCCCTCTTTAGAGTACCTGGCAGCATTTGGCAAGCTCTTGGATCATTTTTTTAATATATGAATTTTAAAATATATTTATTATCTCTTTTCCTAGTAACAAAAGTCATATATGCCAAATGCCAGAATCATGGGATACACAGAAAAGCACAAGTGAGAAAAACACAAATCACCAATTGAATATAAATAATTTAACTGTATATGTTTCCACTAACTTTTTAAAACACATGTGTGACATACACAAATATAATTTATACTTTTAATAAAAGGTATATTTTAAATACTCACAGTTGCTTGGGAGTCTTGCTCTTGGTTAATTCTTGGACCAGAAAAGTACCAAATGCAAATGATGGCCGTCCATGATGCAAATAATAAGCAAAATTCAGACGTTCTATTATAGCGTATTTATTAACCAGGTCAGGGCTAGAAAAATGTGGGAGATGACTTGCTGCATCTGAGAGGGGAAAGTGAAGTAATATTAATTCTCTGCATCTCTCATGATTAATTTCAGATTTGTACATGGAAATCATAACTGCAATGGTGAAAGAAACTGGTTGCTATAATCATGTTGTACTATTGTGCATCAGTTTGAATTACCAAAGTGTAATATTTTTAGTCTAACGTGTAGAAGAACCAATGTTATACAAAAATGTGTAGCTGTGAAGCTGCATAAAAACTTATGATCTGCAAAAGGAGCTTTTTAAATTCATTCACATAGCTGATTACAAAAAGAAATCCCTTCTTAACATACTTATGTGAGTCCTGTATTTACTAAGACTTATTCATTATAGGTCTTTTCCCAATAAATACTTTTCCCCATAATACCCTCCTACAATCTTCTTACGTTACACTATACTTTCTGAGGTTATAGTCATAGAGCATCTCCTTATCTATGGGATGGTACCATCTTCCTAAGACCAGCAAAGCAACTCAGTTTAAGGTTCATCTGTGCCCGTGAAAACAGCAGAATTTTTTTTTCTTTTTAGAAAAATTCAACATCAGACGATATTTGGATGTGACAATTAGTATGAAATAACACTCCTATCTTTAACAGTCTCTTAACCACTTATCTATTTTTTTAAAAAGGAATAAAGTAACATTTGAACTTTTAAGAAACCAGTCCTGGAAAACAATGCATCTTCTCTTATTTCAAATGCATCTTCTCTTATTTTCGAAGTTCAAAGCTTATTTCTGAAATAAAATGTTATCCTCCCATGGAATTCTAAGGATTTTTTATATTGTGACTTAGCACCTATTTAAACCAACTTGAGGACCATCAAAGGTATCTGTCATCTTCCAAAGCTATTATATTAAAGTATTACCCCCCCCCAGATTGAAAAAATTGTTACATGCCCTATCTGCAGTCTTTGGGAGATCATAGTGACTTTAAAAACTTATAATTACATAAAACTATCCACTCATTCATAAAATATTTGCTGACTACATGGAAAGTATATAGTATTTCAGGTACCCAAATGAGCAAATTGAGTTTTTTATTCAACTAAGAGTCTTTTTAACCACAAAGGGTTAGTGTGGAGATTTTAGGTAAGAGAAACTTCTATCAAAAGGGAAATTTTTCTGGGGCCGCCACTTAAGTCGAATCATCACGTAGTCATTGGTAAAATCATAGGAAAAAAGTAAACATTCTAATTAAATACAACTTTCCAATTTTATAAATTTATTATGCTTTCATGATAAATGTTTCATTTACTTTGTGCTTCATTTCCTTAAATATGTGTGAAACTTCTAAAAGACTGGGAGCATGCCTTAAACTTTTTCTCTGTTCCTCTAATATACTTAGCAGAGTGTACATCTCCATGAGGGGGGCAGGACTCAGGTAAATGACAGAATTGGAGGCATTACAACAGGATAGAAAGTTGTACTATGGGAAAGAGAAATTTTTAGCTTGGGGAGGAGCTGATGCCGTCTTCAGCAGATGGGGAATCCATTTTCAACAGTTCTCATTTTCTTCATTCTGAACAGTCTAAGTAAAAAGTTAGATTCTAGGACCTTTACTGAGATTAGAAAGAGTATTTTAATCTGAAAATGCAGTAAGCACTACTTTATTCAGCAATTAACAAATAATTATGGAATATTATTTATAGGCCTGGCACTACCCTGGGCTCTGGACACTAGGTAAATTCAACAAAGTGGAATCTGAATTTATAAAATTGACACATTGAAAAATTCATTTTGATGTATATCAAATATTTTATAGGGTATGTCTGAATAAAGTGTTAATTTGAAGCTTACCTTAGAGTAACATATGTGAGGACACTACAGGTAACATGGTATTAAATACTAATCAAATGCCAAAGTAAAAAAAAAAAATAGAAGCAGGATTTTAAAATCACACACACACAAAAAAAAAAATCAAAGAAATTCTTATATCTAGAGAGGATGGAGATATGTGAGCCTCTGGTGCTTATTATGCGTCAGGAACTGCTAGAGCTTTTCAAATGCCTTGGCTCCTTTCATTCTCATGTAACAGGATGTAAGGGGTTATTATCCTTATTTATAGAGAATTGGAGAAAGGTAAAATCACTTGCCCAAGGTCATACAACTCTGACATGGCAGAGCTAGGCATTGTCTAGTTCTAATATCTATGTTTGTGACTTCTATAATACTATACTGCAAATGAAAAGGGATTTTTGGAAAGCGAGAAAGAGGTATACAGTACATTTCAGCCACAACAGCACCAGAGACCATAAACAATGACTTACAATTTTTCAATGGAATGTGTTTACCAATAGAGCGCAACCTTATTTTTAAAATAGAAATCAGTGAAAAAAACTGGATTGACTTTAGATAAATTAATTTTTATTGTCAACAGTCCTGAAATGCTTCTAAAGCAAGAAGTACAATGACGACTTACCTCCTATAGCTAGTGTGTTGGCAGACTGCCAGCCAAACAATCTGCTAGGATCAAAGGGCAATAATGACTGGAAAGGGGGAAAAGTCAAATCAGAGTTAAAAGTTATTTGATTCTAAAGTAAGTAAACAAAATTATATGAAAACTTCGAAAGCAGTCAGCTTCCCTTCTCCAGGACAGTCAAAAATCTTGTATTTCTGGATATACATCCTTTTGACATAGCAAAAACCAATAAGGAATGTGTGAGACATTTTTCTATGTTAATAAAAACCAAGTTACTTATGTTCCTTTTAAACTATATCTACAAAGCATACTCTTCTTTCATAGTAGCAGCATAAATTATAATGTGAAACAGGCTTTAGAAATGTTTTTGGGATCAAAAAGCAAAGGAATAAGGGGTTAGGAAATATAAATATGACAATGGTAGCTAAGGGCAGATTAGATCAAGAAAGAAATATTACTACATCAAGGGTTAAAGGAATGTGATGAGCAAATCAACAACAAGGAAAAACGAGACTAAAGTCAAATCAATCTAAAAAGTTTGAGAGCAAGGAGCAGTGGTTTTTTGAAATCTGTATAAGCCAAGTGCTTAGCATTTGGCTATGTTTATAGCAAAGACTAAACAAATGGTGTAACGTATACAGGAGAAAACACCTATTAAATCAAGATTTGGATGGCTAAGGAAAGAGCATCTTTGATTTCAACTGCGGTAAAATTTCAGTCGATTAAGGAATTATTTTCCTAAAATAACAGGGCTAAAATATTTTATGTCAAAATGAAAATAACAAAACAAACTGAAACCACTTATGTTTCAAGACAATTGAATTCACCTTAGGTAATTGGAAATGTATTTTTTAATGTCACTAAAAACTATTTTAAATCACTAATATATTGTTTATAGTAGTGTTACTCAAAGCAATGATTTAAAAAGCTTATCCCAAAATATACATCCAGCATTCTGCTTCCTTCTTCAAAAAAATCTTGCTACATAAAATTGTTTCAGCCTGCTGAACTAAATAGCATGTGCTTACATACAGGCATACCTCATTTTATTCAGTGGCTTTATTGCACTTCTAAGATAATGTGTTTACAAATTGCAGGTTTGTGGCAACTCTAGTCAAGCAAATCTCTCATTTTGTGTCTGTTAAGCTTTACATACACTTTTTATAGACATAATGCTATTGCACACTTAACAGAGTACACTATAATATAAACATAACTTTCATATGCACTGGGAAGCCAAAAAATTCATCTGATATGTTTTACTGCAACATTTACTTTTTTTGCAGTGGTCTGGAACCAAAACTACAATATCGAAAATACACATGTAGATTTACATTAAAATCTATACAAGATTCTAATCTCATCACATACTAAAAAAAGGCAGTTCATGGACTGGCACCCAACTGGGAACCACTTTTTGAGTAGCATCTTAAGTGTATTAAGAGATGTACCTTTACAGGATTATAGAGGTTATGTTGAATTGAAGACACTATGGGAGCAAGTATACCCAGAGGAAAAAAACAATGAGCTTTCTAAAATGAGAAATCAGCACAGGTAGGTGTTCTTAACTGAGGGTCCTTGAATAGGTTTAAGGGAATCTGTGGATTACTTTGAAATACAAGCAAAATTATATGTTTATGTGCAGTTTTTCTAGGTAGAACACTCACACCTCTCACAGTGTTAAGGAGATATTAGAGCAAAACATTAAGAAACATTGACTGACTGGAACAAATAGCCATATTCACTGAGAAGTGAGAAATTATCAGTGGTAGAATGGAGCAGTTTTTGATGAAAGGAAGAGACAGATATGCTGATCAACTACCTATTTGCTCTCAGAGCCATTTCCACCCTTGCCCTGTAATTTGAGAAATACATTTCCCAAACTTGTTTGCCCTTTAGCTAACAGAGACACCTTGGGAGATTAAAGGTGGGGAGAGAAGAGTAACCAAGACATCTTTCCCCTTCTTTGTTTTCTGAGACCATCTCTTCAAAGGTCCAACCCTACCTTCTACATTTCCAGTGCTCACTCAGTGGCCTGGTTGTTAGTTTAGCTTCTAGAGATGGCACCAGCTTCTAGGTTCTAATAAAACCACTTGTGCACTGTTCTTGCAGTCTTAAGATACTGAATGGCCTTATCTGCCAACTTATGGGTTGTCTCACCATTATGTTTGATTTCTCCATTCTGCTGTCACTCTATATAAGCATTCCCTCCATTTGAGAAATCTATAGCAATTTATATTTTCTTGAATGAACTTTGACTGAGTCTTCAAAATTGTACCTGAATAAGATGGTAGAGTGTAATATCTGGTGGCAGGACACTAGGAACAGTGTACTGTGGGAAGAGAGCAGTTTTTAGCTTGGGGTAAGGAGTTAATGCCATCTTCAGAAGCTGGGGATCCACTTTCTTCAAGCAGTTCTCATTTTCTTCATTCTGAACAACCTATGTAAAGACAGGTAACAAGGTGTAATGATTTTCCTTTTTTCAAACTTAAGTCCTTTTTCCCATCAAAACCTGTGAAATGAGATTAGTGTGAGGGAGTACAAGTTAGTGAAAAGAGCACTGGACAAGGAGTCAAAGGGCCAATAGTTCTACTTCTGGATCTCAGACAAACTAATTGTGTGATCTTGGGGCAGGTATTTAATATTAGGCCTCAGTTTCCTTACCTACAAAATTAGGAAACTGAACTACAGATTAGTAGTTTTAAGATATATGTGGAGGCCTCTCCAGTTGCGCAATGTGTTGAGCGCAGCGCTGTGAAATTGTCTGCAGCCTCTGTAGCGCGGGTTCGATTCCCAGCCGGCCAGGGAGATATCCACATACCACAGCAGACCTCTCCTGTCTTGCCTGCTGCTCCCCTCAGCAGTGTTTTTGGTCCATCTCCCTGTTCTGCTCTCTGGAGAATTCTCTCACCCTCCCGCACCTCTGGCCTGTACCCCAGTTCTTGTATAAATAAATAAATCTTTAAAAAAAAATCTATGTGGAGAAGTTGTTTGAAAAAAGGTCCTGTTACTGCATTTATTTTTTTAAATTTTAAATATATTTATTTATACAAGCACTGGGTACAGTCAGAAGCATGGGAGGGTGAAAGAATTCACCAGGGACAGAGCAGAAAGCAGAACAGGCAGACTGACAAAATACGCTGCTGAGGGGAGCAACGGGCAGCAGGAGAGGTCTGCGCGCCATGTGGGACCCTCACCAGCCACCTGTGGATTGAACCAGCGCTGCAGAGGCTGTGGGCAGCTTCGCAACCCAGCTCTCAACAGCTGCGCCACCGGAAAGGCCCTGTTACTATATTTAAACATTAAATATTTAGTTAGATATTAAGAGGTATAAATATTTTAAAAGATTAAAAAACTACTAGATTTGATGACTCCTAGCTCCCACAGCAATAAAGTTATTCTATAATTTCTGACAGATGATTAAAAACAGAAGTAAATAACCATATAATCTAAGGTATATGCAACAATCTAAAAGAGGAGGTATGACATTAAGCTAGTGTCAGTAAAAAACATTTTAAGATTAGATATTTAACAGCAGTCTTAATTAAGTTCCTTTTAACAAAAAAAAAGCAAAGATGGGCAAATTTCCACTGGTTCCATCAGCAGACATTATATGAGTAGCTAAAGATCATGAATTCCTTTTTATCACTCCAGAGGGCAAATAGTAGAAAGTAATTCCCAAGCCACAGATCTGAAGTATACTCACTCCCAAGAGCAATCAGATTCCATTTTATCCTGAAAATACACTTGAAGTATTAGAAAACAAAGGAAAAAAATAATTTCTCCACTACATACATATTAGTCCCTTTCAATGTAAATTGGAAAATTCACTCTGGTGTTGCACTCTTTAATCTATTGAAACACTTTTAAGTGGTATATTTTAATATCAACTGAGATCTAGGAAATCTATAGATATTTCTGCTAAATTTAAAATCAATTCTATTTCATCATAATAGGTAAAAAGTGCTGTCCATACCTGGCTGACTCCCCCAGGAGCATACATTGTGGTAGCAAGAGCCAGAAGGGTATGTCCTTCCAACAGCATACTGCTTACACTGGTCTGACTGCTGGGAATCAGTATCTGAGCATTTGCAAGGCTGGCCTGCAAGATTAGTTTGGGATCTGGAAAATAAAAGAATGTTTTTCTTTTTAAAAGAGAGAAATACTAAATTTAAAATGATATAATTCTGAGAAAAAAATAGTTTTTAACTATTCACAGTAAGAACTTCCTAAGTTGAACAGCAATGGGAAAACATCATGATGGGGGAAAAAAATGAAAGATTTGTCTATATAAAAACAAAAACCTTGAACAAAGAAAATTGAAAGGTAATAATGAAATAAGGAAGCAAATTAACAGTAAATTACACCTAAGAATTAGAGGACATTATTTTGATTTGATTCATAATAATGATTTAATACAAATCAAAGCCCAAAATACAGATGCTTAACAAATATAGACAAAATAATCATTTTACATGAGGAAATATAAATGCCTAAAACAAAAATATGTAATTCACTAGCAATTAAAAAAACAAGTTAAAATAATAATTAGATGTCATATATCAGCTATGAAATTGGCAATGATTTAAAAAAATAATTATCCTCAAGCACAGAGGCTAGTTTATGTGCACAAAGTCTGGGACTTGTGGATAAAATGGTACAACCCCCCTGAAAAGAAATATGGCCTTTATAGCAAAAGCCTCCAAAATGTGTCTAACTAACCCAGTAAATTTATATCCAGAAACCTATCTGTACAAAGAAAATAATATCAAAGAAGGACAAACATTTTTATGGTCAGACATATTCAAGATGATTATAATGAAAAAAAAAAATTGAAACAGCCTTCATGTTAAAAAAAAAGAGAGAATAATAAATGAGAGTATACCCATACAATGAAATATTATGCAGCTGTAAAATGTTCATTTCCTCTAAAGACACAGGAAAACTTTTAAGCTATTACTATACGAAAAAAGTAGTATATAAAATTACAGATGTTTCTGGTTGTATCCCTAGCAGCTTACAGTCTGTCAAAAGGCAGCAGCCCAATGAATAATTGTTGGCTGCATCAGACACAATGTAGATTAAGCTTTAAAAAAAAATTACAGAAAAAAAGATGGTGAGCATCAAACTCCCTGATTTCAAACTGTATTATAAAGCTACAGTAATCAAAACAATATGGCATTGATATAAAAACAAATACATAGTGCAAATGAATAGAATAGAGTCCAGAAATAAACCCATATGTATCTGGTTTATTAATTTACAACAAAGGAGTCAAGAATATACAATAAATGGCATTGGGAAAATGGACAGCCACATGCCAAAGAATGAAAATGAACCATTGTCTTAGACTACATATAAAAGTTAACTCAAAATGTATTGAGAACTGAATGTAAAACCTGAAGCCATAACACTTCTAGAAGGCAATATAGACAGTAAACTCCTTCATGTCAATTTTTTTTTTAAGATTTATTTATTTATACATACAAGAACTGGGGGACAGGTCAGACGTGCGGAGGGTGAGAGGATTCACCAGAGACAGAGTGGGGAGCAGAACAGCAGATTGACTGAAATACACTGCTGAGGGGAGTAGCAGGCGAGTCAGGAGAGGTCTGCTGCGCCATGTGGATAGCTCCCTGGCTGGGGATCGAACTCGTGTTGCAGTGGCTGCAGATAGCTTCATAGGTTGTGTCTTAACCCTTTGTGCCACCAGGGAGGTCCCTTCAATCAATCTTAATGATTATTTGGATTTTGCTACCAAAAGCCAAAGCAACAAAAGCAAAACAATACAAGTGGGACTATAAACCTAAAAAGTTTCTGCAAAGCAAGGGAAACCAACAACAAAATGAAAAGGCACCTACTGAATGGGAGAAAATATTTGCAAATATTTGGATATTGGTTAATATCCAAAGTATCACTTATACAACTTAACTGCAAAACCACAGTTTGATTAAAAAATGGGCAGAAGATCTGAAAGGACATTTTTCCAAAAAAGACATAGGTAGAGTCAAAAGGTAAATGAAAAAGTGCTCAATATCACTAATTATCAGGGAATTGCAAATAAAAACCACAATAAGGTATTACCTCATAACTGTTTGAATGACCATTATCAAAATACAAGAAATAACAAGTGTTGGCATGTGTTAGAAAAGGGAATCCTTTTGTACTGGTGATGGGAATATAAACTGAGGCACTCACTAATGGAAAATAGTTTGGAGGTTCCTCAAGAAATTGAAAATAGAACTACAGTATGATCCTGATGGGAAAGGGACATAATCACACATAGTATCTGCTCCAAGTCTGGCTTTTCTTGGCTGGTGAGAAGCTAACACTTTTGGTATTCTTCGAAAGTTCGAGGCTAGATTATGGTCAGATATTTACCTACAACTACAAACCACATCATTTATTTAACGAGTTCACAAGTTAAATATCATTCAACAGATTAGTTACAGAAGTATTTATGTTTACCTGTTAAATTTCTGGAAACTTGTCGACACTGAACTAAAAATTCAAACCAAGGGTGAGCTTCATGTAGTTCTTTTTTTTCCAAAAAGGGACAATTTGGAGGACTAAGTCTGTATACATAAAAACAAACTCTGATTAACATACAGGATAAGACAGACAATTAGAACCATCATGGTGATAACTAGCATAAAAAAATAGGTGCTTGGAATTAAAGTAAACATAATATTCTCTCACTCTTATATTGTGTTTTCATATTCCTATTATCTAGAAAAAAAGTTTAGAGTAATAACATTAAAGTGTGTTTACTGCTATGACTAAATTTTACTAACTCTACATAAGGTTGACAGTTATACTTTAAGATACTTTATATATTATTGTGTAACATTTCACTTTACAATGAAAACTTTTTAGCAATTTTAAACTTAATGAGATGTGTTTAAAAGCCTTTATACAACAGGCCTGATGAGTTACGCTTCAGAATAGGTCCTCTGAGAACAAAGCTTTTAAATCTGTCCACTTGCTGGTAACCTCATCTAAAACAAGCCTCAATGATATGAACAAGAAATAATCCTGTTAAAATTCCCAGTCTTTACTACACAAAATGAAAATGTTTTCATGGTGCATGAATGTTGTCTCTAGAATCAAACAAAGAATTAAATCTCTATTTGTCAGTTACTAGTTGAGTGACTTAATTAAGGCACTTAGTCTCTCTCAAAACCCGAGTTTCCTCATCTGTGAAATGGAGATGGTAATGACCACTCTGTAAGATTTTTGCAACGATTAAATGAGACATAATGTAGTAAAACACTGACTACTGCAAAGAACACTGCAAGCACTCCTATTAGAGTCCACTACTGTCACTGTTATTATTGGCTCAACAGTAATCAATCCTGGCCAGAGAGAAGATTCTGCAAGTTGATCTCTATCAATCTAAACAAATTTTAGAGTATATTCAACATACCTCGCAGTGACTATGAATTTAAAGTTGTTGAACAATTTCCTGATATTAAAAGTACTAAAGAATTTCAAGTAAATCTTTAGAATGTGGCTCTCAAACTTATAAAGAATTTTTTTTAAAGACTGATTTATTTATGCATACAAGAACTGGGGTGTAAGCCAGAGATGGGGAGTGGGGTGGGGTGACAGGCTTCACCAGAGAGAGTGGGGAGCAGACAGGCATATCTACTGAAATTCACTGCTGAGGGGAGCAGCAAGCAAAGCCGGAGAGGTCTGCTGCACCATGTGGGTTTCTCCCTGGCCAGCCAGGTATCAAATTCACGCTCCAGTAGCTGCAATAGCTGCACCAGGGAGGCCCTTAAAACAGTTCTTTCTTATCTCTAGTTATTTAAAAGGTTAACAGAGGTGTTACAGAGTTATCATCATCAAAAAAACACATGTACATTTAGTTGAATATAGCACTGAACTAGAAGATTTATCATGTTTTGTGGGTGGTGGTGGTTGGACAGGGAGACTATTTCAAAAAGATTCCTTATGTGAATAATGTTTTCTTAAAAGTGACATTCAGAAGTAGTATGAAAAGAGGAAATGTGAAAGTCTGCTTAAGGACAGATCAGTTCTCAGTACTCACTTGTAATAGTTGAGATAGACATAAAGAAGATACTGCAGACTGTTTTCCAAACAATAGAGAATGAAGTGAGAATGGAAATCCCAACCTTCTTTGGACCTGTAATTTTGAATAGGGAGAGTATCTTGCATCACACCCCCAATACGGTTCAGTCTTAAGAGAAAGAGTTCGAAGTCTTCAAGTTCAGATGTAAGAAAAATCCCATTCCTATTGGACAGATTTAAAAGATGGCAAGTTAAAAAGCTGCTAGATTCCGAGCAGACCAAATCACTTTCATTATTTCAGTCTCAACTACTCAAAAATAAGTGCTTGCAAATTAAGACTGCCAATTCTTTATATATTCTGTGACACATATAAACTTAAAAATCAATATACATGTTATATGTCATTAACTTTCCTTACATTATTTTGATTGTTTATGAAAACAGATGAAATTGCTGATATTGAATGATTTTGACCCACAAAAATGGCAAGTTGATATAGTTTGATCTAAGATAATTATTTTTAGAAATAAAAGTTTAAAATCTTCACTTACTACTTCAAAAGCTACCTTCCTCACTATTTCTTAATTCAAGAGTCTTCTTTACCTTAAGGTCATACCTTGCAGAGAGGTACAGAGATAGAACTGAGAAAAGTGGAAGACATTACAGGATACGAAGGTATATTAATTTCCATTCTTGCCACATGGTCTTTGTAATATATTGACATTATACACAAAAGCACAGTATATTGTTTTGGGAAGAACCTATACCTAGTACTTGAGAGCTTATTCACTAACACATGATGTTAAGTGCATATGATTTAAAAACCTCAACATACTATAACACCCTTTAGAGACTTTAAAATTTAAGTATTTTACTGTGTCATTTATATTGTAATAAAAACTGGAATTTAAGTATGAAACAACATTGCGTTGGATTTATGACATTTCAAAGGAAAAATGATACCATTATTTCTTACTGCATTTCCTTTTATTCATCACCACAGTTATAATACCTGGCCAGTTTATCTAAAATTTCATTCTTCATGTAGTTGTTGCAGCAAGTATTATGATCAATAACCTCAACAGTTAGAGGGGGCCACTTGTTCTGCTGAAGTGAAGCATAACTATTCTGGGTCTGAAATTCCCCAATCCACAAGACAATGTTTAACCAATCATGGCGAGCTGTGAGGTATCTCCAGAGGGCTTCAGGGGAATATGATTTGTATTCTACAGTAAGAAAAAAATACATTTTAAAATGGTAATGAATTATGGTTATTGGCACATAATAAAACAATCTGCACAAATATAAAAATGATTTATTCAGACCCTTTGCTTCCTTTATTATTTTTCTCTTTTGTGTTGTTCCTCTTATAATTAATACTATACTATAATGGGAGGAAGAGCTAAATGTTGATTCTCATTATCACATAAAACATGGTAATTAGCTGTGTATTTCACTTAGTTTTTCAGTTCTTTTTTCCCTTTTCTTTTTAATATCAATAAAAACTTTGGCTGTAATAATAAACATGAATTTGACTCTCTATGGTTTAATATGGTTATTCCACAGAGCCCTGATGTGATATAGGTAAGACTATTTGGAAAAGACAAAGAATGTCACTTGGAAGCTGGGATGAGAACTTTTAGTCTTGATAGCTCAATTCACTGAACTGTATACTTTTTCTCTTTCATTGTCACATTATTAATTCCTTACAAAATTGAGGTATGAGGTCTTACTGCAATGACTCACATTTTAAAGCAACTGAATTATTTTTACCCAAAAGGAATTCTAAAATGGAAATACATCAAAATATCCAAATAGCAATATCTAATTTAATTATCACTCAGTTATGTTCAGATTTCATGCTCTTAACACTTGCCTTCTGGACTTGTCTTAGAGAGCAGGATGGATTCTTGTGTTTGTGGATTCCACCACTGCGCCCAATTTAACACAATTCTGTGTTCCTGTTGGTTAAGTTTCTCTTTATGGTCATACTTCAGGAATGAATCCAAAACAGATTTATGCTTGAAAAACTCTTCTTCCTTTAACCAAAACCTAAAAAAGTGACATCTTTTTAATTTTAGAGGAAAAAGCAACATTCCTTTTCATCTGCCCAAGAACTTTCACTCTTGGGGAGACTTTGTAATTTAGTACTTTTAATTGTGTATTTACTATGTTAAAAATATGTATGATTGGGGCCTCCCTTGTGGCGCAAGGGGTTGAGCACACTATAAAGCAATCCGCAGCCCCTGCAGCATGAGTTCAATCCCCTGCCAGCCAGGAAGAATCCCACATGGCGAGGCAGACCTCTCCTGTCTTGTCCGCTGCTCCCCTCAGCAGTGTATTTGTCAGTCTGCCTGTTCTGTTCCCCACTCTATCTCTGGTGGATCTTCTCACCTCCCCCTACCTGTATCTCTGGCCTGTACTCCAGCTCTTGTATGCATAAATAAATAAATCTTTAAAAAAAAAAAAGCAATCAGTGTCCCAAAAAAGTTTAAAAAAAAAAATATATATATATATATATGTATGATTGTGCAAATACTGAAACAACAGGAATCCCTTCAAGTTTTACCTATAATGGGAATGTAAGTTCAGTTCCATATAAAAAAACTTGTGTTCACTAACAATTACAAACTAAATGTGATCTACAGTATTCTTCACATGTTATGAAAAGGTAATGAGACTACCTGGGAAAGGACTGGATCTGCAAATTTTCTTGGACCTGTCCCGAATAAAACTTCTCAACTTGATGCACCATGTCTATAGTTCTGTTTTCTTTTTCAGAAAGGTAATTTTTTTCTTTTAAGATTTCAACCTTGAATAAAAAGTAATTAAGTTAAAGGAGTGACCGCACAAAAATCAAGCATTTTGCAAAACAAATGTCAGGAGATTAAATGCCATTCAAGAACTGTATTTAAAAGTTTTGAGTAAATGTATATATTCATACAAATTTTCCTTTGCCAGAAACGCTAAACAATTATTTTATTTTTTGAAGATTTACAAATTATGAATAATAATTTTAAAGACAAAAGAGTTGTCACATTTTACTTACTGGATATTAGGTGAATATTCAAAGAATTTATTTTGAAGTTTTACCAAAGTTTTGCAGAAAATGTAACCTACATAGTCTCACCTTTACCTACCAAAAAGTCCCGTATATTTTTATCAGTTGTATAGAAGCATATCTTGAGCAATTGCTCTTTTACATCAAAGCCCTGTAACAGACACATAAAATTTAAAAACCTTAGATTTTGTAATGGAGCTATTTTTAATGAAACTTATGTTGGATACGTTAGTACTCTATTATAGACAAGTATCCAATTAGAATTCCACAGCATTTCTTGTGAACATTCATTTCCTACTCTCTCATCACACATATTTATTGCTTATTTCAAAAGTTCCTTAAGCATTTTGCCAGAGCAAAGGCAACATAAACAACAATTTAAGGTAATGCCAGGCTACAATGGCACCAAAACTATAGGCATCTGTTATTATTGACTTGAAAACAAAGGTCAATGCAAACAACAAACCCTTACATGGTTCCACTCCTTGCACCTCTAGAAAGTCATCACAGGCACAACAAACCTCTAGAACCTTCCCTTCTTGAAGAAGTAAAATCAGAGAGCATGAAACAAAGGTATATAAGTCAATAGAAATTTCTTTCCTTTTTTTATAAAATATTATTTATTTATACACACATACATACATACATACATACATACATACAAGCACTGGGTACAGTCAGAAGTGCGGGAGAGTGAGAAAATTCACCAGAGCCAGAGCGGGGAACAGAACAGACAGACTGACGAAATACACTGCTGAGGGGAGCAGCAGGAGAGATAGGTCTGTCGCAACCGCTGCGCCACCCAGTCAATAGAAATTTCACATGGGCATGTAGGTGTCACATGAATAATACAGATTGTTCCTGACAAATAATGCAGTCTGGTGATTCTATCACATATGTCAACCTTCTATGAGAAACACTGCCTCCTCTTAACCAAAGTGCCAAATCTATGGAGAGCAGATGATAGAAATTCTGATCAAGAATCTTACTCTAAGAAAGTTCTCGGTATCTAAGAACATTTCTCAATACTAATAATGCTACTATTTGCTACTAAAAGTGACATAAAATTTTTAGTTTGTGATACAACTATGAATACAAATCAATTTTTCTCTCAGAAAAATGGCATGAAATACAGACATCTCCTTTTACATTAGGGAATTTAAGATCAGGTAAACAGATTATGCCACTCACCATATTCTTCAAAAGCTCAGAGGCTTCCATTATATTGTTCTTCTTTAAATTGTCAAAGACCAAATCTAGGCCAATTCTAATCAGTTCCTCAAGATTTTGAGCAGAATGATTGTTAATCCTGAAAAAAGTTTGTGCCTCTGGTATTTTGTTGTTTAAAACGGCATTGGCAATAACCTCCTTAAAAAGGGAAGAAAAACATTTGTTTTAAGTTCCTTTTTATTTTATTACCAAGATGTATAATGTTGTATACATAGAACCTAGCAAGGGACTTTTGTTGAAAAACTACTACTGGACTTGAAAGAATAGAAAGGAGGCACTCTTAATCATGGCTTTAGAAGGGTCTGTTAACCCCATTAAGAGAAGAGCAAAACTGTGTGTATGTATACATCCTATGTATCCATACATCCATATACATTTTTGGAGACAGTCTATAGTTTTCATCATAGTGACTATAATCTTCCAAAAAGAAAAAAATCAGTGTTTTTGAGAGAGAGAGCAGGGAGCAGAAATGGACCACTGGAGAACTGTTAAAAGGGGAAACTGAAAGAGCAATCTGTGAAGAGACTGGGGAAAAACTACAAAAAAAAAAAAAAGGAAAATTAAGTAATTTTTGTCTAGAGAATGAATAAACAATACAGAAAACGCAGCCACACAAGGTATTTTCTATCCTTCCATCTCAAGAACAGTAGTCCTGGGAAACTGGCAGCATCTTAACCATATCATTTCATTCCTTACTGATTCTGACTGTCTGGGTTAAGCTATTTTGACCTTTGTCTTTCCAATGCCAATACGTTCCATGTGGGTGGAGGGATTCTTCCAGTCTGTAGTCATGAAGAGACCAGCGCACTTAGTGTTAACTTCTATTATGAAAAGAAGGACAAGTAGAAGAGCATTGAAAATTTTAACTGGATAAATGTCTTAACTAGAATCTGAGATAGGACTCAAATTCTGTTATTTCAAAGCAATGATATCATTTTAAAAAAATTTCCTAAGATCAAATCACAAACAGCAATTGGATTTAGCCAAAGTTCAGCCAGAATGCCTAAGTCCAAAGTGCCAGGCCCTAGCTGTTGAGGAAGTATTGCTATGGGAGTTTCACTTCAAATGGTTTGGGGCCTGGTGTTTGTTGCTGGATCCAAGTGGGCAAATCTGGCATTAAGTGAGGGAGCCTGACTGTTCTAAATTAAATAAACGAAGCTGTAGACAGAAAGTTAAAGACATATGCAAAGATCCCAAAATCTCTAAACTCTACTATCCTTCTCAAAGGTTCTGAATCACAAGTTTATAGATTCTAAATTCTGTTATTCTATTATATTAAAAGAAGTGATAGCTACTCTTATTTACCTCAATGCTGAGTTTCTCCCATACATTGCTCTCCTTTACTTTGGGGACATCTTCATTTACAACATGTTCCTCTACAGCATCTGTTAACTTCCAAGGAAACTTTATCATGAAGGTTCGAAGTTCATTAATGTATTTGGTCAAAATGTTCACTCCTTTCTGTAGATATTCATCTAGCTCTATGGAAAATATTAATGTGCCAAAGAGAGAGAAGATTATAAGTTGTTATGAAGAATTTTACAAAACGCCAAAAATTCAAATTTTTCAGTTTTTTCAAATTTCAAAAAATAAATCTTTAGGGTTTTCCCTATTTACAAGCAGCTGCTCTGTGTTGCAGTATAACCCTTTTTATTTTCTTCACAATTATTAGTCCTAGGCCTTTCTGCCAACTTTCCCAGTATTAAACCATTTCACTCACTCACCTACATAGTAACTTTGCCCAAATTTAGCAAATTGCACTCTACTAACTTACGTTCTCATAAGCAATAAAACCACGTATGACACAAGAAAGCTACAAGTGACTCCTTCTTTGCTGTTACTCTTACCTTTATTGTGAATAAAAAGTTCCTTTATTTGTTTGTTCAGGAAGGACAGTGTAAGATTAAGCAATTGTTCAGAAAAGTGTTTGCTTTGGGTTTCAGAATCACTTTCTCTAATTGCTGAGCAAAGTAAATCCAATGCAGGTGTCAGCTCTTCTACATCTGAGAAGGAACCAAAGAAATTAACATGAAGAACCACTATACTCCCAATAAAATAACATAAAAAAATACCATGCTACTAATACTTTTAAATATTAAATAAGAACTAATGTATTGTTTTTAAAAAGCTTATAGAAGTTTCTTGAAATCTTATTAACTCCAAACTTTAATGACTCTTAGTACCAGTTACTGTTTACTGGTATTTCTAGTACTGCTATTTTGCTTGCACCGACTATCTTCAGTATTTTACTTGACGTTTTATAAATGCTATCTCATTTATTCCTTTCAACAACCTAAGAGGTGGGTGTTATAGCCCTTTTTCCATAATTGAGGAAACAGTGGTTCAGAGAAGATAAAGAACTTGCCCAAGCTAATTTAGAAAGTAAGCAGAGCCCAGCCTCTCCGGTGGCACAGCAGGTTGAGCGCAGCGCTGTGAAGCTGTCCGCAGCCTCTGCAGCCCAGGTTCAATTCCTGGCTGGCCATGGAGATACCCACATGGCGCAGCAGACCTCTTCTGCCTCATCCACTGCTACCCTCAGCAGTGTTTTCAGTCCATCTGCCGAGAGAGAGGAGCCCAAACTGCACTCAATTGAGAAGATTTTTTTAAAAAGAAAATTCTAATCCCTATCTTCAGTGAGAACATATGCTGCACTGATGGAAAAAAAGGTTGTGGTCCTCCCCAGTGGCGCAGCGGTTGAGTGCTGGGCTGCGAAGCTGCCCGCAGCCTCTGCAGCGCCGGTTTGATCCCCGACCGCTGGCGAGGGTCCCACATGGCGCGACATGCCGTGCCCTGCCGTGCCCGCTGCTCCCCTCAGCAGTGTATTTCGTCAGTCTGCCTGTTCTGCTCCCCGCTCTGGCTCTGGTGAATTCTCTCACCCTCCCACACTTCTGACTGTACCCTGTGCTTGTATAAATAAATAAATAAATCTTTAAAAAAAAGAAAAAAAGAAAAAAAGTGTCATTTTCTCATGTAACTAAAATACAAATTGATAAAACTTTCCTAAAAGACACAGTAAATTATGTTTAAGAACGTAAATTTTATCTCTTTGACCTAGAAATTCCATTATCTAGAAATTTGTCCCAATAATTGTACATATGTGAAATTATATACACAACGTACACACACTGTGTATGTCTGTAATCAATCTAAAGTCTAACAGGAGTTTGGAAGGTATGATAATGCCCATATAATGAAATTCTATGCTACCATAAATAACAAGTATATCTATTAATATGAAAGAAGTTCATAATAAGTGGGAAAAAAAAATGTCATAAAACTGTACATACAGGGGAAAACACTATTCTACCCTTTTAAGAAGGATATTTTTTATTATCCTATCCTTCTAAGAAGATTTGCCTGGCTACCTGGTCCAAGAATAAAAGCTAGGTTTCCTATCTATTAAAAAGGAAAACCAAAATCTTGAAAAGAGGTATTGGTAATGTAGCAAAAAAGCAGATGAATCAAGCCGAAAATTCTTATAACAATTCCCAATCCACAATTCAGCTGGCTACATTGTCATTTTACATCTCAGACAACTGCAAGAGTGGACAATTTTGCAAATGAATTTTATTCTCTTTTGAATAAAATTCTCTTGAATTTGAAAGACCATCTCTTTCTCATGTACTAAAAACAGAAATCATTGTACAGTAAATGAACCACAAACACTTCACTTTATTATGAGAACATTAATAGATTCTTACAACTCAAGTTCCCACAAAGTATAAAAATCTCATGGCTTAGTTTTGGCAAGTAAATAACCAATCAGAAAATACAATAATATTTTGAAAGTGACTGAAAAGATAAAATGACATAAATGTATACGTCTCTTTTTTCTACTTACTTCTTAAATATAAATGGGATGGAAAGTGATCAAACTCTTCAGTTTCAGAAGATTTTGAGGATGGATTCAAAAGATTTTCCTTGCTTTTCAAAAAGAAATCTACTGTGTCCAGCTGACGATTTTCTAATCCAGCCTGAAAAGGAAGAAAAGCAGGAAAAAATTACAATAAGAAAAATTAAACTACAAAAAATCAGGAAACAATTACAATTTTTTTAAATTCTAGAACTTAAAATATTGAGACAAAAGGAGATACAAGGTTATCTTTTATCTAAAGAGGAGAGTACCTGAATTCTAGTGAAGATTCTTACAATGATGATAAAATCGGGGCAAGTTTCTATAACATTTCTGCACCTTGAGTTTCTACTTCAGTAGAAACAGATTAGATTTAAAAACCCTTCCAGTACCATTCTAAAGCCATCCAAAAACTAGGGGGATCTTCTTGGGGATCAGGCATATCTGAGTAGCAGCCACAGAAAATAGAGTAGCCTATAATGTCTAAAAATTTACCATATGGTTTTTCTCATTTGTGAAATACAAACAGCCAAAGAAAACAAACACCTTGAACTCTGTGAAAACTATGGTTGTTGCCAGCTTTGGGGGTTGGGGGGAGGGTGTGGTGGTGGGGGAGAAAGAGAGGGTAGAGAGGGTAAGAGGATAGTATATTGGCACTGGAGCTTTGGTAGAGGGCAAGTAAAGCATGTACACATGTTGAAGTGTGAAGTTGTACTCTCCAACTTTTAGATTTTTGTAAATGAATGACAAATAAAATTTTTTTAAAAATTTAAAATGCAGCAGCCAAAATAGATGTCAATTCTTCCAAACTTAATAGGCAGATTGGATAAAATCTTTTTTTTTTTTTTTTAAAGATTTATTTATTTATTTATTTATACATGCACTGGGTACAGTCAGAAGGGCGGGAGGGTGAGAGAATTCACCAGAGCCAGAGCGGGGAGCAGAGCAGGCAGAAGGACCGAAGTACACTGCTGAGGGGAGCAGCGGGCGGCAGGAGAGGTCTGCGCGCCATGCGGGACCCTCCTCCGGTGGCTGGAGAGCAGCCAGGGATCGAACCGGCGCTGCAGAGGCTGCAGGGAGCTTCGTAACCCAGCGCTCAACCGCTGCACCACCGGGGAGGCCCAGATTGGATAAAATCTTAATCAAAATTCTAATAGTTTTCCATGAAACTTGATAAACTGAGTCTAAGACATGGAAGAGGATAAAGGGAGAAAGAATAACAAAGACATTCTTAAAGAATAAGGTGAGGGATGTATAATTAAGACAAGATAGAATTGGTTGAAGAATAGACAAGGGCCAATGGGACAGCATACAGCCTCAAAACAAACTTGTGCATGTATGGAAACTTGATACATCAGACATTTCAGCTAGTGATAATAGGAAGAACTTTTACCCTAAAATAGTGCTGAGACAAATAGTAATCTATATGGGTGTGAAAAAGGTCACTAAATAAAATAAAAATAAATAAAAATAAATTAAAAAGGTGTATGTCTAAATAGACATTTCCAATGGAAAATAATTATTATTTTTTTAAAAGATTTATTTATTTATTTATACAAGAACTGAGGTACAGGCCAGATGCGTGGGAGGGTGAGAGGATTCACCAGAGACAGAGCGGGGAACAGAACAGGCAGACTGACAAAACACACTGCTGAGGGGAGCAGCAGGCCAGACAGCAGAGGTCTGCTGCGTCATGTGGGACCCTCGCCAGCACGCAGGGATAGAACCCGCGCCGCAGTCTGCGAACAGCTTCACAACCCAGCGCTCAATCGCTGCGCCACCAGGGAGGCCCCAAGATAATACTTCTTTGGAGGGTTAGGTTAAATGAATTCTCCTAAGTCTTTAGTCAAATAATGATCAGTCAAAAAATGACAGAAAACAATCATGCAAAATTCTACGGACATATAATTTGTTACCTCTAGCGCATGTATGGGGATGGAGCATCTACCCCAACCGTTGAGACGGCAAAGAGAGTCCACAGTGCTGGCGCTTCCATGTATCATCAGTCTATTTAAAAATTCCTCTTGAGTCAAACCAAACAAAATCAGAGAAAGTCCATTTTCTACAGAAAAAACAAGTTAGCTTTAGTAAATTGTAAGGATTTAGGTATCAGTGTTAGGAATTAATTTGAAATTATTCAATAATTTAGCTCTATAATTACAAATATATTTTATTGGACATTGAGCACCATTGATGATGTTTTAATGTTTTTAAAGAAGAGTTTTTTTTGAAACACTAAACACAGCTAAATTCTTCTAAGAGCAATGCATCCTACTAAATGTCACTTTTCATTTGATATTACTTTTGCAGTATCAACATCTGGAATCTAGTTTTTTATAGAGATGTCACATTGATGGTTTATGAAAATAAAAGCATGCTCTTGACATACAGAAATAAATGATTATCAAAATTTGAAAGTTGAAGAAAAAACATGATTAGTTCAATGATAATATTGAACAGGACGTTATAGCATAAATGCTGAATGAATGAATTTCAGAAATATCAAACCTAAATGCTTACAGGAACCAAGGTGGTGAAAGAAGCGTAAGAAGAACCTAACGAGAAAGAAAATGGCTCACCTAACAGAACTGAAGTTTAGCTCCAAACCATTGAATTTTTGCAGGAATGCAGATCCAGTGTTGCCAGATCTTACCATTTTTTTGCTAACAGGTAGAAATGCAGATTTTGTGTGAAATCCTCTAATTTTTCATGTTTATAAAAAATAAAATATTTTTTAAAAAAGATTTATTTATTTATGCATACAAGAACTGGGTGTAAGCCAGAGGTGTGGAGGGTGAAAAGATTCACCAGAGGCAGAGAGGGGAACAGAACAGGCAGATCTACTGAAATACACTGCTGAGGGGAGCAGTGTGCAAGGCAGGAGAGGTCTGCTGCACCATGTGGGTGGCTCCCTGGCCGGGGATCGAACTTTTGCTACAGTGGCTGGTGATACCTTGATAGTGCTGTCCTTAACTCCTGCGCCACCAGGGAGGCCCCAAAATAAAATCTTTTTAAAAAGCCTAGATAGTGCAAGCAAACAAAATAAATCTACATTCCACACATGGCCCACAAGCAGCCAGCTTGCAACCTTTGCTTGTCCACACTGAACTCAACTGAATACTCCCTGGATTAAAACTAACTTTTGTTACTCTCAAACTTTCTCTGACTTAGTATATTAGCATTTAGCTGAGCAGAAATAACCTTAATTAAAAAATTGAACATGAGACCTTACTAGGAGTAACACCTAATTTCATGCAAGATTAAATTTTGAGGTGAGAGTGGGAACTAACACAACTAGAGCAGCAAAAATAAAAAAATACAAGAGCACTTTTGTGAAATACAAAAGTTAAGAAAGCATACCTCTCAGCAATGGCTGTTAATCTGATACAAGGCTCACCTGTCAAAACAAGGCACAGTTGTTGGTCTCCACTGCTGTCTACAGGAATACACTTTTTGCCAAGAGGAAAACACTGCATGGCCTGGGTCTCCAAATCCCAAAGGACAATGGTGCAACCCGTACTTTCCACTGCCCAAGTAAACAGAGCAGTGAATCCTGTCACAGACAGACATTTAAGCTTGATGGGTTCCTCTTGTTCATTGATGTGCATGATCTTCCATGATCTTCCAGGATCACTGGTCTTGGTATGGTATTTCTGTGTAAAATTATACTGGCTGTGCATTACATCCTGGGGAGTGGAGGTCCAGCCTGGCATACTAGTTCTGTTGTTACCAGAATCTGGGGACTCCACATGCAAAATATCCTGAAACCATGGAATGCCATGGGAAACCTCCAGTTTGGAGTTCTTTAGAGTTTCATCCAATGATGATAACTGGGCTTTCCAAGACCTGGAAGATAAGGTAGAATTCAACTATTATTGTCAAAGGAACTAAGCAAAATAATAAACCAGGCCAAAGATCTTTTTAAAAAAAGCATTTACCTCTGAAAAGATCTTTAGTGAAAAAGTATGCTACTAGCATGGTGGGAAAAAAATGGTAGTAATAAAGTAAATCCAAAAAGGAGATTTCTGTACCTATCAACTTGGAAGGAAAAGTTGGTCAGTTTCATGTTGTAGTCAGAATTAATAGGATCATCTTCATCTATCCCCTTGGGTACTTCAACAGGAAGGTCTTCTGGAGTTCTTTCACGTAGTAGGTGTCCTGGGTATTGCCTAATTTTAAAATGAGATCCAAATAAAAAATAATGACCAAACCCAAATCTGTAACTGCTGCTCCTGTTAAAAATGGGGTGGGAGGAGTGTTACAGAGAAGAAATAGTATGCGCAGTAAGTTTCCCTAAACAGAATTCCTTATCTTCATTGCTTATGGCAGAGTGAAAGTCAACCTCAAGAGAATCTGATCCTTAAGAACAGTTAGCTCATATGAAGAAATAGGTGTCTACTATACTGCAGGTGTTATGATGAAAACAACATAAATCATCTTATTTAAACCTTTCAACAACCCTATGAAGTAAATAAACCCCAAGCAAGTTCAGGTAAGAAATGACAGTGGTATGGATCAGTGATGACAGAGAAATTAAGAAAGGAAGACAAATTCAAGAAACATTTATGAGAGGCCTCCCTGGTGGCCTAAGGGTGAAGTCTCAGTGCACTATCACTGTTGAGACCTGAGTTCAATCCCCAGTCAGGGAGCTAACCCACATATGGTGCAGCAGACCTCTCCTGTCTCACCCACTGCTCCCCTTAACAGTGTATTTCAGTAAATCCATCTGTTCTGCTCCCCACTCTGTGTCAGGGGAATCCTCTCACTCCCATCACCTCTGGCCTACACCCCAGGTCTTCTACAAAATAAATATTTAAAAAAGAAAATATTCATGAGGTAGAACCCCTTGGTCCTGGTGATTAACTCAATGTTGATCTAATATATATGAGATTAGCGATAGAGGAAAAGGAGAGGAAATGGAAAATGGTGCCTGAAAAGGAAGAAACAGGATCCTGAACACACAGGGGGATTTACCTTCATAGGAGGGGAACTATCTCCATTAAAATAGGAGGGAAGACAAAAGAGATGGGGCAGGAAAGTGGGTTTCTAATGTAATGTGAGTAACTAAGGAAGCTCCCATAAGATGGGTTTTATTTTCTTTATAAAATAGGAGGAGTCCAGGGTAAAGGAATAAATAGAAGTTTAAAAACATTGCTGTAAAGAATGTGCTCATGGAAAAAACACAAATTTTCCAGGCAATCTTGAGACCAGTGGAAGGTAGTGAATGTGAACTTAGAGTAGAATCAATTTTCCCTTATGGTTGTCTCACAAGTGCTCCATTGTATGGGTGCAGACACTGAGAAGGCAGAATTTAAAGAAAAAAAAATTTTTTTTTGTCAGACCAAGTGCTACCACAGGGCAGAATTGAAAAGTTTAGAGCGCACATAAGAAATGGTGGGCCCCAGAAACTAAGCTGAAATAAAGGGAAGTGAAGACAGAAGCAGCCTCAAGGGTAGGTCAACGAAGGGGAAATCCCAATGAAATCAGATGACAGATGAAGTATGTGTACTTAAGTGAGGTGTTAGTTTGGGAAACTGTGATCAGAAAGATGTACTGAACAGTGATGTGGGGTGAGAAATAATAAAATGAAATTTGAAATAATGACAAAAGGAATGGAGAGCTAAGGTAAAGTGAAAGAAAAAGTCACTGATAATGAATTGAAAAAGCAAACCATGCTAGAGTCCTCAAGGAGCTTACAAACTCTAGAGAGACCAAGAAAAACTTAGGGAAATAATTTAAGACTATAATTAAGTGCTCAAATGTAGTTCAAAGCAGAAGTGCCACCGATGTTCGAAGTGGAGAAAAATTATAAAATGAGTATAAAATTACCAGCAGAAGAGATTTCAGTAAGGAGAGTCTTCATGAAAGAGGTAGATTTCAAAGAATGAACAGAACTTGGGCCTCCCTGGTGGCTCAAGGGGTTAAGACGCGACCTATGAAGCTATCCGCAGCCACTGCAGCACAAATTTGATCCCCAGCTGGCCAGGGAGCAACCCATATGGCAAAGCAGACCTCTCCTGACTTGCCTGCTGTACCCCTCAGCAGTGTATTCCAGTTGATCTGCCTGTTCTGTTCCCCACTCTGTCTCTGGTGAATCCTCTCACCACCACCCCCATCTCTGGCCTGTACCCCAGTTCTTGTATGCATATTTTTTTAAAGATTTATTTATACAAGAACTAGGCTACAGGTCAGATGTGTGGGAGGGTGAGAGGATTCACCAGAGGCAGAGCAGGGAACAGAACAGGCAGACTGATGAAATACACTGCTGAGGGGAGCAGCGGGCGAGACAGGAAAGGTCTGTTTCGCCATGTAGGATCTCGCTGGCTGGCCCGGATTGAACCCGCGCTGTGGAGGCTGCGGACAGCGTCACAGTGTGGCACTCAACCAACGGTGCCACCAGGGAGGCCCAATAAATCAATCTTTAAAAAAAAAAAGAATGAATAGGGGGCCTCCCCTGGTGGCACAGCGGTTGAGCGCTGGGCTGCGAAGCTGCATGCAGCCTCTGCAGCGCCGGTTCGATCCCCAGCCCCCAGCGAGGGTCCCACATGGCGCGCAGACCTCTCCTGCTGCACCTGCTGCTCCTCTCAGCAGTGTATTTCGTTGATCTGCCTGCTCTGCTCCCCGCTCTGGCTCTGGTGAATTCTCTCACCCTCCTGCGCTTCTGACTGTACCCAGTGCTTGTATGAATAAATTAGTAAATAAATAAATAAATAAATCTTTAAAAAAAAAAAAAAGAATGAATAGGACTTGATAAAATAAAAATGGGGGAATGATATTGCATGTCAGGAAAGAAAAGCTAGGGCCAGGTGACAGGAAAGATAAAAATACTCAGATTTCAGGACCTCCTTGGTGGCACAGGGGTTAAAGTCTCAGCACTGTCAAGCTATCGCCAGTCACTGTGGCATAAGTTAGATCCCCAGCCAGGAAGTTAATCCACATGGCGCAGCAGACCTCTCCTGTCTCACCCACTGCTCCCCTCAGCAGTGTATTTCAGTAGATTCACCTGTTCTGCTCCCCACCCCTCCCCCACCTCTCTGGCCTAGACCCCAGTTCTTGCATGCATAAATAAATAAATCTTAAAAAAACAAACATTTCAGAGCAACTCCACAGAAATTATACCAGTTTAAGAGCATTCATGTAAATAATTAATAGACACCACTCAGTTAGACGGGACAGATTCCCAAATTTACTACAGGGAACAGAGCAGTAGCTCTTTTTTGGCTGATGTTACAGTAGCTGAGTTCAGTAAAATCTCAAAGGAATGTGCAGGTTACTCTCTCAGAATGTCCTTGGGTCTTGCCCATTCACAGGACTCGAACCTAACACTTAAGGGCCAAAGTAGCTGAGTAGACTTTCCTTCCTTCTCACCTGTAAAATTGTTTTCCAAGGTGGATGACAAAGGGGGAACTCTACAGATAGAAGGTACATTTTAGTCAGTAAAAGCGTTGTACCAATAACAAGCACACCAACAGAATTTGCTAATTATTCCTGCTCAAAAATTTTTTTAAAAAAAAGCATTAAAAGCCTACTTAAATTTTAAAAATCATAGCGATAAAAAAGCTTTAGTAGGTAGGTAAAAATGGAGTTACCCTTTTTGGTGACATGAATAATCAATAAACCTCACCTAAGTATAGTATAATCCTAATTACTCAAGGATTTGTTTATCTCATCTCATATTAAATTGGGACCAAAAACCCCCAATATTTTTGAATGGCCTTCAATACTGGAAGTCATAAAATATAAAATGGCCTACTTTTATTTTCCTTTTTTTTTTAAAGATTTATTTATGCATAGAGGAACTGGGGTGTAGGACAGACATATTGGGGGGTGAAAGGATTCACCAGCGACAGAGTGGGGAACAGAACAGGCAGATCAACTGAAATACATTGCTAAGGGGAGCAGTGGGCAAGATAGGAAAGGTCTGCTGCACCAAATGTGGGTTACTTCCCTTGCTGTAGCGGTGATAGCTCTGAGATTTAACCCTTAGGCCACCAGGGAGGCCCCCAGACTGGCCTACTTTTAGATAAGCAAGTTGCAATGAATAGGTTCTGTGTGTGGACGCACATATACTCTCATATATACCATCTCCACTCAAACGTTACAAAAGCAGAAGCAACTAGAATATCTAAATCAAAAAGCATCACATGGGGCAATCAATTTTTGATAATTTAGATAGTCACAAGTTTGGTCCCTTCAAGGGAAAGGGAAACACCTGAGAAAGTCCTCAGCTGGAGAAAGCTAGCTTAATATATCTTGTCAGACTCTTTTGAGAGAATAGTGATACCCAAAGCATCTAGGACCCTGGAATTCTAACACCAAGTAAACGCTATTTCTCTTATACCCTAATGCGGGGTGAGAAGTGAGTAGATACTGTATAATGGCCAAAGACTTTTAAAATTTTTCTTGATTACTTTTTTACTTAAATGATATTAGCTATATATAATAGTATATCATATAAATCAAAACCAAAACTTGATATACAAAGTGAAAAGGGCCAGAGAGCATTTGCACAATTACTATGTGGTAACAACCTTAATTATGTAGTATCTAGAACATGATCTAACTGAATAGAGAAAACTGGTAAAATAAAGCAAGCTAACAAGTACATTTTTAACTCTTCTGGTCCTTAGAAATCCCAATAGTCTACATACCTGAAATACAAGTTTAAGTTAAGAGCAACTGCAGAGTTGGAGGAGCTGACAATCACTGCAACATCTAGATCTTGAGATACTTTCAGCGAAGAAAAGGAAGAAATCTTGGCTGGCTCCTGTTGCTGCTCATTACACATATCTTCTTGGTGAAGTGCTAAATCCACATGAGCTACATGTGTACCATCCACGATGTCAAAAATATCTTTGAGTTAGAGTTAAAGAAAATGCCAGTCTTAAGTATGCCTGACCATTTAAAACACAAGACAGGGTAAAGCTATAGACTTCATTACTCCATCCTTGTAGTAGAGTAACAGAAGATAGAACACTAAAGCAGCCTTCATTTTAGTAACCAGGTGATTGTGAAGTTAGTAGCTCAATAAGCCACCTGATAGAATTCATTCAACAATAGTTAGTGAATACCCACTCCGTGCCAGGCCCTCAGACACTGCTAATGTTTCCACAGAGCTGCCCAAGAGAAATACAATGTGACTCATTTGTCGTTATAAATTTTCTAGTAACCTTATTTAAAAAGTACAAAGAAACCTATTTTTAATATATCCCATTTAGCCTACCAAATTATCTCAAAATGTAATACAAAAATTTGAAATATTTTCAAATTTTCATTTCAAATTTCAAATTTTCAAATGAAATATGAAATATTTTCATTTGTTATGTAAGTGTTCAAAATCTGGGATTTTACACCTAAAGCACTCTCAATGTGAACATTAAATTTTCACTGGAAATATCTGATTTGTATTTAGACTTCATAAAATTTACATTTAAGAACTTGAAACAACCAAAGTTGTTCTGTGCATATTTAAAGTTCTCTAATAACTGAATCAAGTATCAGCTTTTAAATTTAATATAAAGTGAAGAATTCAGTTCCTTAGTCATGCTAGCCAATTTCAAGTGCTCAGTAATCATATACCTATTGACTACCATGTTGGACAACACAACTATATAACGTGGCAACAAAATAAAGTTAATCTAGTATTTTACAATATTTTTACCAAAGAAATTTTAGTACAGGCTATTGATTACCTAAAACAGAAAAAAAACATTCTTCAATTAAAAAATGAAAATTTTAAAGTCATAAGGGATCATTTTTCAAGTCTTCAAAATAATTTTGATGATGAAATTTAGATTTGCTAGAGAAAAAAACCTGTAATATTTTCCAAAACCAAATCTAAAATGGTTAAGCAAAATATGATTCGCTGATATGACAGAATTATCTTTAGAGATAAGAGGTAATTTATATTCATATATAAAAATGTCTCATAAGCAAGCACCCAAATCCTTCCCAGAACAAGTGCAAAATAGATTATTTAGTGAGCATATTTTGAACAAGTGAGTAATGCCAAGTATTAGAACACAATAACTTGGATGATTATAACCATGATGAAATATATGTATATACTAGAAAATATTTAAATGAACTATAAGGCAATATAATTGGGTTTTAAGTTCATGAAAACTTTATCCCTGAAACGTTTTACTGAAAAATTAACCATTTTATCTACACCCCAGTCCCTAAAACTACCAGCTTAAAAGTGCTCACCTTTCTAGGTATTGTTCTTCTCTGCCAATCGGATCTTTAAATGCCAAGGATACAGATCCAGCCCAAACTACTCAAAACAAAAAGAATTCCTCTGCAGAGCTGCGTGTCAATAATCCTATCCACTGCCTGTGCAGGCAAGGGTAATGTGAAACAGTTGAGTACTCTAATTTCAGCATCTCTTTCAGGAAATATAAGGTGTAGGATGATACATTTGTTGATGAATAGCAAGGATGTGTTATTTTGAAATGACAGAATTTTCAAAAATAATATGGAAGTACCTATAAAACAAAAGGATATTATTTCAAACTCATGGATCATACAACCAGTAAAAAGGATTTTGTAAACATAACATAAACAAATAAATCAAAAAAGCAGTACATAACTTAGTTCAACTCTAGCCAATTATTGCCAATACACCCATCTAAGCATGTGGTCATTGGAAGGTAGATAAAGGGGTAAATAAAGATGGCCTAAAATGTCTCTGTCCCTTCTGTTTGGGGCCAATCTGATAGGAACCAGAAGATTCAAAAAAGCTTATTTACCATCGGACCCCCCCCCACACACACACACAAAAAGCAGTTTGTATGGGTGAGGAGTATGTTACTGCCTTAAAAAAAAAAAAACTCTGAGTATTCTGATTTCAGCTTCCAGCAGCCCTCAGGAGAGGACATATCAATAGTAAAGAGCTCTGTAACCAGCCCAGACCAGCACTGTCCAATAGAAATGTAGTACCTGCCACAAATGTGAGCCACATGCTGAATTTGAAATTTTCCAGTTGCACTGAAGAAACAATGAACAAATAAAACAAACAAAAACTCTCAGAACATAGCAAGGTAAGGGAGGTGGGTAAATCAAGTAAGAGGGGTCAACTATATAGTGAATAGTGAAGGATGGACAAGACTTTGGTGGCAAACATAACATAGCATACAGAGATACTGATTTATAATGCTGTGCAATTGAAATCTACACAATGTTATACGCAATTGTTACTTTGGTGAAAAAAATTTAAGAAAAAGCATTAAAGCACTTAAAGGTGAAATTAATTTGAATACATTTTTTATTTCACCGCATCCAAAATATCCTATCAACATGTAATTAATACAAAAAACCATTAATGAGGCATTTTATTTTTTAGCACTAAGTGTTCAAGCTCTAGTTTGAATGTATGTACTTGACACCTGAAGAAATTCAGTATCCATATTTTATGTGCTCAATAGCCCATGTGGCTAGTGGTTACAATAATGGACAAGGCAGATCTCTCTCCCTGATTTCACCTCTGTAAGAACTTTTTTTGAAATACATAAAGTTATATAACGTCAGATGTAAAAGTACTGCAAGACCTCCTGTAAATACTTACTGATATTGTGATCTTCAATAAGCTTTTGTAATGTCTCCTCACTACAGCTCCACTGAACGGTTGCATCACATCTTCCATCTTTCAAATTAAATTCATATATGAGCAGTTCATAATTTTCACTAACAGCGAGCAGTCTGGGCTTGTCTGCTGGTGTGCTGTTATGAGAATCCTCCCATACAAAGCTAAGAAAAAAGTTTATTATAGCCTATATCCACAATAATTTTTTTTTAAAGCAGTTTAATGTCTTTTATTTATTTATTTATTTTGAGATTTGGGAACTTTTATTTATTTTTTGCCAATTTCTATGTAATTTTTTTTTTTTTAAGATTTATTTATTTATTTATACAAGCACTGGGTACAGTCAGAAACGCGGGAGGGTGAGAGAATTCACCAGAGCCAGAGCAGGGAGCAGAGCAGGCAGAAGGACCGAAGTACACTGCTGAGGGGAGCAGCGGGCGGCAGGAGAGGTCTGCGCGCCATGTGGGACCCTCCTCCGGTGGCTGGGGAGCAGCCGGGGATCGAACCGGCGTCGCAGAGGCCGCGGGCAGCTTCGCAACCCAGCGCTCAACCGCTGTGCCACCGGGGAGGCCCTCTATGTAATTTTTTTTAATTTAAATTTTATTTTTATATTCTCCATACAATTACAATCCCCTTATTTTGACCCCAATCCCTCCTTTCCCCGCCCCCCACTCCCCATAGAGTGTCTCTGGTTCATAGTTGTTTGTTGATTTTGCTATATCCACAATAATATTTAACAACAAAGGAAAGGGAAAAGGGTAGAATGAACAGAGAACAGTTCTTTAGTTTACTTGGAAGCATCAACTCTACACCCAACTTAAGTGAATGTAAACTTCTTTAGAGTGTCCTGCTTCTTCCCCTTTAGCTTCCTTCTTGATAACATAAAAATATAGGAGTGTGTGGTAAAAAGGGGATAAGGAGCAAGAAATGATGGTTGTTTTATTTATCCTAAATCCTAAATATTGTTTAAAGGAAATGTCAAGATCAAGTTTCAACAACCAATATGGGTATTTATATGAGGTGGTGTTCACAATGAACAAAACAGGTGTTTGCTAACTTAAGTACTTTACATGACGTAAGAAAAGTGGTTATTTGTATTTCTAAACTTTGAAGAATCAAATGGTGTATTATAAAATGGCACTGTTCAATAGAACTTTCTATTACTCTGTGTCTATTTATTTGCACTGATCAGTACAGTCATCAACAGTCACATATGGCTACTGAGCACTTGAAATGTAGGTGCTGCAAATGAGGAGCAAAATTTTAGTTATATGTGGCTAACAGCAACTATAGAGGACAGCACAGTTACAGAATTTTTAAAGCAGTACAGATGTCAATGTGCTGCAGTGGCTTACAGGAGCGGGGGAGGGGAAGTAATGCTGCTACACCTTCAAATAAAATTTTATTAAATTACATTTTAAAAATAAGAGCCCCAAATCTGAAAACAATGCAACGAGATGAGGCAACAATGCTGATAAACTTTCATCTTTAAAAAAATTTCTCTATAGGGCCTCACAGGTGGCACAGCGGTGGAGCACTAGGCTGCGAAGCTGCCTGCAGCCTCTGTAGCACCGGTTCGATACCCAGCCACCGAGTGAGGGTCCCACTTGGCGCACAGGCCTCTCCTGCCGCCCGCTGCTCCCCTCAGCAGTGTACTTCGGTCCTTCTGCCTGCTCTGCTCCCCGCTCTGGCTCTGGTGAATTCTCTCACCCTCCCGCGCTTCTGACTGTACCCAGTGCTTGTATAAATAAATAAATATTAAAAAAAAAAAAAGACACTGCTTCTAGGTGAACATAAGTGCTTAATGTTGAGTGAATAAACAAACTACACTTTGTCCTTGAAGGAGAAAAAAATAACACCCTTAAGTGAAGTAAATCGGTAGTTGTTTCAGGGACAAGAAAAAGGTAGCAGGAAAATTCCACTTAGAAATGACCCCGGCTGGCATCTTTCACGGAGCGACACGCACAGAGCGGGGTGCAGGGTAACCCTCTCTGGGGGGGACCAGGGGCAGCGCCTCAGCGGGCCGCGCTCCCCGCCCACCCGGAACCCGGAAGCGAGGCCGCGCGCCGGGAAAGGGCGCCGGGCGGGAGCCGCGCGGTCACCCCTCCCGCTACCTCCATGTCAGAGGGCAACAGTGGGACCAGCCAAGGCGAGGGCCCGAACTTCGCAACCCTGCGCAGCTCCTACAGCACTTACTGCCGAAACGGGCCGTCCAGGCAGCAGCCACCGCGGCCCCGGGCGCCCGGAGCCAAGGAAAGCACCTGAAGGCTGCCTGCAGCCGTCAGACTCCCCAGAACCTCCTGTTCTTTGTGCAACTTCGCCCGGGATCCCAGGCGCCCGCTTGCGTCGGCGGGCACCGGCACCAACAACATCGGTAGAACCCGCTCCATAGCTTCAAAGCAACAGCTACAGCCGGCGGCCGCACTTCCGGCCGCCTTCCCCGCAGCCATCTTGGTCTGGCCCTGTTTCCGGTCACCTGCGCGTAACTGCGTCGTGGGCATGCGCAGTGCGGTAGGCGCGCTGGCTGCCTCGGGACTCGCCGGGGCCACCTGTGGAGCCGGCGCCCGTCAGACCAGCTACGCCTCACCTGCGTGTGCCTCAAGCCCACTGCAACTCTCGTGACATCCTTGCGGGCTTAAGAGGCAGACTGTGGTGGCTGCTCTCACTCGGTGACATCATCCTTTGCTTTCTTAATCTAGCTCCCTTGTTAGAACCCGGATTCCACCTCTCTATGCTTTTCTTGAGGTACTTTATGGTGGTTTGTTTACAGGCCCGAGGGTAGTGCAGCGTCCTTGATTGCGTGAGCGATGAATGGTGAGGTTGTTGGCCTGAATGTTCAAGTCGTATTGTAACAGGGGGGGTCCCCAGGAAAGGGGGAGGTTCCAGGCTCCCTGCCCCACCCAAATGGAGGGTGGAGCTGAGCAGGGAGCGAAGAAGCTGCTGAGGAGAATGAGGAAGGAAGGAAGCAGGATGGAGCCAGGAGACCTGGAGGAGGCGCATGTTGCCGAGAGACACATAAACTACACTTGCCCTTTGGTCGTAGACTGGGTGACACAGATGTGGGTGAGACCCGTGGGGAGGTAACCATGGTGGTTTTTGTCTTGATTTTGCTCTTTTCCTTCGGAGCTTGTCTGGTTGTTTCTGACCCTTTTCTGTGGGTCTCCACTGGAGGGTGCTTTAGACTTGTGGCAGGCTTTGAGGCCTTGCTCTGGGCCAAGCCCATTTGTTTTTTGTTTGTTTTTTTTTTTTATTTATACAAGCACTGGGCACAGTCAGAAGCGCAGGAGGGTGAGAGAATTCACCAGAGCCAGAGCAGGGAGCAGAACAGGCAGACTGACGAAGTACACTGCTGAGGGGAGCAGTGGGCGGCTGGAGAGGTCTGCGCGCCATGTGGGACCCTCCTCCGGTGACCAGGGAGCAGCCGGGGATCCAACCGGTGCTGCAGAGGCTGCGGGCAGCTTTGCAACCCAGCGCTCAACTGCTGTGCCACTGGGGAGGCCCGGCCAATCCCATTCGGATGGAGTTTTACCCACCAGGGGACGGGTAACATTGGGTGCTTGATTCAGAAAAAAGATTCTTTGCCTTTCCTGTATTGTTTCCTAACTGTATTAAAGTTCCTTCCCATTAAAGTCTCATGTTTTGTGTTGATGCGGCGGATGGCAGAACCCATTTGAGCAGGCAGGTTTTGGGGGTCTGGGCTGCCCCTCTCGCTGCCCTGTAAAAATATGTCCATTGCAACAGGGTAATAGGGGAGGTAAGGGGGAGGAAGTGGTAGAGTTCCCATTTCACTACACCTTTTCTCAGAAAAGATCATCAGCGGGAGCAGGGGAAAAAGGATGAGGAGAGGCGTGGGACCTTTGAAAAGGTCTAATTAGCAGTACCTTATATAGCAGGTACCCCATCCGGTGTGGGTCACAGGGCTGTCAGAGGCCAACTCATCCATTTGTGCGTTAACTCCCACTCTTCTGTTTAGGCCTTTGTCTTATTCTTTTCCCTCCTTCATTTTCTCTCCCCCTATTTGGGGGCACTTCACTATCATGCAGAATTGCTGTGTCATTCTTTTAAAAACTCCTCCCATAACATATCAGCCACTACCTACTATCAAATCACACTGCTTCCCCTTTGGAAAATTCCAAATTGACTCTTAAAATTATGTCTTCTTCCCCTCAGTCCTTTTACTCAAGCTGCTATCTCCATTACAGCTGTCCTTCAAGATCTTTTAACCATCTCCACAGTGCCACAACCAGCTTTCCTTTCTGAAAGAATTTTAACTTCAGTAACACCACTTCCCTACTTTCCCACTGTTTTACTGAAAACTCAATTTCCTGCATTGGCTTTCCCCCTACATAATCCCTCTCCTATTTGTTCCTTAACACCCATAGCCCCTGCTTTTGTGTCTTTATTACTGACCTTGTCCCTTCAACTCTACACTGCTGTTACCCACTTGCTCTATCTACTTGGATTTCCAACAGGACTCAAAGAGTCTAAAATGAATGTTTGGCCCCCACAAAACCCATTTTTCTCTTTTCCCACTGCAGTATGGTGCACCCATAACTTATACCTAAGAGTAATCCTTGTTTAACCACTAGGCCACGCCCAGTGCCTTTCAGTAGCATTTATCAACATTTCCAAGATCTATTCCAAATTTTTCTCTGCTTTCCTTCACTGCTCTTTAACTTCTGCCTAAGCTGTTGCGGAAGAAAAACCTCTTAACATTTTTCTGCTTTCTTGTTCCCCTAACAATTCAGGAGAATGATCTAAAAACAAAATCACATTAAACCACTTTGTTTAAAATCCTATTTCCCATTAGAGTTAAAAAAAAAAAAAAACAACAGCCAACCAACTGTGGGTTTTTAAATGATGGATCACAGACCTATACCCTGTTTACCTCTCTCCAACTTCATCACTCTCCCACTTTGTTGCCCCTTGTGTGCTACTTCCCTTCTTAAAACATACCACGTTCACTCTTACTTTGGGGGCATTATGCTCACTGGTGCCTTTACATGGATTGACAGGCCTTCCCATCTACTAGTCACTTATCACCCAGTTTTATTGTCACCAAGATATTTATCACTAGTTGCTGGTTTGCTTTGTTTTGTTTTGGGTCAGAACTTCTCATTGCTCAACACCATTACCCTTGTATGTAAAACAGTGCCTAGCTCATTGACACTCCAGTGTTTATTGATATGTATGACCTTGTCAAGTTAAACCAAATAGTTCATATCCCAGGGGAGATATTTATAGTCAGCTCAGACTACTTTATTTAAAAAGGGGCGGGGGGTGGGGTGGGGCGGGGGGTTGGGTGGGGTGGGGGGGGTAATTTTGAAGCAATTTCTAAGGACTTACTCTTCGGACATAACAAGGCCTTGTCCTTTATATGAAGGACATTTTTATAGCAATCACAGGTAAAGAAAATGCCTTCATTATGGGCCTCCCTAGTGGCACAAGGGGTTAAGACACAACCTATGAAGTTATCCGCAGCCACTGCAGCATGAGTTCTATCCCCGGCCAGGGAGCTACTCGCATAGCACAGTAGACCTCTCCTGGCTCGCCTGCTGCTCCCCCAGCAGTGTATTTCAGTCGATATGCCTGTTCTGCTCCCCACTCTCTTCTCTGGTGAATCCTCTCACCCTTCACACCTCTGGCCTGTACCCCGGATCTTCTATGCATAAATAAATCTTTTTTTAAAAAATGCCTTCATTATACCTCCTAACTTACAAACACGTTTCAATACATCATTCTATTATCTTTATTTATAACTTAATATATGACATGCCTTTTTAGGTACCATCATTTGGGTTTATGGAAAGGGTCCTCCGATCTATCAAGGCATAAGAAATGTCAGACTTCCTGGATTCCTGTAGACATAGTCCATACAGCTAATGTCTAATGATTAAACTTTCCCAATGTGTATTCCAGAACAACAAAATCAATAAATCCTGGCAAGCCTACAAAGAGAACAGACGTTAACTACAACCACAATTCCTGTTTTTAATTTTAAAGTGTTTGTGTGATTTGATTAATATCTGACTCTTTCCAACAGGCAGTAAATTCTGAGAACAGATTTCCACATTATTCATGCTTCTCAAATATTTCCTGAACAAGTCAACTTTTCAAATTAATCCCAGCCCTCAAAATAACTAGCATGTTAAATGACCAAAGCATATGGGAATTAAAAGGTTTGGCTAAAGAAACAGGCCACAGGGCCCTAACTTGAGATAGATTGGTTTTTCAGTAAATACCACAGTGTCTTCAACTACTAAAAACAAGTTATCCCCCATACATACATAGTTTAAGTAGAGAGGCAAGTGACAGAACATAGAATGGACTTGAACAAAAGGCTATGTATTTCTGCTGTCACTTACTCCATCTTAGCTTCCAGCTGCTGTACCAGTTGCTTGTCCACGTGATGACAGAACAGGGGAAGAAGGTTGCTGGGGACAGTTAAGGGTTCTGCCAGAGAAGCTGTAGGCATTTGAGCCATCTCCCAAGCAATCAGAATGACCATGTCTGTCCTGAAGAGCAAAGGAGAAACACATTAGACTTTGCATGTATGCAGGAAAGACCTCTAAGCTCAACACTATCTACCAACACTATCACTCCTGTGCACATAACAATTAGTGGTAACATTTGCATATTTGCTATGTGCCAGTCAATGCTTAGTGCTTTACACATCTTATTTAATCTTAAGAGCTCTTAAATCATTAGTACCATCATTCCTAGATCTCCAGTTTATAGATGAGGAAAATTGGTTAAGAGAAATGAGTATACATGCCTCAATGTTACATTGTAAGTGACAGCCAAAATTCAAACTTAGTTCTGTTTGAGTCCTTCTAATTACTATGTTGCATGACCTCTCCTGGGAAACCAACACCCTGAGGCACTATAGTGGGAGGGGAGGGCAGAACAGCAGCACCTCTCTTTCTCCATCCTCCCCAATGCTTGAATACAGCCCTCAGGAAATTTTATCTGCTCAGCCTACACATCCCAGGGGTACTGAAGTAGTATTTACAAGGTTTTAATGATCTTACCAAGACGTATGGTCACTGTTGGGATCCTTATTAGAATCCATGGCTATCAGCTGTTCTCCATGACTCAGCAGGGCATAGAGCAAAGATATTCCAAACTGCAAGTGATAAGAGTATTTAAAGTAAAAGGAGCCCTCAGGAGGCATTTGCTATTTCCCTGACCCTGCTGTCTGCCCAACTGAAAGGATAAGTTCACATGTATAAATGGCATCTAACACCCATAAATTGTCAGGTTTGACACTGGCCGGAGAACTCTTTCAAGGCAATTCCTGCTCTGAAATTTCCAGAAGATTCTTCTGGGGAGCTGAGTGAATGCATAGTTGGGGGCTCTTTTTCCTGGAGTCAATTTGGAATAAGCCCAGGAATAGCATGCAGCCCATGAATAGCAGGTAGTTTGTATAGCCCACTTTAAGAAGCATTACTTGGGCCTCCCCGGTGGCGCAGCGGTTGAGCACTGGGTTGCGAAGCTGCCCGCAGCCTCTGCAGCGCCAGTTCGATCCCCGGCCACCAGGCGAGGGTCCCACATGGCGCGCAGACCACTCCTGCCGCTCGCTGCTCCCCTCAGCAGTGTACTTCGTCTGCCTGTTATGCTCCCCGCTCTCACTCTGGTGAATTCTCTCACCCTCCCGCGCTTCTGACTGTACCCAGTGCTTGTATAAATGAATAAAATAAAATCTTTAAAAAAAAAAAAAAAGAAGCATTACTTTAGGCAGAGATCTTGGGGAGTTCATAAGGACAATTCACTGGGATAAGATATGTAATAGAACTTTAGTCATTATCTTTCAAAGCTTTCTTTTATCTATTATGTACCGAATAGTATTATATCATTTACAAATACACGAGTGTTATGGTTCCGAATTGACTAAAGGGGATATACAATCAAAAGGTTTGGTGACCTCTGCTCTAGAGGTCTGTGTATACCAGCATCAAAGAACTTAGAAAAGCAGATGCATGGGTACCAATGCAGGTCTACTGAATAATCTCTGGGATGGGACCATGGCACTGATTTCGATACGCTCTCCAGGTGCTCCTAGTGCTTTCTAGAAGTTGAAGAGCCCTGCAGAGGGTCAGGTAGAGATGAGGGCATTCATTTGCAAGGGACACACTCTGTAGGACATCTGGGATGTTACCTGATTCTGAAGCACCACAGTGATGGGCCGCTCTGAGGATCCAGGAGATAGCAGCATTAGTCCCTGGAGTGCTTGGAGAAGTTCCTGGAAGGTTAAGTGACTGATACATTTACCCAGAGGTTTGAACAATATTTGTAGGGCCTGCAAAAGGTCAGGAAGCACCTTTCAGCCTCCTCCACAACTCTGCCCTCTCCTACCTAGCTTCCAACACCTTTTCTTGCTCACCTGCCTTTGATACCTTCCTGGTCCTTACTTTCCAGGTCTATCACTACTCATCTCTCTCCATCCCTAACACTTTTTTTAATACTCACCTGTTCTAGGATGCCTTTCCATAGAAGTAGATATGGGAGCTCTGTTGATCAAGGGGTCCTTCTCAAACCTCCATAGCACACACCTGTGCAACCATACAGCTGTGTGTTTTCTGTTCATTGTACTTGAGATTATCAGCTATTTCTATAGTATTTTTTTTTTTTTGGTAACTCCCTCCTATGAGGGTGATAGGGTCAGCATCCCTCACTAACCAGCAGCTTCTCTGACATCTCTGGGAGGCTGGGGAGTAGAGAGGAGAGCCCTCATCCACTCACAAAGCCATGCTCTTCTTCACTCAGTGCCACGCTACCTGGTCAGCCACATCCCTCCTGATCAGGAAGGGTAGATGTTGGGTGATACCCAGAAGAAGGCTAACAGCCCGATCCTGGGACAGAAAGGGAAGCAGACGAGCCACTAGGATTTTCCCCTTCCTCACAGCAAGCACATGCAGAAGGCCATCTTCTGCCTCCCTACAAGGGAAGGTGGGGGGAGCATTTTCAGGGCTCTGTGTAGCGAGGGCGACATCCCAGAAAAGAGGGGCAGAAGCAAAGGCAATGTCTGCTGATCCTTCTTTTCTTGGCCCAAGGAGTGACCCTCCCATACTTACTCCAGATTTTTCTGTTCCTGAGTCTTTAAAGCCTGGAAGAGTTTCTCAACCTGGCTTCTTTGCTGCTGATGGTAGCAAGGTTGTGGAAGCCTATCCTTCTGGCCCTCTTCTATCTCCAGTAATTGAAGAAACATCTAGGAATTCAAAGGTGGGGAAAAAGAGGTAAACTTGAGTAATAGCTCACTCTCAAGCACAAGTAAGAAACACCCCTATGGCACCATCTCACCTTCTCAATCCGGTACAATGCCCGAAGTCTCTGGCTGCTTGCAGCTCCTGTCTCCTAGGAGAAAGAATCACCTGCTTTCAGCCATTCGACCCTTAACAACAGCAACCCAGGCCTCAGGCAAGCTGAAGGCTTTACTATAAAGGCTAGACACAAAGTTTGATCATACTTCTGCCTCACTCTTAGGTTACAGTCTGAACTCAAGAATGAGAGTGCTCCAAACCTTTCTCCAAAACAGGAGAGAAGGAAATTTCTGGAAGACAGTGCTTCTACCTGCTCTTGAGTTCCATGGGGCACAGCATCAATAGCTCGTCGAGGGCTAAAACACGTTGACACAGCAACCTGGCCCAGGGACCCCTCGATTCGAACCACTGCATAAAAGGAATCAAAATCAGCATCTTACCCTCCCCTGCCTTCCCCTTTTCCACCCAGATATCCAGCCCAACCCAGAGCATCAGTCCTGGCCCTACCTGACTCATAAGCCTCTGCCTTCTGAATGTAAGGTGTTACCAGCTTTAGGGGTTCAACCTTGCTCCTTTGTCCAAGTAGCTCTTTATCTGCCTGGTTCTTCTCTAGTTTCTGATAATATTCCTGAGAGTCCAGGGGACAGAAAAAAGGACACTCACCTTCTCAAACTTAGAATTGGAGTTCTCAAGTACAACTTCTTTGTCTGCCCCCTCCTACAGCATTCATTCCAAAAGCAATCTTGGCCCAATAGGCCCTTCCAGCACTCATGTGCTAAAGCACCTTTAGTACTCTGGGCCTCATGAACCTGTCTTGGGGTCCCTAAGGTAACTGAAAAGCTATATACCTCCAGTTCTGCCGGAAAGGTAGAGAGCAAAGTAGAGAGGCAAAAAAACAAGCATGTTAAAGCATCTTCAACCTTCCTGCATTATTTCTATATTACTGCATACCACCTATCTTTTCCCCCTCCCCATTTTAATGATGTGACCCTACCTGTGCTTTCTAAAATCATTACTTGATGGCATGAAGACCATCAGTAGCTTGAAGTACCAAAACATTGCTAGGAGTGCATTGGCACTTGGCCTCTAAGCAAGTTTTATACTTCTAAGGGTTTGTTTAATAGCTCTATCTTTTAAAGAAATCTGTGAAACTGTCAAGCTAAAAGTAAAGCCACTGTCTGGGAGAAGTTGAATCAAATTCTGTCATTCAGGAGAAATGCCCAAAAAGCATGACGATGAATCTATCTCATTTTCAGTGATCCTGACAAAGGGGGGATTTGGAGAACAGGATGCTGAGTTAATGTGCACCCTCAATATAGAAAGGACTCCTCAGAAGCAACCCCCATCAGATGCACATATGCAGAAACTCCTGTTTCCTGTATGTGCCTGGGAAATTGTAAATAATCCTATTTGGCTCTAATCCTGTTGGGTTGAAGTATGGAAAAATACAGGGGGATGAGCTTGGAACGCCGACTTTATAAACATGCCCCCTCTTCTGCCTCTCCCACCTGAATGCATATGATTCCCATGAGTTGAAGAGAGAAGTCCAGGTCCATTTGACCCCAAGGTCAGGTTTGGAAGAGCACCACTAGCTCACCTGGTAGTAATAGTCGTCCAGGTGGGGATTCTCACTCTGTAGCTGAGCCATCAGCACTTTAATCACCCAGTCCTTCTCTTTCAGGGTCATGATGTTATCATAGGGGTCTGGCTGCTGAGACCAAGGCTTCTTGGCTGGGGGACTTCAAGCCAGGAGGATCTTCCCTTTAGGCCTACCCACCCTTACCGCAGTAAACTCCCCAAGAAATGGTAAGCAGGGGGTTGGGCTGTTTGGGAAGGAGGGAGAGAGTGTAGAGGTGGGCAACAAGACAAGTTATCTCTGCAGGGACTTTGTGGGAGAGGCCTAGTCACAGGGGAAATCCCAGCATGCAGACTGGCTCCCACAAGGGAAATCCCAGCATGCAGACCGGCTTCCCTCATTTCTGTTCCTCTGCAGGCTTTACCTTGGTGTTGGATTCCGCTGCTGTTGCAAGATCCGTTGGTGCAGAGGGTGGAGCTGGATCAGGTGACTGGGAAGACTTAGAAAGAAATGTGGGCTGGGCGACAAGAGCTCAGCTCCCTATCACCTCCATTCAGTTAGCCTCTGGTAACCTCAGCTGGGAATTAAGGGACTCCTATCTTTGCTATGTGCCTCCCCAAATGCAGTCACATGAAACATCATAATCCTAGCTTAATGGGGCTCATGTTCCCTCCAAGATATAGTCCTACAATTTGGCTGCAGTAAATCTTTTGGCCTGGTTGTGGGGAGTTCTGAATCCTAGAGCTCAGTTCTGCCATGCCAGTTCTTTTCCAGTCTCTGGGCTTTCACTTCCTCATCTGTGAGGGAGAAGGGCTAGACTCTGCTTCAGATTTCTCTTAGGTTGTGGAAGCCGGTAGATGGCCTCTAACACTCCTCAGCCACCTTCTGACACCTCAGCCTATCCTGGATGCTGGAGTGCCTGGCACCCACAACCAGTACCTGAACCTAGGGTGCCATGAGGTCAGCGAGCTGCAGAATAGAGTTGGGTCTGGCGAGGGCAATTGAGGTCCAAAATGCCGTGCTGGAGAGCTGGTTCTGGGAACCGAGGGCAGGAAAGGAACTGGCAACAGGTAATCTAGGGTCTGAGAGGAAAGTAAAAAGTCGGGGAGAAAGGCATCACCCACCACCAGAAGGCTACACTTGCATCTGGTGCCCTTCCTGCTCTGTATATTCATCTGCCTTTTTCAAACAGTTTACCCCAAATTTTGCTATCTGGGGTGCTTCAAATCAGATGCAAGGGCGCCAGACTGTGGACCCCACCCCTGTTTTCAACAGGTCTTGGTCATCTCCCAAGGAGCAGCTCTTCAGGAACTGACCGGCGGTGGGTGGGCGGGGCATGTGCTTTTCCTACAGTCAGTGAGTCAACAACTCCCTCTCTCCCCTCTGCGACAGTCTTTTCTCAGGCTGTTGTCTTCAGCTACTGGGGCAGTGCTCATCTGCCTCTTAACTGACTCATTTGAAGCCTTCCCCAGAGCCGCAATTCCTGCCTCATTCTCCATGCAGGATTTCCTGTTTCTTTACTTCAGACCATGTTCCCATTCCGTAGTTAAATGAAGGGCAGGTGCTTTTTCTAGCCTTAAGCTCAGTGCTGCTCATCTGCTGAAATATTTTGTAAGGTGGAAGTAGGGATCTAGTTTGTCCTTTTTCCTATGAATGGCTAGTTGTCCAGTACCATGTCTGTCATTTCCCAAGCTTCCCCTCACGAGGGGCGGCTCCCATCTCCCTTATCCACACTGCTACTGGGTGTTCTATCTCAAGAGCAAGGTCAAGACTGGACCGGACATAATGGAAGTAAGGGACACTTGGCATGCTCCTCCTCAGCATCTAATCATTTTCTCACAGGATGGAGAAATGGGAGCTACTCACCTGCCATAGGAAGTGTGAGGATGTGAGCGACATCCCCAGCACACCAGGTACCTGGATGGCAGGAGGGCCCAGAAAACCTTTCTAGAATGGGACAAAGGGAAAAAAAAACCCAGGCTCACACGAGCCTCTGTGGTGTCTTCTATGTTCATCTGTTTCCTTGGAGGCAGCTGGGTCAACTTTTTCCAGTACCCAAGATAGTGGCAGCCTGTCTCTCCATTCTCAAAGTCAGCTATGCCAGCCTCCTCTCCTCCCTGAGGGGAAGCAAGACTGGTATCTCAAGAGTAGGTTGAAGGAGGGCCTGAGTCATTTCATTTCTACATAGGAGTCCTGGTATCTCTCCAGTGGTTGCGGGACTCCAAGGGAATCAATATGAGAAGCGGACTGTGGAGAAACAGGGCCCAGGGTCGAGACGACTTGCCTTCAGCACTGTGGGCAGTGTGCAGTGCTTTTAGGGTGAAGACAGTCTCAAACTAAATGAGAGGCAGGAGGAGGCAGAAGAACAGAGTCCCTACTTGAGCTCAAGCCTGAAGAAGAAACTGTTAGCCCAGAACTTATCTTAGGGATGAAGAGGAAGGGACTATTAAGCAACAGTGTGCGAGCTCAGATAGTGAGGACAATCGCCTGCCCACCCCCTCCTGCCATGGTACTTGGGTGTCCTGGACAGCACTGAGGACAGCTGGATCGCCAAGACCATTCTCATTCTCTTCCTCCTCCTCCTCCTCTCCCTCTTCCTCCAGGTCTGGAGCTGTGGCCAGATCTGGATCCAGAGCTTCTTCCTCTGCCTCCTCCTCATTTTCCTCCAATTGGGGAGCAGATACCAGCTTTTCCTTAGGAGCCAACTGGCCACAAGACTTGCCTGGGTTTAAGCGGGGCCCTAAGAAGAAAGCAGTTGGATGCACAGGTGTGAGTGGTCTCATCTAGAGGCTGCTTCCCAGTAGCATGTCTGTTTATGCACCATCTTCAGTGCATTTTCAAATGCCTCCTCTTCTTAAGTTTAACTCAACCTTGCAACACTAGGTGTTCCCTAACCGTCCTTCACTAGAGCAGATGGAACTTGGCAGCTATCAAACAACCTCCGCTTTCTATATCCTCTCTCCAGTCGCTTCATAAGCGACCACCAAGGGCTTCTCCACCCACCCTCCCTTCCCCACCAGGCTTCCTGTTCGTTGCCCTGACTCATTGCAATTTAACCCTTCTGTGTGCAAGATGGTTTACATGGATGCGTTCATTTAACTTTCACAACAATCAGACCAGGCTGTTATTGCTAATTTTATTATAATGGGGCCCAGAAAAGCAACCTCAGTCACCCAGGATGATGTAGCTAGCAAGTGGAAGTGCTTGGAATCACTCCCAGCGATTCTGGACACCCAAGCATATGCCCATCCACTGAACCAGAATAGTCAGTCTCCACAACCCCAGACCCCTTTGGTAATACCTTCAAGGCATTTTGGCTTTGCAGGCTGGTGGACATCCTCCATGGCTGTTTCTTCTGGTGAGGCAGCATTGTCATCCTCTGGAAGGTAAACCTGCGATAGGGCAGAACATAGGCTTTCAGACCCTAAACCCCCACCCTCTGACCTCACCATCTCTAGGGGGGCTTTCCTCTTAAGGGAAATAGGGGATGGGGCTAGGAACTGGAGGAGAAGCACTCCCACCCAGACACCACCAGACTCCAGCAGTGCAGAGCTGCCTGGCTGCTAATACATACCGCCTCCCTGTTGCCTTCCTTTCTGATTAGCTTTGCCATGGCAGCCTGGGCCTGGGCTAGCTGGCTGCTCTGGGCTTTGAAAGCCCCAGCCCTTTCCCTGATCCCCTTTTAAAGGGCCAGCATCCCCCAAGAGCTGCATCCTGGAGGACATATAAGAGCATCTACTAGGAAACCCTTGAAAGGGCAAGAGAAATAAACTGTATTTTTTAGCCATCCAAGGATGTGAGTATGACTTTTGCAGATGGACATCGGGAATAGATATTTAGAAGGAGAATCTCTATGTTCCATACCCTTCACAGGAACTTTGTGATGTTATGTTCCCTTTAATTCGTAGCTGTGCTTCATCAAAATTGGATAGGAAAATCCTGGGTGGATGCTTAGAGTCCCTAACAACCAAGTCTCAGACTTCAGGGCGGTGCCTTATTATCCACCTGCTGCTACTTGTCCTTCCTGAGTCTTGTGAGTTACCCAGCTCTAACTGATGAGGGATCCCTATGAATTTAGAAGCCATATATATCTTCATGATAGAAGTACTTTTGCATGAATCACAGAAACAACTTATATCTTCTTGGCTGCGCTAGTAGAAAAGTGGTTCAGAAACTCAGCAGTAAAAACAAAACAAAACAAAACAACAGGAAAAAGCAAGCACATCAATACTGTTGGTAGGCAAAAATCTAAGACCCACCTGAGCCTCATCAACCACCCCCCACACCCCTGTGATCCAGGATTCTGTGCCCACATCCTGTGTTCAGCTGAACTGTATGTGGCTTTGTAGAACTCTGAATAAAAATACAAATGAAGCTAATTTCTCTACATCAAAAATGCAAGTTATAGTCAAGATAATGGGACCATGATTTTGGTTCCTTTAAAGAAATATATTTGTTTCAAAAGTTTTGTTGTAGGTCACAACCATATGGAGAGGAATGGGGAGAATTTAAGTCCTGAAAGTTATTGAAAAGTTTTTCAAATATCTGAATTGGGTTCAGGCCTTTTTGGTAATGTTAGTCAGACATTTATCTGAAGAACTCCCTAATAATTCACTTTGGTATTATTAACAAAAGGGCCAAATGGTGAATTTCAATGTTCCAGAAATGATTTATTAGATTGCTGCAGGGTCAAGGTCTTAGGGAGAGCTGTTTGCTGCATTCAGATTTTCATTCTAAAAGGACTTCTTGTACCAGTGCCAAAGCAGGTGAACTCGCAGCCCTGCCCCGGCTGTTTGAAATTATGCTTGGGACTTAGTGACTTTTACCTGAAGTCTTTATGTCTACTAATGTCTTAGATTTTCTAGTGCTGTGCCTTATTTTAACCATGTTAATTTTAAGCCAAGTCTATGCCAGGCTACAGCAGTAAATAAGGCAGATGCCATTCTGACCTCATAGCATAAGAAGTATGGACAGGTAAATAGGATAGTTGGACCACATAAAAGATAGATTATTAGTTTTTTTTTTAAAGATTTATTGATTGATTGATTGATTGATTGCATAGAAGAACTGGGGTATAAGCCAGGGGATGAGAGGATTTACCAGAGACAGAGTGGGAAGCAGAAGAGGGGGATTTACTGAAATCCACTAAGGGGCGAAGGGGGCAAATCAGGAGAGGTCTGCTGAACCATGTGGGTTAGCTCCCTGGCTAGGGATCAAACTCAGGCCTTAGTGGTGATAGTAGTGAGACTTAACCCCTAGGCCACCAGAGAGGCCCCTAAAAGATACATTTAAAAATTTTAACATGTTCCAAGTAAAACACTTAAGGACAGATCCATTTTTATGGGGAGATTTTTTAACCTCTTACTGCAGTTCTTAGATGGCTGTAGATCTACTCCCATTTTGTTTTTTTTCTTGAGGCTATTTTGTTAAACTATATATATTTTAGGGATTGTACATTTTGGAAGCTTTCAAATTTGTTGGCATAATGTTGAAGTTGTTCATGGCATAATAGCACAGGTTTATGCTCTAGGTATACTGGCTCCTGTTGGGAGCCTGCTGTCCTAAAGGGAGCTGGCGTTTTCTGAGAGTACCTGTTTACTCTGCCTAGGGAGTTCCAGGAGGTCAGATGTTCTGTAAACAGAACTTCCCAGAATTGACTCCTGTTCTCTGAGGACTTACTGGCTTGTGCGCATATTCCCTACTATTTTAAAAAAAACGTATTCTAGCAGTAATTTATTAATTTATATAAGCATAAACAATTTCATGCTATTTTCTTGTTCCTTTGTTCCTATCTTTAATAAAAGCTTGGGCTGGGAGGGTGAGAGGCAGAGCTGCTCTCAATGGCACTCTCCCCAGCCTCCCCCTGCTGCAAATTCATTTAGACTCTGAGTCTTTGTTCATAGCTGAGAACTTCATTGGCTGTCGGCAGCATGTCCTCTCTTTTATTCTTAACATTGTTTATATATCATTTCCTCCTTTTTTATTCTTTCCAGATTGTCTATTTATTATTAGTCTTTTCAAAATACATAAAAATAAGTCAGGGTTTCTGCAGGAAGTAGCATACTCAAATTGGGTAATTTGAGAAGAACTGTAATAAAGGGAAATTTAAAAAAGGTATAGAAAGTACATAGTACAGTCATAAGGAATAATATAATACCTGAGGTCTGGCAATAGGTGGCGATTACCACCTTAGGTCAAGGGCAAGTGGATGGAGCAGTTACCAGAACCTGGAGACAGAGAAGGCTTCCTAGATGGCAGTTCCTTTAAACATTTGTGCCATACAGCGGTTGAGCGCTGGGTTGCGAAGCTGCCCGCAGCCTCTGCGGCACCAGTTCGATCCCCGGCTGCTCCCCGGCCACCGGAGGAGGGTCCCACATGGCGCACAGACCTCTCCTGCCGCCCGCTGTCCCCTCAGCAGTGTACTTCGGTCCTTCTGCCTGCTCTGCTCCCCGCTCTGGCTCTGGTGAATTCTCTCACCCTCCCGTGCTTCTGACGGTACCCAGTGCTTGTATATATAAATAAAAATAAATCTTTAAAAAAAACAAAAACCAAAACATTTGTGCCATAATGGGTTCCAGTTTGGCAGCCCTCTCGCAAACTATAAACATTCTCTCTCAGATCTGTATCTGTTCTCTCCTCTTGCCTCCTGAAGCCTCAGTGTGGTAAACGCATCCCACTCTTGCTAACCCCAGGGTGCTTCACTATCCTTTATGAATTTCCCTTAACCCTGGACACACCTTGTCAAACATGCCCTTCACAAAATTCGACTGTTAGCCCACCCAAAAGTACTGTGTTTCCTGAAGAGTCTCTGACCAATAATGATAGTATTATTATTAGTCAGATAGTCTTTTCTTTGTTCAGCTTCCTCTCAAATCTTTTAATCATCCCCAAGTGTAAAACATAATTATCGTCCTCAAGGCCCCTACACAACTCCCATCTCATTAGTCTCAGCAGTCAACCTCATCTCATAAGTTATTGAGAAAATAGAGGTCACCTGGGCTGACCTATTTTAATTTATACTGGAAGGAAATTTGTAAAATGCCTCCACCTCTTCAAATGCAACCTCTCTTCTTGGATCCTGTGCCCTCTGGGCACTTCAGTGGTGCTCTATTCTCTGACTTCAGTCTCTCTATTTTTACTTCTTTCTTCTCATGGCATAGCATGGAAATATCAAGATGTGTTCATTCTTGGATCACAGCCTTCTCAGCAGCTGCCTGCTTTTTCTTTTCACTCTCTTCGGGATCACTTTAGAAGTAGAGATCAGGCCTGACCTGCATGGGTGTTCTTGGGAGATGGTACCACACATGCACAGAACTTCCTGGGCCAGCATCCACCACTTGAGATCCATTGAGGGAGCTCTCTTGTGTTGCCAGAACAGCAATGCCCACAAAGCATGAGGGAGACACTGTGTTACATAGAGCTATTATAGGCAGGTTAACGTAAGATGCCTCTGTGAGAGGCTGGTGGTCAGTAACCACCAGAAGCCTTGACCTCTGGAAAGCTGCCTGGATCTGGTTATTGAAGGTTCCAGGAGGAAGCAGCCAGCAATTGGGGTGGCTGCAACAAATTTCGGCACAACTCACTGACTAGTGTTCTTGGATGATATGGTACTTAACATGACTGGGTTTTCAATGGCAGCAACAGCAGAAGTTTCTCCCAGGTTCTTTTCAAATTTGTGATGTATATGCCATCATTTTTCTTTCTGTAGATGCACTGTTCCATTTAGAAGTCAAGGCTGTTGCCCCCTAAGTGGGTTCCTATTACAGGGAACTTGAGGACATCTTCATTTGCAGAACATCAAGTCAGACATTGTGAAAGTTTCCCATTAAGTTATGAGAGGAACCCAGAATAATGCTGTACAGATCCCTCTTTGGGTAGTGCAGGAAGCTGGAGTTTTAAATTTTACTTTATTTTCTAATAGGTAGTTTCACATAAAAATTGACTGACTGACATCCCACCATGACGACTAAATTGTTTGTGGACCAGAATTGAATCTATCAAAGTTGCTTCCTTTTGTTATTTCAATCATGAGCTTCAAATGCTCTAAGCAGAATTTGGATATGACTACATTTGTTTAATCCAGATTTGATGTTCCTGATGGTTCCAGGATGTCTTTTCATACCCAACAGGTCTGTGCCTGTAATATATTACTTTCTACTCTTGTTTTCATTCCCACATATTATCCAGGATTAATTCAAAGAAAGTCACTTCTTAGAAATGATGCTATATATATAGTCACTAACTTCATTTGCCACCAAATATACCCTACCTGACTTTCTTTGTTCAAAAAATGAGATTTTACTTCAATATTTTACCTTGCTTTATTTTAAACTTGGCAGTTGATTTTCATGAAGACCATCAAGGATGTGGTGTGATACAAGTTGTAGTCCAGGGGGGCTGTGGCTGGTCCAGGGGCAGGCTCACTCTTGTCAACATCCTGTTGGGATCCAGGGGGCTATCACTGGCAGACAATCTTCAAGTGATGATGGCAATTGTCTTCAGAGTTGAAACCATAGCCCAAGAAAAGGAGAGATTTAGAGCTGATTTCAGTCACTTTCTGAACCTCTCTGAGCTTCTGCCCCTTCGGGACCCTCTTCCTCCTAATACTTTGGGAATTTTTTTTTTAAGTATTTAT